AACTGTGCTTCAGTATAGGTTTCACAAACAAGGAGATACTTCATCCTTTGGCACATCAGCATCACATTGTCATAAGTATAAAGACTTAAAAAAAGAATATATGAGAAATACGTCTTTTCCACGGGAAAAAACTGGTGTACTTGAAGTAAAATCGCTGCTTTTGTGGAGACAGAAATGAATATGTTGAGGATACATCCATTTATGCAGCTGTAAATATCCGTGAATGACATTGAGCTTTAGTTTATGATATGAATCCATATGCCATAATAAGGTGTTGGTGTCTCTGCAGGTTGCTGCAGAGACACCAGCTACCGCTGGTGTCAGAGACGTGGTGCTCATCTGAGCTCGACTCCCTCTGGATCACAAATGTTGATCATCATCAGTTTGATTGTTTCTTCAGAAACCACAAAATCTCTCTGAATATTCTCCTAAATTTACAACTTAAATCTCTAAATCTTAAAAAAAAAAAAACCAAAAAAAAAACTCAATGTTGTCCTGATCCTCGAATGTAGTTTTGTCAGCTTTCTTATTTTTATGTTTTTGATTGTTGAAGCAGAGCGGATCAGTTGTCTCTAAATCTATAATGTTTGGTTTGCAGATTTTAGTGAGTTCAGAGATCATGAGCTCATACAGCCTGAGCTGACTGCCTGCTGTTTTTGGATTTCTTGCACTTTCTTTAAAGACACGCTGTGTCTCCATGCGAGTCCAGCCTCTCACCTGAAATGCGCAGCTGTGCAGCGGCACACAAAGAATTCTGGGATACCAATGGCACGAAAGCGTGCATAAATGCACGCTTGAAAAAGGGGCGGGGGCAGTGTGGTTTTGAGACGGAATTTGAAGCGCGCTTAGCATTTTGTGCCAAACGGGACACCGTTCGTGCTGCGTGATGACCTCACGCACGCTTCAAGTGCGCCGTTCGACGGTTGCGGTCTCTGAAATGGGACACAGGAAGGGTACATAATGGCGCATAATGGCACATAACGGCACAAAACGGCAGTGCGCTCAGCTAAGCGCGCTTATCCCGATGCGGTTTCTGAAATGAGACACAGCCTTGGTCACCTCCCAGACCAAGGCCCTTCTCCCCCGCTTGCTCACTTTGGCTGGGCAGCCAGCTCTAGGAAGAGTCCTGGTGGTTCCAAATGTCTTCCATTTCTTCATGATAGGGACCACTGTGCTTTTTGGGATCTTCAATGCAGCAGATATTTTTCTGTAAACTTCTCCAGATCTGGGCGTCGATATAACCCTGTTTCGGGGGGCTACAGACAATTCTTTCGACTTCATGGCTTAGTTTGTGCTCTGACGTGCTCTGTCAGCTGTGGGATCTTAAACAGACAGGTGTGGCTTTCCAAATCATGTCCAATCAGCTGAATTTTCCACAGGTGGACTGCAATCAAGTTGGAGGAACATTTCAAGGCTGATCAGTGGAAAAAGGATGCACCTGAGCTCAATTTTGAGTTTTATAGCAAAGGGTGTGAATACTTATGTATATGCAACATTTGAGTGTCTTATTTTTAATAAAATTGCAAAATGTTCTAAAAAAAAGTTTTTCACTTTGTCATTATTGGGTGTTTTGTGTAGAATTTTTGAGGGAAAAAAGGAATTTAATCCATTTTGGAATAAGGCTGTAACATAACAAAATGTGGAAAAAGTGAAGTGGTATGAATACTTTCCGGATGCACTGTATATATAAGAGTACACCTATACATACAGTACATCAGCTTTACTGTAAAAACTCTCACCTTCCCTTTACTGCGAAGACTCTATTATACTGTAAAAACCCTCAGCTTTACTGTAAAACCATTCAGCTGTACTGTAAAAACTTATCTACACGTAAAAACTTGTAAAAATACAAACCTTTCGTTACATAAGTCACAAAAATTGCTGAAAATTTTTGCATTGAAGTCAAATGAACAAGCCCAAAAAGGTTTTCCAGAGGTCTTATGCTCCGTTGTTTCTGTTGTATAAATAAACACTTGGAAAATTAATGTTTGTTTTAGGTGGGCTCCTTGTTGATAATATCACAATAGAACTAGTAATAATTATTTAAAGTTACTTAAGCATATCATCATAATGGACACACCCCAGCAGTAGTGGCTCTAGATTTTCATTAAAGGCCTGAAATTGATCCTTTATATTTAAAAATTTTTCCTTTTGTGCAAAGGTACAACAATCTTACAAAATCACGTTCCTCAGATGAAGTCTACTGACCTACTACATCATGTCTGTGAGTTCCCCTCCACCCTTACACTCACCCCACCTTATTACAGGGTCACAGATATGACCCTGAGCAGGTATGTCCTCAGCCCCACCGTCACAGTTATTGCATCAGCTTTCAAACAAAAACGAGACCTAAATCAAAAGTTTGCTACTAACAAAAGTTTGATACTCAAATTACTCATCACTTTGAAATGAAAGTGCAAAAACATCTGCATGAAAATATCCTGACCCCCAACAACCACAAAGGGTCTTTTTTATCTCAGAATCTTTTCCAGAGGTCTGGATCATCAGTTGTTCAGATTTCTGTAAAAATAATAAATCACTTCAATATCTGTCACAATCTGCAGTTATGCAGAAATCAGGCCAGCAGATTTCCCAGATCACTCCCACTTTATGAGTGTGCTCAGACCTGCTCTGCAATTTTATCAGAATAGGAATAGGAAGTTATTACACAATTAAAACTGTCTGAGTCCCTTCAGCCTGTTTGGAGGAGTGTGTTCGGCAGGAAGGTCATAGATCCTACTTTTTCATCCTGCAGAAACAAGATCACAAAGCGTCCTGCAGGGATGAAACCAGTGGCAACCTGCAGAAACAAGACCACACAACACCCTGCAGAAACAAGACCACACAGCATCCTGCCAAACACTGCATCCTGATGAAACAAGACCACACAGCATCCTGCAAGGACAAGACCACACAGCATCCTGTAGAAACAAGACCACACAGCATCCTGCAAGGACAAGACCACACAGCATCCTGCAAGGAAGAGACCACACAGCATCCTGTAGAAACAAGACAACACATCATCCTGCAGAACCTAGACCACACAGCATCCTGCAGGAAGAAGACCGCACAGCATCCTGCAGGGATGAAACCAGTGGCAACCTGCAGAAACAAGACCACACAACACCCTACAGAAACAAGACCACACAGCATCATGCCACACACTGCATCCTGCAAAAAAAGGCCACACAGCATCCTGCAAAGTCAAGACCACACAGCATCCTGTAGAAACAAGACCACACAGAATCCTGTAGAAACAAGACCACACAGCATCCTGCAAGGACAAGACCACACAGCATCCTGTAAAAACAAGACCACACAGCATCCTGCAGAAAGAAGACCGCACAGCATCTGACAAGGCCAAGACCACACAGCATTCAGCAAGGACAAGACCTTACAGCATCCTGTAGAAACAAGACCACACAGAATCCTGTAGAAACAAGACCACACAGCATCCTGCAAGGACAAGACCACAGTATCCTGTAAAAACAAGACCACACAGCATCCTGCACAAAAGAAGACCGCACAGCATCCGGCAAGGCCAAGACCACACAGCATCCTGCAAGGACAAGACCACACAGCATCCTGTAAAAACAAGACCACACAGCATCCTGCAGAAAGAAGACCACACAGCATCCTGCAAGGACAAGACCTCACAGCATCCTGTAGAAACAAGACCACACATAACACTGCAGAAACAAGACCACACAGCATCCTGCAGAAATAAGACTGCACAGCATCCTGTGGGGATGAAACCAGTGGTAGCCTGCAGAAACAAGACCACACAGCATCCTGCAAGGAAGAGACCTCACAGCATCCTGTAGAAACAAGACCACACAGCATCCTGCAAAAACAAGACCGCACAGCATCCTGCAGGGATGAAACCAGTGGCAAACTGCAGAAACAAGACCACACAACACCCTGCAGAAACAAGACCACACAGCATCCTGTCACACACTGCATCCTGCAAAAAAAAGACCACACAGCATCCTGCAAAGTCGAGACCACTCAGCATCCTGTAATAACAGGACTACACAGCATCCTGTAGAAACAAGACCACACAGCATCCGGCAAGGACAAGACCACACAGCATCCTGTAGAAACAAGACCACACAGCATCCTGCACTTTCACTGTTGATCAGTGTGTGTGTGTGTGTGTGTGTGTGTGTGTTTGTTGCCTTGGCAGCCCCTTTACACTAACGTCTTCTTAGAAATAACCATTTGTGTAAATCTCTCTGCTGCTGGCTCTTTCTCCTGCATGCTGTACACAGCATCCTGCAGGGATACGTCCAGTGGCAACCTGCAGGAACATGACAAAAATACATTCTGCAGAAACAAGACCACACAGCATCCTTCAGAAACAAGACCACACAGCATCATGTAGAAAGAAGACCACACAGCATCCTGCAAGGACAAGACCTCACAGCATCCAGCAGAAACTGACTGAGCTCTACAGTCAGTCATCAGTTTAATTTTCCTTCAAACTTGTTTGCACTTTCACTGTGTTTTTTGACTTTCCTCTGCAATCCCCTAACACTAATGATTTCAGAGAAATATTACCATTTGTGTAAATCTCTCTGCTGCTGGCTCTTTCTCCTGCATGCTGTACGTCGTCAAAGACTGTTTTGTCCATAGGTGGCGCCAAAATCGACTCAAGACAAACCTCTGACCAAATTTCCTGTCCAACAACCACAGGTGCATAGGCAGGATTAAGCACAGAATTTATTTGAATACAGGTGTCCTAATTCTTTCAGGCGGAGACTTTCTTCTTATTAATTTTGACCTTTGAGCGGGACACAAGACACCTCCAATGTTTTCAGGATGTTGGTGTCACTCCATAGATCATACACCAGGTTCTTAGCATCCTCCCTCCTGACAGACAGCTGGTAATACCTGCCAGGTTCTAGGTTCTTCGCCTCCATGTGGCACAGCTGACAGGTGGATTTGATGATCTTTTTTTCAGCAGTGGTCGGGTGGAGGCTCTTCACCTTGACCTCAAACTACACCAAGGGATCCTGGGGCTTGTACTCAGTCCAGTACAGGTGCATGGAGGTGGACGTTGCTCTGGACTCTGACCTGTTGATGTGAATGGGCAGCTTGACAATGAAATATGCTCTGAGTTTTGGTATGCAGACGTGCCCTTCATTCGGGATGAGTTTGTGGGGCAGAATCAGAGGCCCCAGATGGTCAACCACCCTCCTGTCAAAGTCCGACATGTGCTGCAGAGTCTGCTCTAACTTCTCCTGTATGGAAGCTGTTTCATTGCTGTTTGACAAACCCTGACTGTGCCTCATGGTGAAATCCATGAGCTCCCTGCAGTTGCTGAAGATCTGCTGGGCAAGAAACTCTAGCATGGTGAGGATCAGCTTCACCTGAGTGTGGGTGAGGGCTTTGACCCGGCTCAGTCTCTGCTGGTCAATCAGGGACCACAGGGTGCTGTTGGTCATTGGAGAAGTGTGCTGCTGCTCCTCTGAAGGAGGTAAATCTTCACGCTGGATGTCTAGGTAGGAGGAACTCCTCTGCATGATCTCCAGCTTGTCCTGCAGAGGAGGGGAGAATCAACAGGGGCAGAGAGAGGACATTTAACGGGGATGAAATCTCTGTTTAACTGATGACACAGACAGTTTCAGACCTCCCCTCTGCCCACTAAAGCTAATGTGTTAGCCGCTTCATGTTAGCTAATGCTCAGCTGCACAGTGAGACACTGACCATTATTAAGTGGTGCTGTAGCTTATTGTCCAGAAGCTGTAGGATCTTATCAGAGAGCTCCTGGAGCTCCAGGTCTACGTGGGTCTGCATATCCTGGTTTCCACATTTCTCTGAGCTACAACAGTCCATGTTGATATCCTCCATGATGCTTAAATACCAGGACCAGCTGTGAGGAAAAAAAATTGGTTTGACTTAAAGATATAAAACACACTGTCTGATTGGTGTAGAGTGCAGAGTGTAGGGTTAGCCACACACTTAGGCTCAGGATGTTCAAAGGTAGGGTGAAATATCTTCATTATTCACTGGTGTGTTCTGACAGGGGCATGAATCAATCCCTAAGGACTGAATGAGAAGTCCTGAGGGAGACAGGTGACATTTCCTGAGGTTGAAATAACTGCTGCTCTACAGAAAAATACAGAAATCTACAGTCACCTACAGCAGTAATAAGTAATAAAATAAAGTCATTCTTATTCTTAATCTACAGTAATCTGCAGTCACCTTAAGTGACTAACAGTAATCTGAGGTAAATGACTTCAAATGAAAGTGAGACACAGGATGTCACAGTTTCCTGTTTTCTCCTCATCAGCCATTGGAAACTCTCAGCAGCAGAGACACAAAATTACAACCAATCAAAATCCATTATTCTCCCATTATCAGAGTCTGAACCTAACCAGCCAATAAGAGCCCTCAGATTTACCTGTACACATGCAAACACACCAGACCACATCCTGTACATCAGGTAATAATAATAACAATGATAAGAAGAAGAACTTTATTGATCCCCGAAGGGAAATTCAATTGTCTGTTGTCTCACATAATATGTCTATAAAAGTGATCTATTATTTACATAAGAGTTATAAAGTCTGATGGCTGTTGGTACAAAAGATCTTCTGAATCTTTCTGTTCTGCAGTGAAGAGAGAGGAGCCATCCACCACCATTGGCCCTTTGGTCCATCAAAGTGTTGTGAAGTGGGTGATCCATGTTCTTTAGAATAGACTCCACCTTCCTCAGTGTAGATCTCTCCTCCACATCCTCCACTGAGTCCAGCTTGAGTCCTACCACAGAGTCGGCCTTTTTCACAAGTTTGTTAAGAAGTCTTGCATCTTTGTGTTTGATGTTTCTTACCCAGCAGATTGCAACGTAGAACAGAACACTTGCCACCACAGACTGATAAAACATCTGCAGCGTCTTACTACAGATGTCTATTGATCGGAGTCTTCTCAGGCAAAAGAGGTGGCTCTGCCCCTTTGTGTAGATGAAGTCTATCTTCTTAGACCAATCCAATTTATTATCCAGATGTACACCTAGGTATTTATACGATGTCACCACTTTGATGTCCACTCCACAGGTGTTGATTGATTGAAGGCTTTATTTCGGACATGATAAAAATAAAGAAACAAAGAAAACAAAAAACCCCAAATCAAAATAGTCAAAACAACATAACAATGTTAACATGTCCGAAAAGGAGTAGGAAGAAACAAATGCTTATTTAATCCTACACCTTTTCCTTTCTCAATAATAGTCAGCAGTTCTGTGTATTTACATATACCAATACCTCATCATATTTACATAAGTTCATATTTACAGACAACGACAATAAACAAGTGAATAAATGATCTGTGAAAAACACCTGATAATCAACAAAGCCCTTCAATCTCCCTTTACCCCGTGAAAACCATGTTTTTGTACGGCTTTTTGAACTGCGTGATGCTTAGACATTGCTTCAGCTCTGCACCCAACCCGTTCCACAGCTTCACTCCACATACAGAAATGGAAAACTTCTTAGTGTTGTGCGGACACAAGGATGTTTTAAATTGTTCACTCCCCTCAAATTATAACCCCCTTCTCTGTTAAAAAACAATTTTTGAACATTTCCAGGAAGCAGATGATTTTTTGCTTTGTACATAATTTGTGCTGTTTGATAGTGAACCAGATCAGAGAATTTTAGTATGTTTCAAGAATAGTCTATTTGATCTCTGTAACCGGCATCATGAATTATCCTTATGGCTCTTTTTTGCAGTATTGATAGTGATTGTAGTGTACATTTGTAAGTATTGGCCCAAACCTCTGCACAGTAATTTAAATATGGTAAAACCAGTGAACAGTAGAGAATGTGGAGTGAGTTGTGGTCCAGGATATGTTTTGCTTTGCTGAGTACTGAGATGCTTCTTGACAGTTTGTTCCGTAGGTTTTGAGTGAGATTTCCAGTTTATTTTGTCATCTATTATTACACCAAGAAAATTATTTTCATGAACTCTTTCAATATCCACGCCTTTTACTTGCACCTGAACGTGAGTACCCCTACTTCAATTACCAATTACCAAATAACATGAACTTAGTTTTATCTAAATTTAATGATAACTTGTTTCTGTCAAACCAACTCTGTAGTTTGCACATTTCTGCAGTGACTGTCTCCAGTAGCTAGTTTAAATCACCCCCGGAGCAAAAAATATTGGTGTCATCAGCAAACGACACTAATTTTAATATCTTTGATACCTTACAAATGTCATTTTTATATAGGATAAACAGTTTAGGACCCAAAACTGACCCCTGGGGGACGCCACAAGCAATGTTCAAGCATGATAATGTATGTTCACCCAACTTCACAAATTGTTTCCTGTCTTCGAAGTAACTTCTCACCCAATGCAATACTACCCCCCTGATTCCATACTGTTCCAATTTTTTGAGTAATATGTTATGATTAATTGTGTCGAAAGCTTTTCTAAGATCTATGAATACTCCAACTGCATACTGTTTGTGGTCTATTGCGTTTGTGATTTCCTTAATTGATTTAATTAATGCAAGTGATGTTGAGCTATTTGTTCTGAATCCGTATTGACTTTCGGAAAGTAATTTATGCTTTCCTATGAATTTCTCTAGTCTGTTATAGTTTTTCCAATATTTTAGAGAATTGTGGAAGTAATGAGACAGGCCTGTAATTTGTGAAGTGGTGTCTATCCCCAGTTTTATACAGCGGCAGAACGCTCGCTATTTTCATTTTGTTAGGAAATTTACCAGTTTGGAATGATAAGTTACAGATGTATGTTAGTGGTTCTGAAATCCCCTTTATGACCATTTTTACAATTTTCATATCGATTTCATTCCAATCAGTGGATGTTTTATATTTACATTTATTTACAATATCTATTATTTCTTTTTCATCCACTGCTGTAAGAAACATTGAGCTGGGGTTCCTATCTATAAGGTTGTTATTCCAAACCTCAGATGACCATGGGTTAGGGATTTTTTCTGCCAGGTTTGGTCCAACGCTTATAAAAAAATAATTAAAACTATTAACCACCTCTTCCATATTGTCCTTTTTAAAGTTGTTATCAATGAAATATTGAGGGTAACTTTGCTGTCTGGAGCCACTTTTAATAATACTATTTAATATGTCCCATAATCCTTTAATATTGTTTTTGTTATTATGTAATATTTTACTATAATATTCTTTCCTACATACCCTTATAATATTAGTTAACTTATTTTTATATTTTTTATATTTGTGTTCGGCTTCTTTAGTTCTTTGTTTTATGAATGCTCTATAGAGTGTATTTTTCTTCTTACAGGCATTTTGTAATTCCTTTGTAATCCATGGTCGATCTGTGTATTTTTGTTTTCTGCTGTATTGTTTTATCGGACAGTGTTTATCATACAATGATGTGAAAAATTCTTAAAAATGACTCATATGCATGATCAACATCGTTTTCTCTGTATACCATTTCCCAATATTGTGCTAGCAATTCATTCCTTAATGCACTCATGGTTTCCTCTGTCCTCACTCGTCTGTATTGAGTCTTTTCATCTGGCTGATTTGTCTTGTAGTTGCTGTCATAGACTAAAAATTGGTAAGTGGTCACTGATATCTTTGATTAGTAGTCCACTCATTCTCTTATTTTCAATGTCATTGGTGAATATATTATCAATTAGGGAGGCACAATGGGATGTGATTCTGCTGGGTCTGGTGATTTTTGGATATACAGTAAGCCCATACTATACAACGTGTTAGTGAATTTGTCAGTGATTTTGTGCTTGTTTGGATTTAGCAGATCAATATTAAAATCACTGCAGATGAAGATACCTTTTTGATTTGTTTTTGAGAACATTTCTTCCATCCAGTTTGTGAAAACTTCCATACTAAAGGCCTGGTGTTACACAGCTAATTTTCACATTGTTGTTTTTTTCTTTTCAGATTTCAATTGTTATGCACTCTAATAAGTTATCAATCACAGTTGTCACACTTTCTACCACTTTAAAATTCAAGTTTTTATCCACATACATAGCCACGCCTCCTCCAATCTTGTTCTTTCTGTTTATATAGTTAAATTCATACCCGTCCAGCTCAAAATCCATTCCTTTGTTAGCGTTGATCCATGTTTCTGATATGGCAACTATTTTAAATGGATTAGTGAAGTGACTTAGATATTCCTTGATGTTATCGAAGTTTGCATACAGACTTCTGCTATTGAAGCTATTTAATGGTCTGATTGTACGGTTCATCTGAGTAGTAGTAACAGTCCCTGTTGATATTGGAGAAGAAATTATTGTCCGGGTCTATATCGTTTTCCAAATCCCGTGGATTATGGTCAGTGTATTGAAATGTTCTCAGTTCCAGTTTGTCATGATCAGCAATCATGAGTTCTTTCAATCATGATTGTATGTTATGGACACTTGAGCATTCTTACCTTACAGTCAGGTCCATGATGATCATTGATATTTGTCCAGTTCTTCTATGTTTCTGATGACAAAAACTTTGGCTTGCTCCGGTGTTCCATTTAGTATGATGAAAACTTTACAATTTGTGGTCCATGTGTTTTGAATTTTTCCCTGTTCTCTCAAAATGCGTGCTTTTCTGGCGATGTCAGCATTTAGTTTTGTCAGATTTTCATTTATGTAAACATTCGATCCTTTCAGCTTTCTTCTTTCTTTCAGCAGTGCCGTTTTGTGTTTCCTGTTGACGAACCTCATGATGATGGTTGGCTTGTCGTTGTCATTTCTCCGGGGCAAAGGGTGGCATGCCTCGATGTTGTTACAGTCCACTTCAATTCCCCTGGACTGGAGGAAGGCAGCCACCTGGTGCTCCACGGAGCTGGCCTCCTGTTCACTGGGCTCCCCCCCGTTGTTGTCAGCGGTCACCGCCTGTGCGTATGACCGGGGTTTGATACGGAGCCCGGTCACAATCACTTAGTTTATCCTGGAGTACTGTTCCAATTCCGCCACTCTGCTCTCCAGGTGTGCCAGACATCAGTCATTCTTGGTGTTCTGGATCCGTAGAGCCCTCACCTCCTCCACCAGAGGCCTGTACTACGAAGCTGGATTTGGTCTTAGCGAGATAACTTATGGATAATTTCTGGGTTTTCCATACTACGAAGGTGGATCTCTTTTTATCCGGGTCCATTGCCCCGGTAACTTACGCGGAACGCCGAACCTGCTCCGGAGCAGGTTATGTTTCAGGATAAGATCTCAGCAGGTATAAAAGACCGCCCACTGACCAGTCGGATCTCTTGGAAAATGGCTTGCCCACTTTTGCCGGATCCCGGGGACATAGTTGCATGGTTAGTGAGAGGAGCGCTTCGCCGAGAGCGTTATATTCATGATTGTTCAAATCCGTTTGATTTACCTGATGACGTTCTCTATGAACGTTACAGGTTTTCCTTGGACGGCCTCAATATTCAGGTAGCATGAAGTCTAAGCAATGCACCAACATTTGCCAAGCTCCAGGTTCCAATTTCCTACGGCATATCAGTCATCATTCAGAATTTATTGAAGCAGATTAGAAAACTCTTAACCCCAAATGTGTCTGCAGATGACGTGACCATCAGATGATGGAGAAAAAAGAAAAAGAGGCAGTTTGAGGAAATCACTGTTTACGCGTTGAAATATGTACAAATAAAATCTTCCAATAAACTTACAAACTACTTTGAAGGATGTTTTGGCTAAGTACTCTTGCTGTTGTATCTGAAATAATGAGGTCAATGGTGGAGGTGATCACACACGCTGCGTGACAACATATTGGGGAGCCATAAATTTATGAACGCACAAATGTAATTTACACAACCGGTGATTATTTTTGCCAGCAGTCCCTCCGGCTTTTAGCGGCTGTGGCTGTCCTGCTCCTCACTGTTATAATGTTGTGGTACTCCTCGTATTTGCGTAAAATAATGCTTTGTTCTTCGGCTGTGAAAAATGACGTGCAGCCAATCCAAACAAAGTCCAAACTCTTAAAATCCAACAGGATTAAGTCCAACACAGGGAAACATTCTTTGTTTGTTTTCTTGCCGTCGTCTTCTGTGCCTAGATCGTAAAACACTGGTGCATCACTGCTTAATCATTTTGCACTACAGACACGGCGGGTTATTGGACAAGGAGTAGATGAGGTGGCGAGAAAGCTCCCTAAATAGATTTGACAGCAACAGAGTAAAAGCTGAGATGTAAGAGGTCTGATTAGGTACAAGAAAAAGAAAGACTGGAGTTGTCTGCAGCAGGTTAAAATGATTAAGTTATTTCACTCCAGAAGGCAATTAGAGCTCAATTAATGCCATTTACTGGTTTAATTGGTGTTCACAGGCTAAAGAGGGGGTTTGGATCTACGGAAGTCTATGACCATCTCCTTTGTCTTTGAGGGTTTGAGAAAGAGGCAGTTTTTGTGACTCCAGTCACTGAAGGCTCTTATTAGATCTCTGTATTCAGCTTTTTGTCCATTTCTGATACATGCCACAATAGCGGTGTCATCTGAGTATTTATGGATGTGGCAGGACTCAGTGCTGTATTTGAAGTCTGACATATACAGTGTGAACAGGAATGGCGCCAGCACTGTCCCTTGTGGAGCCCCTGTACTGATCATTAATGTCCCAGAAACACAGTTCCCCAGCCTGACAAACTGTGGCCTTCCTGTCAGGTAATCTGTGATCCACTGGCTCTCTCTGTTTGATAGTTAAACTCCTGAACTCCTGAACCTAAATTAGGCTCTGAATGAAGGTAGATTTCCCTGTAAACTTTAGAGGGAAAATATTTAGATCAAAATAACGATGTCACAAGACTCGGACAATCATCAAACTATCAAAGACCTACAGCCTTCTGACTGAGACTTTTACCAGGAAAACATGGACCAGTCCTACCTGAAGGGCTCCCTCTTCAGTAATGTTGACTCCTTATTATGGTTAAACTCTTGGTCTCCATGGTAACTGATGGTAACTGTTTGTTTCCATAGTTACAGAATCACAGCAGCAGCTGAACCATTAAAGATAAATGGTAAAGTTAATATTTCATGGAGCACAGAGGATCAGGGGATGTCTTCTGATTAACAGGTCATTAATGAGGAAATAAGCAGCCAATCAGCCAATCACAGACCTGCTAATGAGCTCTGATCTGTCCCTCTCTGATATTCAGCAGCAGCTGTCAGACATGCTGCATTCACTGACGGTACGTAAACGTGAGTTACATACCTGTTCTCAAAGCCAAATACTGCTGGAGCTTAACTCAGCTGTCATTAGACAGGTGAGGTACACCTGAATGAGCCACTCACGTATCACAAGGCTAACATGCAGACACATGGGCAGATACTCTCACATTTCCACCTGCATGTTTCTGGACTTAGAGGAAGCTAGGGGAAAACCCACGCTATGAGATCTCAGTACCAACCAATGAGGCTCTGTGCTGCTCTCGAATGACCCCTGACCCTGACCTCAGTTGAAAAGTCAAACCTGCAAATGCACAGACATATGTGAATCAAACTCAGTTTTTTCAGTGGATGCATGTCCTGTCTGAGGAGCCTCAATAACTCCCGACCATAGACTGTACATACTATGGACAACTTGGTTCCACGTACCGCCTGTATATGGATTTGAAGCCATAAAGCTCTCGGTATTTCCGGGATTTTTCTCAGTTTCCTGAAACCAGCGCTGCACAGTAGCGATGTGTGCTCTCAGGCGCGCAGTTGCCGAGAGTCGCTGTGATGATGCTTGGCTCAAACAGCGTATCCCCGGGAGAGCTACGCAATCCCTGAATGCCCATAGGCTGTATCAGGTGTCAATCATAGAAAACATGAACCCCCTAATAACTTTTAAAAACGGAGCTGTACAAAAAAAAGAGGACTTCATCACAAACCAGTCTTACAATAACTACATGTCAACATCACAAGCAGGGGGGAGAAAAATTCATGTTCTGTGTAATAAATTTCCAAAGTTTGTCCCCAGCTCCATAAGCTTTGCTGGTGGAGGCAGGATTTATGACCTACACTGTGTGCACAATTATTAGGCAAGTTGTATTTTTGAGGATAAATTTTATTTTTGAACAACTACAGTGCTCTCGGTCAATCCAAAATGTTAATAAACCTCAAACCTTAATATTTAAGGGAGTAAAAGTGAGATTTTGACTTCCTTAGGCGAATATCTATGTGTGCACAATTATTGGGGGCAGCTATTAGTGTGCAGAATTATTATGCAACTATTCCATCTAACTTGTTTATTTTCACTTGTTAAAGTGAGAATCATAAACAAACAACTCAATTTACAAATAAAAATTGTTGAAATTTAAAAAAAAAAATCAGTAACCAATATAGCCACCCTTCTTTTCATTAACAGTCATAAGCTTTCCATTCATGGACTCTTTCAGTTTCTTGATCTGTTGATGATCAACTTTTTGTGTTGCAGTAACCAAAGCCTTCCAGACACTGTTCCAGACACTGTTCAGAGAGGTGTACTGTCTTCCTTCACTGTAAATTTCCTGTTTAAGAAGGGCTCACAAGTTCTCAACAGGGTTTAGGTCAGGTGAAGAAGGAGGCCACGTCATTATTCTTTCGTTTTTAAGGCCTTTACTGGCGAGCCACATAGTGGAGTACTTTGTTGCATGCAATGGAGCATTGTCCTGCATAAAAATCATGGTTTTCTTGAAAGATGCAGACTTTTGCCTGTACCACTGCTTCAAGAAAGTGTCTTCTCAAAACTGGCATTGGATTTGGGAGTTGATTTTAAGTCCATCTTTAACCCAAAAGGTCCAGCTAGCTCATCTTTAATAATACCAGCCCATACCAGTACCCCGCCTCCACCTTGCTGGTGTCTGATTCGAAGTGGAGCTCTGTGCCCATTACTGATCCAGCCACGGGCCCATCCATCTGGTCCGTCAAGAGTCACTCTCATCCCATCAGTCCATAAAACCTTTGAAAAATCTCTCTTCAGATATTTCTTGGCCCAGTCTTGACGTTTTGACTTGTGTGTCTTGTTCAGTGGTGGTCAGATTTCAGCCTTCCTTACTTTGGCCATGTCTCTGAGCACTGATCATCTTGTACCTCTGGGCACTCCAGGTAGGTTGCAGTTCTGGAATATGACAGCACCGGAGGATAAGCGATTCCTGGTAGCTTTACGTTTGAGTCTTCTCAAATCTTTGGCAGTTAATTTGCTTTTTTTTTTCTTAACACGTTTCTTGCGACCCTGTTGACTACTTGCATCAAAATGTTTGCTGGTTCTGTGATCACACCCAAATATCTAAGCAATTTCAAGAGTGCTGCATTCCTCTGAAAGACTTTTTACATTTTTTGACTTTTCAGAGTCACTTAAATCTCTTTTTTGGCCCATTTTACCTGAGGAAAAGAAGCTGCCTAATAATTATGCACACCTTGATATAGGGTTTTGATCTCCATAGGCCCCAGCCTCCCTCATTACACTAATACACATTACCTGATATGCTTATATCCAATAAGCATTCAAGTTTATACAGCTTGGAGTTGGAAAATATGCATAAAAATGATGATATGATCAAAATACTCACTTGCCTAATAATTGTGCACACAGTGTATACTGCAGCCCATCAACAGAGGGTGCTGTTCTCGGAGTGGCTTCACCCAGCAAGGAGGCAGACTTTGTCCGTTCTTTATACAGTCTATGGCTGTGTCTCATTTTAGGGACCGCATCAGGATAAGCGCGCTTAAGCGTGAATTAACGTAAATGAAGTCATTAATTTATGAGAATAAAGTCGTAAGGTTACCTGTTATTTCAGAGGAGAGTTGTTAAAATTAGGGCCATGAAGCATTTAAAGGAACTGTGCTTCAGTATAGGTTTCACAAACAGGAAGATACTTCATCTTTTGGCACATCAGCATCACATTGTCATAAGTATAAAGACTTAAAAAAGAATATATGAGAAATACGTCTTTTCCAAAAAAAAACACGTGTAGGCTACTTGAAGGAAATCGCTGCTTTTGTGGAGGCAGAAATGAATATGCTGAGGATATATCCGTTTATGCACCCGTAAATATCCATGAATGACATTGAGCTGTAGTTTATGATATGAATCCATGTGCCATAATAAGGCGTTGGTGTCTCTGCAGGTGTAGGTTACCGCCGGTGTCAGAGACGTGGTGCTCGTCGGAGCTCAATTCCCTCTGGATCACAAATGTTGATCATAAGTTGGATTGTTTCTTCAGAAACCACAAAAACTCTCTGAATGACCCGCTGATACATCCACCGACATCCCTGCAGATGACCAGCTTCACCCATTTCCCCCTCCACAAAAGCAGCTTCATGACTTTATTTACTTTATTCTCCTAAATTCACAACTTAAATCTCTAAATCTTAAAAAAAAAAAAAAAAAAAAAAAAAAAACTCAATGTTGTCCTGATACTCTGCTGTAGTTTTGTCAGCTTTCTTATTTCTAATGCGGTCTCTGAGATGAGACACAGGCAGGGTACTTAAGTCCACATAACGGCACATAAAGGCAGTGCGCTCAGCTAAGCGTGCTTATCCCGATGCGGTCTCTGAAATGAGACACAGCCACAGCCTATGCTGCCGACTCTGTACAGCCTCTGAGAGAGATGCATCTGCTGCTTTATCTCCCCCTGCTGGATGGGTGAATATACAGCAGCGGCATCTTCAGTCTGACACAGGAGATTTAACAGATTTTATTTATGGAGCAAACCCATTAAACCTGCTGAATTTAAAGAAAGAGGTTAGATTTTATTCTTTGAATATTGCATTACAAACTGTGTAATGCGAGAATTAACACAGGACTTTAAAATGTCATTGTGTACAGTTTTTGCAGACGATGACATTTTCACTGTAAAACTGTATGAAGTCAGACCAATAACAGTCACCCTTACAGTCAGTTTCGAAACAGTGTTAAAGATAATAGATCAGACACCTGCCAGACTGCAGCACCGCCGCTATACATGCTGAGTTTAACAGATTTGAACTTTTCATCCGTGAAACTATTTTAGAGGTGCTAACGGCTCTCAGTCAGCTGGTGAAGAAAACAGGGCTCCCGTGTTAACACGCCAGACAGCAGGTTGCATTTATCTGCATTAACTCGGCTGTGAAACACCAACACCAGTCCAGCCATGATTTGCGCAGCTGCATATTTCAATGTGTAGAAATATAACATTCAACATCACAAACTCCGCTGCAGAGCTGCCGTTATGGAGTCAGTTTGCAGACGGGGTTAACATGATTGAAACAGTAGGGGCTGGGTTCCGGGGTTCGCGGTGAGATCACTACGTGGTGACGCCACAGAGCGTGACGCGTTCTCAGAGCCGGAGGTGTAACTGTAGGGGTGAGACTGTTGTTGAGACAGGGAGTGATACAGAGTCCTTTTCAAGTCTGTTTTTACACAATTATTTAATATTCATACAGAGGGGGAGCACCGACCGGATAGGAAACTCAGACTGACTCCGGGACTGGGACTGGACTGCTATGGGAGCTGTACTGGGAGCTTTCTCATTCGCCAGCTGGGTGAGTTCTCATTTAGATATGACTCCTTTTTAACTGTTCTTTATCAACCAGTACAGAGAACAGCAGGTGACACCTGTCCACAGCGCACACCTCCAGTCCTAACCCCATCAGGGCACTGAATGATAGTAGGCTATGCCTATGTCTCGTTAGATTTGCCTGTTACGTACAGTACATGCCACTGTTGTCCTCCCTCTTTTGCTGCCAAGATGTTTTGTGTTTAGGTATGTGTCTGTTGATGCTGTCCTTGTTGCTGTTGATCTGTTTTTTTGTACAGAATTAGACTGAAGACAAATTTCCACTTGTAGACAATAAATGAACGAACTAACTGACTAACGAACTAAACCTCATTTCATATATGTGCAGATTTAAGCTCCGCGCCGCTCCACACTGTCTGGATCTACTGACTGAGATTTCAGGTTACTCTGATTATGACCTGACTCACTAAACACACTTGTCCGAGTCTGAGTTACATACTCAATCTGTGTCCCTTAACCTCACAGATAAAAAGCTCTCCTGAGACAGAGGAACCAAACCCCGTTCAGAAATATGGCATTTTTACCCCGCCAGTATTTTCCCGCTCTATAATCAAACAACCAAACTTAAAAAATAAGTGTTTTTATGTGTCAGCTCTGCTCTTACTTTGCTCTGTTAGTTTTTTTCTGTGACAGCTGCTGTGTTCACCTCTGACCTCTGCAGCAGGTCTCATCAGCAGGAGAAAAACACGAGTTTTACTAAACCGACACTATGGTCGAGACGACTGAGCTGCTGACACATTTCGGACACTTTCAGGAGGTTTCATATTTTAAAAAAGTGCTTCACATGCAGCGACATGTCTTAAAAAAGACCGCTATAGTTGTTGACTCGTTGGCTGGTCCCACCTGAAGCTCACCTGCGGCGACATAATGAGAGACTTTCAGGGACACGAGCAACAGAACTAAATGTTATAGCAGTGTAAAGAGAGTTCAGTCTGCAAAGCTGAGAGAAGTAAAGGGTTAATCGTAATACAGCAGGTCATCTGCTCACACGTGATCAACTGGATTAACTGTGCTTTGTTCCTGCTTGTTATTCCAGCTTTGAACCCACACAGCAGGACCCAACACACACACACACACACACACACACACACACACACACACACACACACACACACACACACACATATATATATATATATATACAGTATATATATATATAGTGTGTGTTACATATCTATCTATCTATCTATCTATCTATCTATATATATATATTTATATACATATGTATATATATATATATATATATATATATATATCTTGTTATCTTGTTAACTTCATCATGTGTGTCTATTTACTAGATATTTAATTCAATTTAATGCGGTTTCAGCTGTGTTGATTCGGTCGGGTTGTGTGTCCAAACGCGTGCCAAACGCGCTCATCAGATCAGATATAGATCAGAATATATCGATATAGATCTAAATGTATGTGCTGACTCAGATTAATAGTTGTTGATGATCATTTATTGCACTGAAATGTGCCTGACACTGTGGAAACCTGCCGGTGAGGCATCAGTGACGTATGCCGATACGCCGCTGGTCTACCAAAATACTACTAGACCAGCTGCACTCCGCCTGCGCTGAAAGCTGACCAGGTTTGAATCGGCGAGCTTTCAGCGCACTTTACACGCCGGTGGCGAGCACGAAAATGTCACTGCGCCCGCTGATTCTGTCGACACCTCCCCCTGCCACGCCACCACGCCCAGCTTGGCGGATCTCGGTTCGCCTCCGTGTGCCTCAGTCCACGAAAATACCAAACTGGCTGTACGCCGGGCTGCGCCAGACGAAAATACAACTGCGCGGGGCTCGCCGCCCTCCGTCGCCTCACCGGCATACATGGAAATAGAGCCCTTAGAGTCCAAACAGTAGGAAGCGTCTCTGTGATGCTCGGCTAACAGCGTGCTCCTGATTAGCAGTAATGGAGAGGCGTCCTCAGTGTCTCGAGTGTCTCTGGATCTGTCAGGGCCGGTCATGTGCTGCTACTCTGTGGTTTGACACACATTAGAGCGACCTCAGTCTGAAGCTGGACTCAGTTGACCCAATCTGGCTGAGAGGGAATTAACAGGTGTCTTTATCTCTGTGCTCAGATCAGCTGATACAGACGCAGAGGCTCAGTCTTCATGTAAATGTATATTTCATACCTGCTGTAACATACAGAGATTGTTCTTTTTGCAAGTGTGCTACATGATGAACTTTAGCCTTGCCTTTAGTTGCCCTGTTTACTTCACTGTCCTTTGTGGACACCTTTCACACGTCTCTCAGGGTTGTTTGCTCTCTGTACTTTAACCTGTTTTAACTTGCGTGCACACCTCCTTAGTCTGCACATTCTGTTTCTCAAGTTTGCATGCTGCTCTCAAAACCTCCATCTAGATATTTCACTCTCCTCTTCTGATTTGCCAAATATGGTAACAGGAAGTTGTCTCTTATAGTTTGATTTGATTTATTTGTCCCATGGGGAGATTTCTCTTCACTCACAGTACATTGCACATCACATCATGATATGTATGTGTGTGTGCTCACTAAAGGTGCCTCAGTGAGATTTGGTAAAGCAGACTGTTAGTTTACTCTCTGATTCTACCTATATCTGCTCAGTACATTTACAAAGACCACTGGTTGACTCGAGATCCTTTATTGATTGCATTTGGAAGACAAGTTTTTTTCAAAACAAGACCCCTCTGAGGCGGATGCAGTTTCGGGTTACTTTTGAGGATTTTTCCTGAACCAGAATCTAAACTTTAGAAGAGTTAAAGCTGCTGTGAGAAATAGACTGAAATTAACATGCTTTTTAGGATTTCTAAAAGGAAATGACCATCAGCAACATGACTGTAATTTTTCACTACCTAGACCTGTAGAAGACAAAATAAGCAAACACTGCTTTGTTCACTGTGGGTGCCAAAATGATACAAACCACATGTCCCTCCAGAGGGCTTCAACAAGAATCCCTCAGTCACTTCATACTGGAGCACGATTTAAACGTTTTTTTAATGTAACACAATGGGGGGGTGGGGGGTGGGGGGGCACTCAAATTCACATAACATATTTTATTTTTGACAAATATAATGTCATTTGAGACCGATGTGCTGAGGATGACAGTAATGCTGCCGTGTAGACCTGCTGAAGGAAGAGACTAAAGACAGGAACTATCAGAGCAGAGCAGTGAGGTCCATGCTGATGTCTCAGGTCCATACTGACAGGTGTCTTCTATGTGTTTCTAGGTGCCGTGCCTGTGCAGCAGCACCACCTGTTTGCTGTGTAGCTGCTGCCCGAGCAGCAGGACCTCTACGGTGACCAGAGTCATCTATGCCTCCATCCTGCTGCTGGGGACCATTGTGGCGTGCATCATGCTGTCACCAGGAGTCGACCACCAGCTGAAGAGGGTACGAGACAACCTCAGATAGACACAAGAGCCCTCCTACTGCTCCTCCTCCTGGTTCTCTCTCCACCTCCTCCTCCTCCTCTTTCCTCTCTCCTCCTCCTGCTCCTCCTCTCTCTTTTTGTCATGGTGACGTTGTTGCTCTGTCCCAGATCCCTGGTTTCTGCGAGGATGGTGCCGGTTTGAACATCCCCAGCCTGCAGGCCGATGTGAACTGTGAAATGTTTGTGGGTTATAAGGCCGTGTACCGAGTCTGCTTTGGGATGGGTCTTTGGTTCCTTGGGTTCTCCATCCTCATGATCAACATCAAGAACAGCAGAGACCCCCGAGCTGCCATACACAATGGGTGAGGAGCTTCAGCATTCACACACACACACACACACACACACACACACACACACACACACACACACACACACACACACACACACACACACACACACAATGTCTGTGTGAGCTGTGTTATCTCTGCAGGTAAGGGGTCAAAGGTCACAAGTGTGTCAGTTGTACAATCTATTGTTCAGTCGACCTTTGACCTGCACAGTTTGGTTCATAGAGTTAAATACGTCTAGAACAGGGGTGTCAAACTCATTTTAGCTCAGGGGCCACATGGAGGAAAATCTATTCCCAAGCGGGCTGGACCAGTAAAATCATGGTATATGACTTAAAAACAACAACTTCAGATTGTTTTAATTTGTTTTAATACTGTCCCAAATAGGACAAACACAACATCTCTATTAATCATAAAACACTTAAAGTTTTTTGAAAATTCTGAGGACAAATAGCACACAAACACAATGCCTCAGTGAGTCACAGAACCAGAACAGTATCACAGACCAAACAAGTGCAAGAACCAGTCACAAATCAAGAATAGGTTAAATATACAAATCTAAACTAAGGCTGCACGATATTGGAAAAAAATAATATTGCGATTTTTTCAACCCTGCGATATATATTGCGATATTAAAAATACAGTATTTTCACCAGATGACCTGAATAGCACTTAATGTTATGCTGCACTGCTGAAATCTTGAGGACAGTTAATCTGCTCTGATCTTACCTCTTTTTGTGAATGTTAGTAGAACGGCTTCTGTCTGTCTCAGAGATATTTTTAGCTTTTATTGTGCTGGGACGTTATTGTGGCAACAGGGGAACACAGAAGACGTGTTTTGGTCGACATCATCCTTCTTTTAACCGAAATAATTCCAGATAACTGACTTTCCTTTTCTTTTTGGCAACAAATCTTCATTTTCGGTGGTTTTCGCTTGTTCGTTGTTCATTTTGCGATCGTTGTTGTTGTTGTTAGCGGTGTTGTGCCGAGAAACGCATGTCCTCCGAGAATTGCATGCACCTCGCAAAACGCGCACTGCTTATAGTAGAGTGGTCCACGGAAATGTACAATTTAAAACCCATACAGTTCTTATTTGTTGGGCTTAATAGTCATGAGTAAAGTTCCGAAAGTAATTCTCAGCGGACACACGTCTCCCTCCATGTGCAGAACATGTGCAGGGGTGGGTTTTCTCCTCCCTGATTTTGATTGACAGCTGGCAGGGTAGTCTGATTGGCAACTGAGAAGTGAGTCTGATTGGCAACTGAGTTAAGGACGAAGGCGATTGGTGGATCGCTGCACAGCACATGCAGAGTCACATGGAGTGTATCTCAGTCGGTTACCCTTGAAATTAAATGAGTTCATTCACCTCCAATATCGCAGGCTCTGCGATGTGACTATCGCACACACGTACATCGTGATGACGATAGTCAAACGATATATCGTTCAGGCCTAATCTAAACATAAAGCTGAAGCCTTAGGACAGTGTATCCAAAATAGTGCAAACACAACATCACTATTAACTAGGCCTGGACGATATAGAAAAAAAGCATATCGATAAAAAATAAATCATATTGATCGATATCGATAATTATCGATATAATTATTATAATTATTTAACATATATTTTAATTGCAGCCCTGGATGTTTTATGCTATTGCTTAATGACCTACTTTTAATAAAGAACACACAAGCACTGAATTCAAATTCAAACCTTTATTCAACCACCTTTTCATTTTACCACAACTGAAAGTTTTTTTAAAAAAGAACTAAAAAAAAAAAGAAATCAACTTAAGTGGCCTGAGTGACGTCAGTAAATACTGACAAACATAAAGACTAAAGTGACCAGAAAATCTGATAAATAAATATTTAAATAGTCTTTTGATGAAAATAAACAAAACAAACAAATATATAAATAAACAGAATAGCTTTAGGTGGGAATAGCATACTACCAGTTTTAACTGTGTGGGAAACTGCCCACAGCCTGGTGTCTGAACACTGAAATATTTCTCCCAGGGTCGGGAGATTTATTTTTTTTAATTATCATGTGATTGACTTAATACACAAACTAAGCACGAGAAGCAGGACTTATCCACGCCGGTGTTGTGTCGTAGAATGCACCCCTGCCGAATGCACCCCCTGCTAGTAGCCATGATCCAAATACTCGCGTCTTTGTAAAATATGAGCTCATTTGAACGTATTTCCTCCGCACCCTTCTCACCTTTTCAACCCCTGACCCATTTTCATGCCTGAAGCGCTGTGTTTGAGAAATACTTGCGGCCGGGCACTTCATATCGCGGGTCGAGAGTGGCTAGAAGCTGGTCGAAGCCAGGCTTTTCAACGGTAGTTATTGGCAGTATGTCCCTCGCTATGGAGCATGTTACTGCATGGGTGATGTCCTTATGCCGCTCGGACGCTTTGTCGTATTTTGGCAAGAAACAAAGTCCAGTTTGGTCTGCTTCACATGCTTTGTGCTGGTGCTGGCAGCGGTTCCAGAGGATTCCTCCTCCGACGACGACGTGGAGCCGCGGCGCGGCCGACACAGCTCGTACTCCTGCGGGTGCGATCGGTTTAGATGGTAAAACAGGTTGGTTGTGTTACCAGACTTGGTTTTTACTAATTCTCCGCAAATTTTGCAAACGACCGCTGTTCGCTTTTTGTCAGACTTCTAAAAACCAAAACATTGCCATGCTGGTGAACTACTGAAACCTTTTTTCGGGACAATGTACTCCGCTTCTCCGTGCTGTATCATTTTTTCTAATACACGTGCTGTCTGTTGTGGTTTGATAGGGGCTGGGCTTGGTGCCGTAGCGTACCTGGGTCTGCGTTTGTGATTGGTTAGGAGGAAGTAATGACTGTAGTAAAAGCTACATGATAGGCTATGATGAAAAAGAAAGGGAAACTGTGTTTTTCTATCGAACTTTTTATCGACCCGTTTTTTTTCTATCGCACCACACGTCTATCGATCGATATATATTGTTATCGAATTATCGTCCAGCACTACTATTAACCATATATCACTTCAAGTTTTTTGAAAATTCTGAGGACAAAGAACACACAAACACAGTGATTCACAGAACTGTTTCACAGATCACAGAACTATATGAGGGTGTCTCATGCAGCACTTGAAGTGGGGTTGCATTGTTCATTTGACTCCTGATACCTGGCATCTTTTAGCTTTCACCAGCGCATCAATATCAGGCGTTGCATTCTGAGTGACAGCCAACTTCAGGATGTGATTCAAGTGGCTGTGCGTGAGCCTTGAGCGCAGCTTTGTTTTATCAATGTTCATTACAGATAAAACCTGCTCACAAAGATATGTGGTTCCAAACATGGACAACAGCTTTGCAGCGAGGGCTGTCAAGTTGGAAGTGAGCTGCATCACCACCGGCGAGTTGCGTCTCCCACAATGACAGCTTCAACTTAAAAGCGCGTATGCTGTCATAATACTGTGTGACAACTTTGTTGCACCCTTGCAGCTGTTTGTTAAAGGTATTCAGGTGCTCGGTAACATCCACCATAAATGCAAGGTCCTGCATCCATTCTCCGGAATGAAATTCTAACACCGGTTTACCCTTTTCTTCCATGAACTGTTCAATTTCTTCTCGTAAGTCATAGAAACGCCTCAGCACAGCACCTCCGCTTAACCACCTTACCTCAGTGTGGTATGGCAAGCCATGGATGTGGTCTTTCTCTCTGAGAAGGCTGTCAAACTGATGGTGATTCAGGCTTCTGGATTGGATGAAATTCACCGTTTGGATGACTACCTTCATGACGTTATCCATGTTTAATGACTTGCAACCATAGACTGTATAAAGAATGGACAGAGTCTGCCTCCTCGCTGGGTGAAGCCACTCCGAGAACAGCACCCTCTGATGGTGGGCTGCAGTACAGGTCATAAATCCCGCCTCCGCCAGCAAAGCTTATGGGACTGTGGACAAACTTTCAAAATTTATTACACAGAACAGAATTTTTTCTCCCCCCTGCTTGTGATGTTGACATGTAGTTATTGTAAGACTGGTTTGTGCCCAAGTCCTTTTTTTTCCTGTACAGCTCCGTTTTTAAAAGTTATTAGGGGGTTCATGTTTTCTATGATTGACACCTGGTACAGCCTATGGGCGTTCAGGGATTGCGTAGCTCACCCGGGGGGATACAGTTCTACAACATCTGTAATGTCCGTGCTTTCATCAACTGCAACTGAAAAGGCAATAAAAGCCTTTACTGTGTTCTTTAACTGGCTGTTCTATTCCACTGAAAGATCGGAAATCCTGTCTGTGATGGTGTTTCTTGTCAGGCTGATATTTGCAAAAGCCTGTCGCTTTTCAGGGCACACAATCTCCGCTGCCTTCACCATGCATGTTTTTATGAATTCACCCTCACTAAATGGTTTTGAAGCCACTGCGATTTCGTGAGCAATGAGGTAGCTAGCTTTCACCGCAGCATCACTGATGTCTCATAGTGGTGTGTCGGTCTTGAACGAACGGATCAAAAGAACTAGTTCTTTTTGATGAACGAAATGAACTAGTTCTCCCCCTCTAAATGACCCGTTCAGTCCGTTCAGTTCTTTTGATTGGCTGAAGAGGGACTGCTTGCCTGTCTTATCCTATCGTCGCGCCTCGTTCTGTGTGTGGGTGGGGCTTAGAGAAGCAGCAGCAGTACTACTGAGCTGACTGAAAGACCGGGATGACCGAGTTGACTGAAAGAACGGGTCAAATGAACGAACGACCTAGTTGACTGAAAGAACGGGTCAAATGAACGAAAGACCTAGTTGACTGAAAGAACGGGTCAAATGAACGAAAGACCGAGTTGAACGAAAGACCCAGACCGATGAACGAGTTGAACGAAAGACCGAGTTGAACGAAAGATCCAGACGGATGAACGAGTTGAACGAAAGACCGAGTGAACGAAAGACCGAGTTGAACGAAAGACCCAGACCGATGAACGAGTTGAACGAAAGACCAAGTTGAACGAAAGATCCAGACGGATGAACGAGTTGAACGAAAGACCGAGTGAACGAAAGATCCAGACGGATGAACGAGTTGAACGAAAGACCGAGTGAACGAAAGATCCAGACGGATGAACGAGTTGAACGAAAGACCGAGTGAACGAAAGACCCAGACGGATGAACGAGTTGAACGAGAGACCGAGTGAACGAAAGATCCAGACGGTGAACGAGTTGACTGAAAGACCGAGTGAAAGAAAGATCCAGACAGATGAACGAGTTGACTGAAAGACTGAGTTGAGTTGCCGCTGCACGAGGCCCGACAGCCGAGCCGGAGCGAGCGGGACAGTCACACACACGAGCGGACTGACAAATGACCGATTGACCGAAAAGAACGAAATGAACGGGTCTTTTTACTGAACGACCCGGAATGATCCGGTTCACTGAAATGACCGGTTTTGCCCACCACTAATGTCTCAGCTGTGAGTAAAAACAGACTGCTGTTTCTTCAGACCCGACAATAGTTCATCCACCTTCTCTTTTCTCTGCTGTCCTTGAAAGTTGTCATATTTGTCGGCATGAAGACTCACATAGTGGCGACAAAGGTTATACTCTTTCAGCACTGCAACATGCTGTGAACACACCAAACATACTGCTTTCCTTTTCAATTCTGTGAAAAAATAGCAGTATGACCATTTTTCTTGGAACACGCTGCACTCTATCCAGTGGACGCAGTTAGAACAGCAGTTTATTGAAAAATTGCAGCTCATTTTTAAACTTTACATAATCATCTCTCGGGCCGGATTAAACCCGTTTGCGGGCCAGATCCGGCCCGCGGGCCGTACGTTTGACACCCCTGGTCTAGAAGCAAACACCTGTCAGGTAACCTAAGGTCAGGCTGAATGTGTTTGGATCTTTGGATGTCAAATATAAAAACACACCTGTCACCAAAACAACATGAGGGAAGTATGGAGTGGCATGAGAACCATCACTGGTTTTAAAAAGACTGTTAGCAGTGGGTTAGAGGGCTGTGTGGACCGGGCTGAGCCTGTTTTTCAACAAGTTTGACTCTGTGGCTGCTGCCCCTCCCCCACTCGACTCAGTTGCTATCTGCCTACCTCCAAGTGCTTCAAGTGCTACCACTCTGCCTCCCCCTCCTCCACCTCCTTACAGATCTCCTGACCACTTCTCACCTCCACTATCCACCTACCCTCCCCCTGACTCTACATTCTGTCCTTCCCTACCTGAAGACCTCCCCCCTGCCCTGCCTGTCACCCCTACCCTGTCCTTCACACCTGACCAAGTGAGAAGACTGCTGAAGAGAGGCCACCCTGGCAAGGCTGCAGGCCCTGATGGTGTGTTACCTAGGGTGCTTAAAGCCTGTGCCCCCCAGCTGTGTGGAGTTCTTCACCTGATCTTCAGCCTGAGCATGCACCTCCAGAAGGTCCCTGTGCTGTGGAAGATGCCCTGCCTTGTTTCTGTGCCAAAGCTGCTGCGTCCCAGCGGCTCTCATGACTACAGACCAGTGGCTCTGACTTCTCACATCATGAAGACCCTGGAGAGACTGGTCCTGGAGCAGCTCAGGTCTATGGTTAGGCCCTTCACGGATCCACTGCAGTTCACCTACTAGCCCCGCCTGGGAGTTGAGGACAGCATCATCTACCTGCTGAACTGGGTCTGCTCTCACCTGGACAAGCCGGCAAGTACCGTGAGAGTCATGTTTTTTGACTTCTCCAGTGCTTTCAATACCATCCATCCAACTCTACTGGGTGAGAAGACGGCAGCGATGCAGGTGGATGCCCCCCCTGTCCTGGATTGTTGACCACCTGATGATAGACCACAATATATGTGGCTGCAACATTGTGTGTCTGAAAGAGTGGTTAGCAGCACTGGGGCCCCACAGGGGACTGTCCTTTCTCCTTTCCTCTTCACCCTCTACACCCTCTACACCACAGACTTAAACTATTTCATAGAGTCCTGCCACCTTCACAAGTTTTCTGATGACTGCAATAATTGGATGCATCAGCGAGGATGAGAAGAGTGACTACAGGACTATGGTAGACAACTTTGTCACATGGTGTGAGCTGAACCATCTGCAGCTCAATGTGACAAAAACTAATGAGCTGATAGTAGATCTGGGGAGGAAAAAAACACCTGTGACCCCTGTTTCCATCCAGGGGGTCCCAGTGGACACTGTGGAGTAGTGCTGGGCGATATGGAAAAAAATGTATATCACGATATGGATCATTTTATATCACGATAACGATATATATCACGATATAGCTATGGTATGCTTTCAGTTCTATGAAAAATGTAAGTGTATACAGCTGCACTAGTACAGCACCAGTACAAGACCAGCACTTAAAACTAGAAAAATGAATAAATAAATACGTGACCGAAGTGCGTTCATGTCTGTGCTCACCCAAAGTTATGCAACACTCACAGAAAACGCCGATAGTGTGAGCCAAAGCACTCCATAATAATAATAATAATAATAATAATAATAATAAATTTAATTTGTAATGCACTTTACATTTACAAAAAATCTCAAAGTGCTACAGTACACAGTAAAAAAAGAGCAGCAACAATAAAAAAAGCAATAGAATGACAGTCACAGATTGGCATAAAAAAAGAATTAAAAAAAATGAAAAATATAGAGTTGCAATGTAAGAGGCAAGGTAGTAAAGGCATAAAGCATAGAGGAAAACTAACCAAAGGCTTTATTAAAAAGGTAGGTCTTTAGGGCTCTTTTGAAGAGGTTGTTCACACTGCTAGATGTTTCTCCTCCAAAGCTGCTCTCTGCCTCCATCATTGTTAGGGCCCGAGCGTAGCTGCTAAGCAGCTGCGAGAGCCCTATTATTCCCCAAGTGGTTTTTCTTTGTTTCTTAGGGCCCGAGCGTAGCTGCTAAGCAGCTGCGAGAGCCCTATTATTCCTGATGGATTCTTCTTTCTTCTTCTTCTTCTTATTATTTTTCTGCCCCTTTGAACTGGAAAATGGCCCACTTCCCACTGGTGAAAAGTCATGAAATTTGGCAGGACGACCGGGCCTGGTGAAAAATTCGATATTCTGAAGTCGCCCAAAAAATCAAATGCAAAATGGCTCCATAGCGCCCCCTAAGGTGAAAAATTCACATGATTGAGTGTCACGCCTGTACGCTTTGTCAAAATGACACAAAATTTGACACACACGTGTATCTCAATAAGATCTACAAAAAAGTCAGTGCGGGCGTATCTGTCAAATGTACGGTTAAAGGGCTATTTCGCATTTTTTGCCGATCCACACACATTGGAATTTCGCTAACTCCTCCGAAGGCTTTCGTTCCACCGGCACCAAATTTGCTCAGGCCAATCTACACCCCATGGCCATTAAAAGTTGTACAAATCATGACGCTGCATCCCACGGTTTACGTTCTAGGGGGCGCCAAAGATAACCCAAAAATCCACATTCTTAAAAGTCGTATAACTTTTTATTTTTGTCCTCACTGGCCTCCAAGTTTTCTAGGATGATGCAATGTCCAGCCATCAACACATTTGTGAAGGAATTTTTACTCCCCAAAAGAGCGCCCCCCCATGGCAGGAGAAAAAAGTCCATTTTTTCTTGTCTCCTAAGGCGAAAATTCACACTATTGACTGTCACGCCTTTACGCTTTGTCATATTGACACAAAAATTGACACACACATGTATCTCAATAAGATCTACAAAAAAGTCAGTGCGGGCGTATCTGTCAAATGTACGGTGAAAGGGCTATTTCGCATTTTTTGCCGATCCGCACACATTGGAATTTCGCTAACTCCTCCGAAGGCTTTCGTTCCAAAGGCACCACATTTGCTGAGGCCAATCTACACCCCATGGCCATTAAAAGTTGTACAAATCATGACGCGGCACCCCACGGTTTACGTTCTAGGGGGCGCCAAAGATAACCCAAAAATCCACAGTCTTAAAAGTCTTATAACTTTTTATTTTTGTCCTCACTGGCCTCCAAGTTCTCTAGGATGATGCAATGTCCAGCCATCAACACATTTGTGAAGGAATTTTTACTCGCCAAAAGAGCGCCCCCCCCATGGCAGGAGAAAAAAGTCCATTTTTTCTTGTCTCCTAAGGCGAAAATACACATTGTTGACTGTCACGCCTTTATGCTTTGTCAAAATGACACAAAATTTGACACACACATGTATCTCAATAAGATCTACAAAAAAGTCAGTGCGGGCGTATCTGTCAAATGTACGGTTAAAGGGTTATTTCGCATTTTTTGCCGATCCGCACACATTGGAATTTCGCTAACTCCTCCTAAATCTTTTGTCCCATCGGCTTCAAATTTGCTCAGGCCAATCTACACCCCATGGCCATTCAAAGTTGTAAAAATCATGACGCTGCACCCCATGGTCTACGTTCTAGGGGGCGCCAAAGAGGACCCAAATATCCACATTTTTAAAGTCTTATAACTTTTTATTTTTGTCCTCACTGGCCTCCAAGTTTTCTAGGATGATGCAATGTCCAGCCATCAACACATTTGTGAAGGAATTTTTTCTCCCCAAAAGAGCGCCCCCCCATGGCAGGAGAAAAAGTCAAGTTTTTCCTGCCCATCGCTCAATGGCTCAAACGCATCGCTCTCTCGGCAAAACCGAAAGGAGGAGCAACTTGCCATTTGGATATATACTAGCTGTGTTTGTGCCCTCACTCATGGTCCAGACTTTTTTCAAATAGGACATGTAGTTTGTCTGCAGCGACCGTTTTGGTAGAAACTGCGCCTCCCATTCATTATAATGGGAAATGACCACAGACAAGTGCGCACACCATCTTTGGACCTTGAGTGTGATGCAATCGGGAGGGGGAGGCGGTCGCGCTGGGGGCGGCGCGACGCGGCTCGGGCCCGACAGTGCCCCACCGGGACCCTAGTTATTATTATTATTTTTCCTCCGCTTTAAACTGGAAAATGGCCCACTTCCCACTGGCGAAAACTCATGAAATTTGGCAGGACGACCGGGCCTGGTGAAAAATTCGATATTCTGAAGTCGCCCAAACAATAAAATGCAAAATGGCTCCATAGCGCCCCCTAAGGTGGAAATTCACACTATTGACTGTCACGTCTGTACGTTTTGTCATATTGACACAAAAATTGACACACATATGTATCTCAATAAGATCTACAAAAAAGTCAGTGCGGGCGTATCTGTCAAATGTACGGTTAAAGGGTTATTTCGCATTTTTTGCCGATCCGCACACATTGGAATTTCGCTAACTCCTCCGAAGGCTTTCGTTCCACCGGCACCACATTTGCTCAGGCCAGTCTACACCCCATGGCCATTAAAAGTTGTACAAATCATGACGCTGCACCCCACGGTTTAGGTTCTAGGGGGCGCCAAAGATAACCCAAAAATCCACATTCTTAAAAGTCTTATAACTTTTTATTTTTGTCCTCACTGCCCTCCAAGTTTTCTAGGATGATGCAATGTCCAGCCATCAACACATTTTTGAAGGAATTTTTACTCCCCAAAAGAGCGCCCCCCCATGGCAGGAGAAAAAAGTCAATTTTTTCTTGTCCCCTTACATGAAAATACACATTGTTGAGTGTCACGCCTGAACGCTTTGTCATATTGACACAAAAATTGACAATCATGTGTATCTCAATTAGATCTACGAAAAAGTCAAAGAGCGCGTATCTGTATAATGTACGGTTAAAGGGCTATTTCGCATTTTTTGCCGATTCGCACACATTGGAATGTGGCTATCTCCTCCTAAGGCTTTCGTCCCACTGATACCAAATTTGCTCAGGGCAATCTACACCCCATGCCCATTCAAAGTTGTAAAAATCATGACGCTGCACCCCACGGTTTACGTTCTAGGGGGTGCCAAAGATGACCCAAAAATCCACATTCTTAAAAGTCATTTTGGCCACTGCAGGAGTACAGAGTACTGCAGTTCTAGGGGGCGCCAAAGATGACCCAAAAATCCACATTCTTAAAAGTCTTTTTGGCCACTGCAGGAGTACAGAGTACTGCAGGATACACACACATATACACACACGCCACACACACACACACACACACACACACACACACACACACACACACACACACTCAGAGTCTGTTTTTTAGCACCTGCAAAAACATGCTGTTTACATATTTGACAAGAATGCAGAGGCTTCCTTTTGCCCCTGAAAAAAATCAAATTTCAAACACAACTTGACTGTTCATTTCTCCAAAAGACAACCATGAAGCTCCATCCAAACCTGAAGCAGATAGTTGGTGCATGTGTACAGTAACCTGAGGGGAGTGAGGTGACTATTTCTGAGGAGAACATGAGCAGTGAAGATTCACCTTGGAGCTAGAACAGGGACGTGCACATGATTATACAGGGGCAGGGGCTCAAGTTTTTTCCAGTCATTTATACAATATGGAAATTAATGTGAAATTAAAAAACAAAGTATTAATAGAAAGGTAATGACTGTCCTGTGTAGGTGACAGTGATATCCAATAGGCTAGGCACTCACGAGGCTGGCTGTGGCAAGTGTAAGTGAAAGCAACACGCACTGGCAGGAAGAACAGCAAACGCCGATGAAGGAAAGGGTCTTTGCAGTGATGGGCGTTACCAGAGAGGACGATGGCCAGAAGACGCGAATGGGACGGGGAGGCAGCGCGTTGGGGGGGGCAGCGCGACACGGCTCGGGCCCGCCAGTGCCCCAACGGGGCCCTAGTTAGGGCCCGAGCGTAGCTGCTAAGCAGCTGCGAGAGCCCTCTTGTTCCTGATGGATTCTTCTTTCGTTATTTTTCCTCCGCTTTAAACTGGAAAATGGCCCACTTCCCACTGGCGAAAACTCAGGAAATTTGGCAGGACGACCGGGCCTGGTGAAAAATTCGATATTCTGAAGTCGCCCAAACAATAAAATGCAAAATGGCTCCATAGCGCCCCCTAAGGTGAAAATTCACATGACGGCTGTACGCTTTGTCATATTGACACAAAAATTGACACACACATGTATCTCAATAAGATCTACAAAAAAGTCAGTGCGGGCTTATCGGTCAAATGTACGGTTAATGGGTTATTTTGCATTTTTTGCAGATCTGCACACATTGGAATTTCGCTAACTCCTCCGAAGCCTTTCGTTCGACCGGCACCACATTTGCGCAGGCCAATCTACCCCCCATGGCCATTAAAAGTTGTACAAATCATGACGCTGCACCCCACGGTTTACGTTCTAGGGGGCGCCAAAGATAACCCAAAATCCACATTCTTAAAAGTCTCATAACTTTTTATTTTTGTCCTCACTGCCCTCCAAGTTTTCTAGGATGATGCAATGTCCAGCCATCAACACATTTGTGAAGGAATTTTTACTCCCCAAAAGAGCGCCCCCCCCATGGCAGGAGAAAAAAGTTAATTTTTTCTTGTCCCCTTACATGAAAATACACATTGTTGAGTGTCATGCCTGAACGCTTTGTCATATTGACACAAAAATTGACAATCACGTGTATCTCAATTAGATCTACGAAAAAGTCAAAAAGCGCGTATCTGTATAATGTACGGTTAAAGGGCTATTTCGCATTTTTTGCCGATTCGCACACATTGGAATGTGGCTATCTCCTCCTAAGGCTTTCGTCCCACTGACACCAAATTTGCTCAGGGCAATCTACACCCCATGCCCATTCAAAGTTGTAAAAATCATGACGCTGCACCCCACGGTTTACGTTCTAGGGGGCACCAAAGATGACCCAAAAATCCACATTCTTAAAAGTCATTTTGGCCACTGCAGGAGTACAGAGTACTGCAGTTCTAGGGGGCGCCAAAGATGACCCAAAAATCCACATTCTTAAAAGTCTTTTTGGCCACTGCAGGAGTACAGAGTACTGCAGGATACACACACACACACACACACACACACACTCAGAGTCTGTTTTTTAGCACCTGCAAAAACATGCTGTTTACATATTTGACAAGAATGCAGAGGCTTCCTTTTGCCCCTGAAAAAAATCAGATTTCAAACACAACTTGACTGTTCATTTCTCCAAAAGACAACCATGAAGCTCCATCCAAACCTGAAGCAGATAGTTGGTGCATGTGTACAGTAACCTGAGGGGAGTGAGGTCACTATTTCTGAGGAGAACATGAGCAGTGAAGATTCACCTTGGAGCTAGAACAGGGACGTGCACATGATTATACAGGGGCAGGGGCTCAAGTTTTTTCCAGTCATTTATACAATATGGAAATTAATGTGAAATTAAAACACAAATATGTGTGATGAACTGTTTTTAAAACTTAAACTTCAAATAAAAATTGTAAACTTCAAAACATATGCAAATTTTTAACAAAGAACATAGTAATTTACCTCTATTTACATCAAAATGCAGGCAATGGCCCAGGCGTTCTTTGTAAAATTATTTACAAAACACTGTATAGTCTCACAAATGTCACTTTTTATTTATGCCACTACAAAAAAACATGATGTAAATGATGCATGATGTAAAACATGATGTAAAAAACTTGTGTAGATCCTCCTCTATGTCAGTCCATGTGTAATTTTTCCATAATTCTTTGTTTTTTGCAGCATTTTTGTTAGTGTAACTGCAGATTGTGCTGACAGTCTATGGCAAAAAAAACAAAAACTGAAAATGCCTCAACATGAACCCCTGGTGGTCTCTGAGGGTGAAACCTGCTAACTGCTGCAGCTCTGTCAGCTTCAGTCTCCCATGCAGAGCTCGGAGCGCATGTGTGGCTCTGCACCCTTAGCAGCGTTGCTAACTCCTCAGTAAGGAAAGCCTGCTTCATGTCAGAGTCTCTAAACTCCAGAAGAAGTCGATAAAAGTCCCTTTCTTTCTAAAAAAAGTCGTTAGGGGGTCTGAAAAGTAATTGAATCTAACAACAAAGTCGCTAGGTTTGCAACTACGTGTCCCAGACTGCATCCCTGCTGAGAGTCCCTCCCTCCCTTCTCATGTTGCAGGAAGAACGTAAGCGCCCGCCCCTTGTCAATCAGTCACCATATAATTTTGGATTGGTTGTTGTGGTGAAGTTTTCCACCAATAGGAGAGATGTTGTGGTGTGTTTTTTTTTTCTTTTGGCAAGCCTTTTCCGCCTGTAAGACCTGTCGCTAATGTCTGCATGCTATGTTTTCCTGTCTCATACAGCGCGATCGAGCGCCGAACGTGATCAAAATAAGCAGAAAACAAGTATCGCGGACATAATTTATCATAACTCTGGTTTTATTTGGCCTATCAACACAATTTAAAAACTGGTATATAGGTTGAGGTCCTCACTTTTGAGATAAGTTGAAACGGAGAGTTAACGAGGCTCCGTCTTGCAGCTACATCCGGTTAAATATGTCATGTGACTTGAACGCTGGGGAGCGTCAATCGAATCGAATCAAACCTAACTCTCAGATGAATCTTCAAAATTCACCTCAGAAATATGCTTATTATTCTTCTCAGAGTACTGCAGGATACACACACACACACACACAGACACACACGCACACACACACACAGACACACACGCACACACACACACACACACACACACTCAGAGTCTGTTTTTTAGCACCTGCAAAAACATGCTATTTACATATTTGACAAGAATGCAGAGGCTTCCTTTTGCCCCTGAAAAAAATCAAATTTCAAACACAACTTGACTGCTCATTTCTCCAAAAGACAACCATGAAGCTCCATCCAAACCTGAAGCAGGCAGTTGGTGCATGTGTACAGTAACCTGAGGGGAGTGAGGTGACTGCTTCTGAGGAGAACATGAGCAGTGAAGATTCACCTTGGAGCTAGAACAGGGACGTGCACATGATAATACAGGGGCAGGGGCTCAAGTTTTTTCCAGTCGTTTATACAATATGGAAATTAATGTGAAATTAAAAAAAAAAGTATGACTGTCCTGTGTAGGTGACAGTGATATCCAATAGGCTAGGCACTCACGAGGCTGGCTGTGGCAAGTGTAAGTGAAAGCAACACGCACTGGCAGGAAGATGAAGGAAAAGGGTCTTTGCAGTGATGGCCGTTACCAGAGAGGGCGATGGCCAGAGGACACGAATGGGACGGGGAGGCAGCGCGTTGGCGGGGGGGGGTGCGCGACACGGCTCGGGCCCGCCAGTGCCCCAACGGGGCCCTAGTTTTTTCTTTTTCCTCCCCTTTGAACTGGAAAATGGCCCACTTCCCACTGGCGAAAACTCAGGAAATTTGGCAGGACGACCGGGCCTGGTGAAAAATTTGATATTCCGAAGTCGCCCAAACAAGAAAATGCAAAATGGCTCCATAGCGCCCCCTAAGGTGAAAATTCACACTATTGACTGTCACGCCTGTACGCTTTGTCAAAATGACACAAAAATTGACACACACATGTATCTCAATAAGATCTACAAAAAAGTCAGTGCGCGCGTATCTGTCTAATGTACGGTTAAAGGGTTATTTCGCATTTTTTGCCGATCCGCACACATTGGAATTTCGCTAACTCCTCCGAAGGCTTTCGTTCCACCGGCACCACATTTGCTCAGGCCAATCTACACCCCATGGCCATTAAAAGTTATTCAAATCATGACGCTGCACCCCACGGTTTAGGTTCTAGGGGGCGCCAAAGATAACCCTAAAATCCACATTTTTAAAAGTCTTATAACTTTTTATTTTTGCCCTCACTGGCCTCCAAGTTTTCTAGGATGATGCAATGTCCAGCCATCAACACATGTGTGAAGGAATTTTTACTCCCCAAAAGAGCGCCCCCCCATGGCAGGAGAAAAAAGTCCATTTTTTCTTGTCCCCTAAGGTGAAAATACACATTGTTGACTGTCACGCCTATACGCTTTGTCAAAATGACACAAAAATTGACACACACATGTATCTCAATAAGATCTTCGAAAAAGTCAATGCGCGCGTATCTGTCTAATGTACGGTTAAAGGGTTATTCCGCATTTTTTGCCGATTCGCACACATTGGAATTTCGCTAACTCCTCCGAAGGCTTTCGTTCCACCGGCACCACATTTGCTCAGGCCAAATTACACCCCATGGCCATTAAAAGTTATTCAAATCATGACGCTGCACCCCACGGTTTACGTTCTAGGGGGCGCCAAAGATAACCCAAAAATCCACATTTTTAAAAGTCTTATAACTTTTTATTTTTGTCCTCACTGGCCTCCAAGTTTTCTAGGATGATGCAATGTCCAGCCATCAACACATTTGTGAAGGAATTTTTACTCCCTAAAAGAGCGCCCCCCCATGGCAGGAGAAAAAAGTCCATTTTTTCTTGTCCCCTAAGGTGAAAATACACATTGTTGACTGTCACGCCTGTACGCTTTGGCAAAATGACACAAAAATTGACAATCATGTGTATCTCAATTAGATCTACGAAAAAGTCAAAGAGCGCGTATCTGTATAATGTACGGGAAAAGGGCTATTTTGCATTTTTTGCCGATTCGCACACATTGGAATTTCGCTAACTCCTCCTAAGGCTTTCGTCCCACTGACACCAAATTTGCTCAGGCCAATCTACACTCCATGGCCATTCAAAGTTGTAAAAATCATGACGCTGCACCCCACGGTTTACGTTTTAGGGGGCGCCAAAGATGACCCAAATATACATTACAGTAGACAAAGTAGTTTTGCCCACTGAGTGGCGCCAAAGGGACTTGTCTGTGGAGTCTGTGAGTCACTATTGGCCGTTTTTGACTACTTTAGATTTTACCTTTATATTTCCTCTTACAAAATTTTTACCTTGCCTTGCCTGGTATCATTTTTTTCAGCACAACCTCACCTGTGTCAATTTACAGTTATTTTATCATTTTGACATACTATATTTACACATTGGACCCAAATTCACACACAAAACATAAAATCCGAGTGGAAAAAAGTAACGTTTTTACTGTGAAAACCACAAATATGTGTGATGAACTGTTTTTAAAACTTAAACTTCAAATAAAAATTGTAAACTTCAAAACATATGCAAATTTTTAACAAAGAACATAGTAATTTACCTCTATTGACATCAAAATGCAGGCAATGGCCCAGGTGTTCTTTGTAAAATTATTTACAAAACACTGTATAGTCTCACAAATGTCACTTTTTATTTATGCCACTACAAAAAAACATGATGTAAATGATGCATGATGTAAAACATGATGTAAAAAACTTGTGTAGATCCTCCTCTATGTTAGTCCATGTGTAATTTTTCCATAATTCTTTGTTTTTTGCAGCATTTTTGTTAGTGTAACTGCAGATTGTGCTGACAGTGTCTATGGCAAAAAAAAAAAAAAAAAAAACTGAAAATGCCTCAACATGAACCCCTGGTGGTCTCTGAGGGTGAAACCTGCTAACTGCTGCAGCTCTGTCAGCTTCAGTCTCCCATGCAGAGCTCGGAGCGCATGTGTGGCTCTTCACCCTTAGCAGCGTTGCTAACTCCTCAGTAAGGAAAGCCTGCTTCATGTCAGAGTCTCTAAACTCCAGAAGAAGTCGATAAAAGTCACTTTCTTTCTAAAAAAAAAGTCGTTAGGGGGTCTGAAAAGTCATTGAATCTAACAACAAAGTCGCTAGGTTTGCAACTACGTGTCCCAGACTGCATCCCTGCTGAGAGTCCCTCCCTCCCTTCTCATATTGCAGGAAGAACGTAAGTTCCCGCCCCTTGTCAATCAATCACCATATAATTTTGGATTGGTTGTTGTGGTGAAGTTTTCCACCAATAGGAGAGATGTTGTGGTGTGTTTTTTTTTTCTTTTGGCAAGCCTTTTCCGCCTGTAAGACCTGTCGCTAATGTCTGCATGCTATGTTTTCCTGTCTCATACAGCGCGATCGAGCGCCGAACGTGATCAAAATAAGCAGAAAACAAGTATCGCGGACATAATTTATCATAACTCTGGTTTTATTTGGCCTATCAACACAATTTAAAAACTGGTATATAGGTTGAGGTCCTCACTTTTGAGATAAATTGAAACGGAGAGTCAACGAGGCTCCGTCTTGCAGCTACATCCGGTTAAATATGTCATGTGACTTGAACGCGCACACACACACACACACACACACACACACAGACACACACACACACGCACACACACACACTCAGAGTCTGGTTTTTAGCACCTGCAAAAACATGCTATTTACATATTTGACAAGAATGCAGAGGCTCCTTTTGCCCCTGAAAAAAATCAAATTTCAAACACAACTTGACTGGTCATTTCTCCAAAAGACAACCATGAAGCTCCATCCAAACCTGAAGCAGGCAGTTGGTGCATGTGTACAGTAACCTGAGGGGAGTGAGGTGACTGCTTCTGAGGAGAACATGAGCAGTGAAGATTCACCTTAGAGCTAGAACAGAGACGTGCACATGATTATACAGGGGCAGGGGCTCAAGTTTTTTCCAGTCGTTTATACAATATGGAAATTAATGTGAAATTAAAAAACAAAGTATTAATAGAAAGGTAATGACTGTCCTGTGTAGGTGACAGTAATATCCAATAGGCTAGGCACTCACGAGGCTGGCTGTGGCAAGTGTAAGTGAAAGCAACACGCACTGGCAGGAAGAACAGCAAACGCCGATGAAGGAAAAGGGTCTTTGCAGTGATGGGCGTTACCAGAGAGGGCGATGGCCAGAGGACACAAATGGGACGGGGAGGCAGCGCGTTGGGGGGGGGGCGCGACACAGCTCGGGCCCGCCAGTGCCCCAACGGGGTCCTAGTTTACTTTACTCTTGAAGCACGTAGCAAGACCCGAGCATGAATCCGAGCGCTTTATTCACCTATCAGGGGCAGACAGGTAAGGTGATTTGATTCGCCACGACTCCTGAAATGATTGAAAAACTACATAATGTCACAAAATTACGTTTCCTCGCTGCTGGCTTGAAGGGTAGAAATGCGCAGCCGCGCTCCCAGCTGACAGGAAGTTAAACCACTGTTGTAGTTCTTTTGTGTTGCTAGCGCGGTCAAGAGTGTTGGCTCTCACTGAGAGATGACTACAAAAATGGACGCACCTGTTCATCTGGTTGTTAAACACGGCTAAAAATGATCATCTTTTAATGTTTTTCCCGCTCCTGCCCACTCCCGTTGCCTTTTTTTCCCGTCCCGATCAAGGGATTAATTAAAAAATGACTCCCATCCCGTGGGATTCCCGCGGGAATCACGTGACCGACGGGAATTCCCGAAAAATGTCATCCTCTACTGGGAAGGTCCCGGAGCAGATGAAACAGGTACCGGAGCGGCTGAAACAGGTCCCGGATCCGATCAAAAGAGGTCCCGGATCGCGCTCCGACTTGCTCCGGCACAAATTAAGCCCTGCTTACAATGATCCCCTCACGTGTGTAACCCAGGTAACCTGCAACGGTGGGAGACGCTGGACACGAAGAGGGCACGTAAAGCGGCGTCATGTCGCAAAATCGAAAGAGAAATGCAAGCCTACATGTCAACGCATCCTTTTCTTTGTAAGAAAATATTGTTTTCTTTCCCGTTCGACACCAAATACACTTCCTGAATGTGCAATTATTGTTGTTGTTACTATTAATCATCTGATGGCACAAGCCCTATGGTTAAAATACAGCCTATCGCCTGAAACGATAAAAATAAAAATGGCACGATAGACATTTTCTATCGTGCCCACGATATCTATCGTCCTATCGCCCAGCACTACTGTGGAGGAGTACAAGTACCTAAGGGCGTACTTAAACAATAAACTGGACTGGACCAGGAATACTGATGCCGTCTACAAGAAGGGTCAAAGCCGTCTCTATTTCCTGAGGAGGCTGAGGTCCTTCAACATCTGCAGGATGATGCTAAAGATTTTTTATGAGTCTGCTGTGGCTTGTGCGATCTTCTTCGCTGTTGCGTGCTGGGGCAGCGGACTGAGGGTCGCTGACTCCAACAGACTCAATAAACTGATCAAAAAGGCCAGTAATGTTGTGGGGGTGGAGCTGGACTCCCTGCTGGCCATTTCAGGGAGGAGGATACTGTCTAAGCTCCACTCCATACTGGACAATATCAACCACCCTCTCCACAGTGAACTGGTCATGCAGAGGAGCACCTTCAGCAGAAGGCTCTTTGCTCCACGATGCACCACAGAGTGCCACAGGAAATCTTTCTTGCCGGTGGTCATCAGACTTTTTAACTCCTGTCTCAGAGACTCTGACACACTCAGTCAGTAGTCTTTACCTGGACTCTGCTTACTGTTTATATGCATACTATTTTACCATTTTGTGTTGTATATAGTGTACATACTTGTATCTTGTAAAACTGTATACATATTAGTGCTGGACGATAATTCGATAACAATATATATCGATCGATAGACGTGTGCTGCGATAGAAAAAAAACGGGTCGATAAAAAGTTCGATAGAAAAACACAGTTTCCCTTTCTTTTTCATCATAGCCTATCATGTAGCTTTTACAACAGTCATTACTTCCTCCCAACCAATCACAAACGCAGACCCAGGTACGCTACGGCACCAAGCCCAGCCCCTATCAAACCACAACAGACAGCACGTGTATTAGAAAAAATGATACAGCAAGGAGAAGCGGAGGACATTGTCAGTAGTTCACCAGCATGGCAATGTTTTGGTTTTTAGAAGTCTGACAAAAAGCGAACAGCGGTCGTTTGCAAAATTTGCAGAGAATTGGTAAAAACCAAGTCTGGTAACACAACCAACTTGTTTTACCATCTAAACCGGTCGCACCCGCAGGAGTACGAGCTGTGTCGGCCGCGCCGCGGCTCCACGTCGTCGGAGGAGGAATCCTCTGGAACCGCTGCCAGCACCAGCACAAAGCATGTGAAGCAGACCAAACTGGACTTCGTTTCTTGCCAAAATACGACAAAGCGTCCGAGCGGCATAAGGACATCACCCATGCAGTAACATGCTTCATAGCGAGGGACATACTGCCAATAACTACCGTTGAAAAGCCTGGCTTCGACCAGCTTCTAGCCACTCTCGACCCGCGATATGAAGTGCCCGGCCGCAAGTATTTCTCAAACACAGCGCTTCAGGCATGAAAATGGGTCAGGGGTTGAAAAGGTGAGAAGAATGCATCCCGTCCACTCATTAGCTTCTTAAAGTGGAAGAAAATGAGCTCATATTTTACAAAGACGCGAGTATTTGGATCATGGCTACTAGCAGGGGGTGCATTCGGCAGGGGTGCATTCTACGACACAACACCGGCGTGGATAAGTCCTGCTTCTCGTGCTCAGTTTGCGTATCAAGTCAATCACATGATAATTAAAATAAATCTCCCGGCCCCGGGAGAAATATTTCAGTGTTCAGACACCAGGCTGTGGGCAGTTTCTCACACAGTTAAAACTGGTAGTATGCTATTCCCACCTAAAGCTATTCTGTTTATTTATATATTTGTTTGTTTTGTTTATTTTCATCAAAAGACTATTTAAATATTTATTTATCAGATTTTCTGGTCACTTTAGTCTTTATGTTTGTCAGTATTTACTGACGTCACTCAGGCCCCTTAAGTTGATTTCTTTTTTTTTTTAGTTCTTTTTTAAAAAACTTTCAGTTGTGGTAAAATAAAAAAGGTGGTTGAATAAAGGTTTGAATTTGAATTCAGTGCTTGTGTGTTCTTTATTAAAAGTAGGTCATTAAGCAATAGCATAAAACATCCAGGGCTGCAATTAAAATATATGTTAAATAACTATAATAATTATATCGATAATTATCGATATCGATCAATATGATTTATTTTTTATCGATATGCTTTTTTTCTATATCGTCCAGGCCTAATACATATAGCATATTTTGATTATTTCTTTATTTTTACTTATTTTATCTACTTATTTATCTTCTCTTTCTACTTTATTTGCACTGGAGTTACTGGAACAAAAAGCAATTTCCCCTTATTATTAAAGATTATTAAAGTATTTCTGATTCTGATTCTGATTCTAAATCAGTTGAACAGCTTAGACCCCTGCAGTCTTTATGACCTCACCTGGTTCTTCAGAGTACACAGAGTCTAACTTAGACTCTGAGCATCCTCTAAAGCCTGAACCTACTGCAGTTTAAAACCTGCTAAACCAACAGGAACCATGAGAGCCAATCACAGCTTGGTTCCAAAATAAGCTGAGGTGTCTGTCACACACCTGCACTGGTAAGGTCGTCAGGCAATTTCCAAATTGATAACTAATGCAGGCATCAAAGGTTATTCATACAGCACCTCTAAAAACAGCAACAGTTCCACCAAAGTGCTGCAGAGGCTAAAAAAAAAAAACATGCTAACAGAACAGGTGGGACACTGCTCATGTGGACAGGATGTCCCTGAAGGCATCATGGAGGATTTAATGTCACGTCAAGACCATCCTCTGATCACTGAAAACAAACTCTTGCTGAAGTCCAGGTCCATGATAAAACTCTCACCTGGAGCTGCAACACCTGCACCTGGAAACCTGTACCTGTACTTGTGCTTGTACCTATACCCATACCTGTACCACCTGTGCTTGTACTTGTACCTATACCTGTACCACCTGTACCTGTACCTGTGCTTGTACCTGTGCCTTTACAACCTGTACCATGACCTGTACCTGTACCTGTACCTGTAACTGTTCCACCAGTGTGTTCCAGGTTAATCAGTGTTTGCTGCTATATTTCAGGTTCTGGTTCTTTAAGTTTGTGGCTCTGATGGGGATTACAGCTGGAGCTTTTTACATCCCAGACACTCCTTTCACCTACAGTAAGACACCTGTAGTGCTCACACACACACACACACACACACACACACACACACACACACACACACACAGGTAAAGATAATCAGACGGGTAAATCCAGGTGTGATGGTGTTTCCTCAGCGTGGTTCATCGTGGGCTGTGGGGGGGCCTTCTGCTTCATCCTCATCCAGCTGGTCTTGCTGGTGGACTTCGCCCACTCTTGGAATGAGTCCTGGGTGGACAAGATGGAGACAGGCAGCTCCAGAGGCTGGTACGCAGGTGGGTGACTGTCTCTGCAGACTGTGGTCATAATGAAGTTAAAATGTGAAGCAGCTGCGGTTGTTCTCAGGTCAGTCACCGTGGACTTATTAACATGCAGGTGATGGTGTTTGGACTCAGCCCCCTCACACTCTGGTGGTCTGTCTCTAATAAAGGTTAATTTTTGTCTTAAGCTCTGCTGGTGGTCACTGTCCTGAACTATATCTTGTCCTTCGTGGCTGTCGTCCTCTTTTTCCACTTCTACACCAAACCTGATGGATGCTTCATCAATAAGTTTTTCATCAGCTTCAACATGCTCTTCTGCATCGTGGCCTCAGGGGTCTCTGTGCTGCACAAAGTCCAGGTAACACACAGGGCAGTCAGGGGTTACCTGTCAGGTATTTACACCAGGGACTCACACCATGACCTGATTTATCACAGACACAGAAACCCTCTCTGTACCTCTGATTGAAGACCTTTAGCTCCTCCATCAAAGACCACATAGAGCTCAAACCCCAGGGTTGTTCTGCTGAACTCCTGACCACTTTAAATTCATGACTTTATCTCCTGTTATTTACATTCACACCCCAGATCATTACACCTGTGTTTGTCTTTGTCAGGATTAGAGCTCACAGTGCAGCTCTGTGCAGCAGAGAGGGGATGCTCACAGCTCCTTTCAGTCATGGGGAAACACAAAACTGCAGTAAACTGCCCAGAGCTGCAGGACTCGCTGTGTTTTTGTGGTTTAATATCATCAGTGCTGAATTAAACCCTTAACTGAAGCACTGATTAAAACTCCCGCTGCAATGTGATTTTAGTGAATTCTCCTCCGAGTTATAAACCATAAAATCCTGTGTTCTCTGTGCAGCATTTCTTCAATATTGTGTCGACCTGTTTGTCTCAGTGTTTCCTGAAATCGTCTAAATCAGCCTAGTTTTAATCTTTCAGAAAGCAGCTGTATTTTATTCCCACAGGGTCTGTCCTTCACTCTGCTAATCCCTCTGAGGAAACTTTTTACCTGCCTTCATGAAACCAATGGTGTGTGTGTGTGTGTGTGTGTGTGTGTGTGTGTGTGTGTGTGTGCGTGCGTGTGTGTGTGTGTGTGTGCGCGCGGGCGCGCACGTGTGTGTGTACACAGGAGTGTCAGCCTCGCTCAGGTCTGCTGCAGTCCTCCATCATCACTCTGTACACCATGTTTCTCACCTGGTCGGCCATGACCAATGAGCCAGGTGAGGACACGCCCCTGAGCTCTGATTGGTTCAGTGTCTCTGGTGTCTTTTTGATCCCCCTTTATGTACAGCAGCTTCATGTGAAAGTCTGGCTCACTTTTCCAAGATTCAAGGATCTCAGGGAAGTCATTGATTTCCAGGACCGACTTTGAGTCCAGGTTAAAAAAGTTGACGAGGTCCCTGATTGGTCCAGCAGTTCAAGCATTAAAGCACCACATAGTGGAGGCTGCTGGTTTGATTCCTGGCCTTCACTCTAACAAAATCTAGACTGTTTTAAGGAAACTTTCAGAAGTTCAGCTACAGATGTTGATGTACCTACAGTGAGTTTAAGTCCTGACACAAAGACTGAGACAGGTGAGCAGGTAAGCTGCAGAGGTTTACTCAGAAGAGAAGGTGAAGGTCACTGTGATACTGAAACTACGCATAATCAACAGCATGAGTTCAAGTGCAGGTGTGACTTGTTTAAATTGTCTGTTGACCATATTTGGAGATGATGACAAAGATCCTAGAAGACTGAGGAAGTGAGGGGTAAAGACTCTGAAACCCACCATCAGGGACCACTTCTGTGGATCTACCTGATGAGCTGTGTGTGCTCCAGTCTACTTTCATTATAGATCCTAAGCTCTGGTGAGATTTTCCTATCAGAAATGTTCAGCTGTATTTGTAGTGTGACAATAGTGGAGGAGGGTTCCAGAGCGCCCTCCCTGCCCATTGACTCGTTGAGAGCAGCATGCTTAGATTATTGGTCCTCTTCTGTCCACAGACCGGGAGTGTAACCCAAACCTGCTCAGCGTATTCCAGCAGATGGCGGCCCCCACGGTGCCCTCCCTGGAGGCGGAGAACAAGACAGCAGTGCTGATCATTGGCACAGAGGAGCCTGTCCTCAGCGCCCCCTACCTGCAGTGGTGGGACACACAGAGTATTGTGGGGCTGGCCATATTTGTGCTCTGCATCATTTACTCCAGGCAGGAATAATCACCTGAAATCTCTGGTTTCTGATTGGCTTATTTTTAGGCTTTTTTTCAGTCGGACACGTTGTTCACTCCGCAACATCCATTAAATAAAAAGTCTCTGTGTCTCTACCTGCAGCATCCGTTCATCCAGCACCAGCCAGGTGAACAAGCTGACCATGGCATCGAAAGACTCGGCCATCTTGGCGGAGGGCGGCAGCAGCACAGACCTGTCAGAGGACCTGACGGGGCCGCGGAGGGTGGAGGACAATGAGCAGGACATGGTGCAGTATTCGTACTCCTTCTTCCACTTCATGCTGTTCCTGGCCTCGCTCTACATCATGATGACGCTCACCAATTGGTACAGGTAAGAGACCATTCACACTCACCTGGACGTCACACTCACCTGGACATTACACACACCTGGGGCCTTATTTATAAAGCTTGCTTACGCACAAAACCTGGCTAGAAAGTGATTACGCCACTTCTTACGCAAGAGTTGGGATTTATAAAAAAAAAAAAATAGTGTAGGAATGTGTGCAACTTAAAGCAAACTCCACACCTTGCTTACGCACTTTTTGGAGACAATCGGAGCAAAGTGAGAACAATTGGTTAATGGAAAGCGCGCGTATAAAAAGCCATACAGTGACAGTCGTGCGCAATGCAGCAGAAGTTTCAAGTTTCAAGTTTTATTTGTCACATGCCTAAATGTACAGGTACAGTGGCAGTGAAATGAAAGTGACGTCTGCGATTGTGCCAAAAAAAACATAATAATAATAATGTAAAGTCTGTTCAGAGGGTGTGTTATGAGGAGTTCAGGATCCGAGTGGCCTGGGGGAAGAAGCTCCTTTTCAGCCTCTCAGTCCTGGCTCTGATGGAGCGCAGCCTCTTACCCGAGGGCAGCCACTCAAACAGTCTGTGGTTGGGATGGTGAGTGTCTTTGATAATCCGTCTTGCCCTGGACCTGCACCGCTGGGTGTAGATGTCCTGTAGGCCGGGCAGCGGAGTCCGGGTGATGCGTTCAGCACAACGGATGACTCGATGCAGGGCCTTTCTGTCCTGAGAGCTGCAGCTGCTGTACCAGGCAGTGATGCTCGCAGAAAGCACAGACCCCACTGTGGCGGTGTAGAAAGTTTGCCAATTTGAATTTACAAATGTGCAAAAAAACAAATTCCATTTACATGCATTTGTTTTAAGATTAATATGACTAAATCTTTTTGGTTTACGAACTTTCACCACATAAGCAGTGGTGGATAACGGAGCAGTTTTTTTGGAACACATGCATGAGTGTCACATGTGCTTGTGTTTTCTGATCCTCACCTGTCGCCGCCACGCTCTGACTGTGCAAAGCCACTTTTTTCTTTGCCTCCACCTTTAGATCAGACCACTTCTTCTTGATTTCAGCAGTGTTGTTTTCGTCAACGTCATCGTCAACGAAAACAAAACTCCACGTGTTTGCGCGCGCGCTTGTGTGTCTGTGTGTTGGAGGAGCACAGCAGGCTGATGAGAGCTGTCAGAGCGGACTGAAGCTGCTCCTATATGTTTAGCGTTTAACTGACTGAATTTTGCAACTCTGTTCGTCATTTTTGTCTCGTCCCATCAACGTAAACGCACTTTTGTCTCGTCACATTTTAGTCATCTCCGACTTATGTTAAGCTCGTCAACGTTACGTTTTCGTCGTGGAAGAAAAGGGAAATATTTTCGTCAACGAAAACAACCAGTGTTGTTCTTGTTGACAAAAATATTTCCCTTTTTTGACGCTGGCGTTGACGAAAATATTTGACGAAATATGACGAAAACAACACTGTTTCGGCAACGCTGCGCTCAGTGGCAGCCGCAATTACCGCCACAGCAACGGCATTTTTATTGGTGATGCCACTCGAATGGCCGCCGAAAAAGGTCTCCCGTCTCGCCGCCACCTCATTTACAAGAATCTCCACCTCGGTCTCTGAAAAGTTTCGGTAACACTTTATATTAAGGTCCTTGTAATAAGCATTAGTTAATAGGTAATAAGGCCCTTATAAGTGTGTACAAGATGCTTATTAACATTATTATTTGTTTATACGACTATATATCTATTAATAGTCTCATTATAATACAGTTATTAGCAGACTTTAAGAGATTTATAATAACTTATAAGAAACTTGTTAACTGTTTGTTGATGCTTACGAACATTAATAAAATCCTCATGAGTATCTTATAACTGTTTATAATAACATTATAAACACATATATTGACTCAACTAGACCAACCATGATGGCTTTATCATGCCTTTATTAATCTTTTTGTTTGATTTATTAACATTAATATACACTTTATTGCTCATCCACTGTAAGTTAACTATGCACTTGTTTACAGTTAACTGTGCTTTTTGCAGGTACTGGATCTAAAGTGAGAACAATGTCTTATTAAGGCTGATAAATCTTTTATTGAGCATTATTATGCCTTTAAGAATATTTTTTTCCTGCTTTATCAAAATAAAATGTACTTTACTATGCCCTTGTTATCAGTTAACTATGCACTTATTAAGAGTTAACTATGCCTTTTGCAGCTACCAGATCTAAAGCGAGAACAATGCCTTATTAAGTCTCATAAATCTTCTATTATATGGAGGATGACTCCTCATGAGGTAATTTGCCATGACCATACATGGTGAATTTTGGGTATGGAGAGGGCGGGGCATGAATCAAATCCCTGCTGCGCAACTTTCCAGCTGGTCTGTGATTTATAAAGGGAAAGTGCGTGCAGGTGTGCGTAGGCAGGGTTTTATAAATTAGATTTTTTTTTGGCCTACGCACTTTTCAGCTTTTCGACTTACGTACACTTTTAGTATGGATCCTACGCCAGGTTTTATAAATGAGGCCCCTGGACATTACACACACCTGGGACCGAGACCGAGGTGGAGGTTCTTGTAATTGAGGTGGCGGCGAGACGGGAGACCTTATTCGGCGGCCATTCGAGTGGCATCACCAATAAAAATGCTGTTGCCGTGGCGGTAATTGCGGCTGCCACTGAGCGCAGCGTTGCCGAAACAGTGTTGTTTTCGTCATATTTCGTCAAATATTTTCGTCAACGCCAGCGTCAAAAAAGGGAAATATTTTTGTCAACAAGAACAACACTGGTTGTTTTCGTTGACGAAAATATTTCCCTTTTCTTCCACGACGAAAACGTAACGTTGACGAGCTTAACATAAGTCGGAGATGACTAAAATGTGACGAGACAAAAGTGCCTTTACGTTGATGGGACAAGACAAAAATGACGAACAGAGTTGCAAAATTCAGTCAGTTAAACGCTAAACATATAGGAGCAGCTTCAGTCCGCTCTGACAGCTCTCATCAGCCTGCTGTGCTCCTCCAACACACAGACACCCACACACGCACACACGTGGAGTTTTGTTTTCGTTGACGATGACGTTGACGAAAACAACACTGCTGAAATCAAGAAGAAGTGGTCTGATCTAAAGGTGGAGGCAAAGAAAAAAGTGGCTTTGCACCGTCGGAGCGTGGCGGCGACAGGTGAGGATCAGAAAACACAAGCACATGTGACACTCATGCATGTGTTCCAAAAAAACTGCTCCGTTATCCACCGCTGCTTATGTGGTGAAAGTTCGTAAACCAAAAAGATTTAGTCATATTAATCTTAAAACAAATGCATGTAAATGGAATTTGTTTTTTTGCACATTTGTAAATTCAAATTGGCAAACTTTCTACACCGCCGCAGTGGGGTCTGTGCTTTCTGCGAGCATCACTGCCTGGTACAGCAGCTGCAGCTCTCAGGACAGAAAGGCCCTGCATCGAGTCATCCGTTGTGCTGAACGCATCACCCGGACTGCACTGCCCGGCCTCCAGGACATCTACACCCAGCGGTGCAGGTCCAGGGCAAGACGGATTATCAAAGACACTCACCATCCCAACCACAGACTGTTTGAGTTGCTGCCCTCGGGTAAGAGGCTGCGCTCCATCAGAGCCAGGACTGAGAGGCTGAAAAGGAGCTTCTCTCCCCAGGCCACTCGGATCCTGAACTCCTCATAAGACACACCCCATAACTGACTTCTCAACACCCTCTGAACAGACTTTACATTATTATTATTATGTTTTTTTTGGCACAATCGCAGACGTCACTTTCATTTCACTGCCACTGTACCTGTACATTTAGGCATGTGACAAATGAAACTTGAAACTTCTGCTGCATTGCGCACGACTGTCACTGTATGGCTTTTTATACGCGCGCTTTCCATTAACCAATTGTTCTCACTTTGCTCCGATTGTCTCCAAAAAGTGCGTAAGCAAGGTGTGGAGTTTGCTTAAAGTTGCGCACATTCCTACACTAGTTTTTTTTTTATAAATCCCAACTCTTGCGTAAGAAGTGGCGTAAGCACTTTCAAGCCAGGTTTTGTGCGTAAGCAAGCTTTATAAATGAGGCCCCTGGACATCACACTCACCTCGATAATACACACAACTGGACATAACACACACCTGGACATCGCACACACCAGGGGGCCTCATTTATAAAACCTGGCGTAGGATCCATACTAAAAGTGTACGTAAGTTGAAAAGCTGAAAAGTGCGTAGGCAAAAAAAAAAATCTGATTTATAAAACCCTGCCTACGCACACCTGCACGCACTTTCCCTTTATAAATCACAGACCAGCCGGAAAGTTGCGCAGCAGGGATTTGATTCATGCCCCGCCCTCTCCACACCCAAAATTCACCATGTATGGTCATGCAAATTACCTCATGAATGTGATTTGCATATAAATAAGCCTGATGGATCCACGGCATTTCACGCTTAACTATGGCATCAGCAAGTCGTACAAAAAGAAACTTTTCAGAGACCGAGGTGGAGGTTCTTGTAATTGAGGTGGCGGCGAGACGGGAGACCTTATTCGGCGGCCATTCGAGTGGCATCACCAATAAAAACGCCGTTGCCGTGGCGGATATTGCGGCTGCCACTGAGCGCAGTGTTGCCGAAACAGTGTTGTTTTCGTCATATTTCGTCAAATATTTTCGTCAACGCCAGCGTCAAAAAAGGGAAATATTTCCCATTTCTTCCATGACGAAGACGTAACATTGACGAGCTAAACATAAGTCAGAGATGACTAAAATGTGACGAGACGAAAGTGCGTTTACGTTGATGGGACGAGACGAAAATGACGAACAGAGTTGCAAAACTCAGTCAGTTAAACGCTAAACATACAGGAGCAGCTTCTGTCCGCTCTGACAGCTCTCATCAGCCTGCTGTGCTCCGCCAACACACAGACACACACGCGCGCACACACGTGGAGTTTTGTTTTCGTTTACGATGACCATCACGAAAACAGCACTGTGCCGAAATCAAGAAGAAGTGGTCTGATCTAAAGGTGGAGGCAAAGAAAAAAGTGGCTTTGCATCGTTGGAGCGTGGCGGCGACAGGTGAGGATCAGAAAAAACAAGCACGTGTGACACTCATGCATGTGTTCCAAAAAAAACTGCTCCGTTATCCACCGCTGCTTATGTGGTGAAAGTTTGTAAACCAAAAAGATTTAGTCATATTAATCTTAAAACAAATGCATGTAAATGGAATTTGTTTTTTTTGCACATTTGTAAATTCATATTGGCAAACTTTCTACACCGCCATAGTGGGGTCTGTGCTTTCTGCGAGCATCACTGCCTGGTACAGCAGCTGCAGCTCTCAGGACAGAGAGGCCCTGCATCGAGTCATCCGTTGTGCTGAACGCATCACCCGGACTGCACTGCCCGGCCTCCAGGACATCTACACCCAGCGGTGCAGGTCCAGGGCAAGACGGATTATGAACCACAGACTGTTTGAGTGGCTGCCCTCGGGTAAGAGGCTTCGCTCCATCAGAGCCAGGACTGAGAGGCTGAAAAGGAGCTTCTCTCCCCAGGCCACTCGGATCCTGAACTCCTCATAAGACACACCCCATAACTGACTTCTCAACACCCTCTGAACAGACTTTACATTATTATTATTATGTTTTTTTTGGCACAATCGCAGACGTCACTTTCATTTCACTGCCACTGTACCTGTACATTTAGGCATGTGACAAATAAAACTTGAAACTTGTGCTGCATTGCGCACGACTGTCACTGTATGGCTTTTTATACGTGCGCTTTCCATTAACCAATTGTTCTCACCTTACTCCGATTGTCTCCAAAAAGTGCATAAGCAAGGTGTGGAGTTTGCTTAAAGTTGCGCACATTCCTACACTAGTTTTTCTTTTATAAATCCCTCTTGCGTAAGAAGTGGCGTAAGCACTTTCTAGCCAGGTTTTGTGCGTAAGCAAGCTTTATAAATGAGGCCCCTGGACATCACATACACCTGTAACTCTACATGGTTTCCACAGAAATGCTGTGACTCTGTAACTCTCTTTTACCTAGATGTTAGCTTAGCTGATAGATGTTGTGGTCTGGTGTTATTTGTCTGTATTCTGATCTATAAATGAAGATTTTGTTGGCTGTAGGCTGTCCAGTTAAACCGGTTAATGCGGTTTAACTGGTAAATAACTCAACCAGCACAATCATGTGGATGTTAACCTGTGAGGGAGGCCAAAAATACTGGCGCTGGTTCTGTAAATGAGATCTTCGACACTGCTAACCTGCACACTCTGTGATCCTGTATTGTGCTGTTTCCTGACTGTTTCTGGTCTTTGGACTGGTCAGCTAGTTAAAATCTAAATCTTTGTTGCGAAAAGGATGTAAACAGGTGACCCCTGACCTCAGAGCAAGTTGGAGCCGCACTACATGACTTTAAAAGACAGGATCTGATACCTCTGATCATTTTCAGACTGCAGGCATTCAGCTGCTGGTCTGGTGGGTCCTGGACCAGGACCCTCTTGACCTGTCCTCAGATTTCAGGAATCCTGGTATCTGTGGCAGGTCTAAAGGATTTGGGTATCTAAGGAAGGATTCAAGTGTCTGAGGCTGGTCTGGAGGATCCAGGTGTCTGAGCTCTGAGCAGCTGTTGGTCCTGGTTTTTGGTTGTTGGCAGATGGGGCCTGCTGGAGTTTAGTCAGAGTTTGGAGTGAGTCATGAGGTCTGTAAAATCAGCTCAGACTCATGTGGAACAGCATGTGCCCAGCCTCAGGACCAAGATCCTCTGTAGTTTTTTGCTCTGAAGAGGTTTTTCTTAAGTCCAGATTCTCTGCTCAGCCTCAGAATATTTGACCTTTTGATTTACACATGTAGAACTGTTTCTGCAGACAAGTGTTGGTTGGTTAAACTGCTGCTGCTGCCTCTTCATAGGAGGTAGATATGAAGGGTGACCAGCTCCTCGACCTGCACATTTAGGGCTGTTCTGGGCATGATGTCTTTTATTTCTTGAACAGAAGTTTAATTTTTTTCTCATATAAAAATATCACAGAGTAGACTCACAGTTTTCTGATGGCTCTCAGACGATAATATTTTTGTTCAGCAGCCCCACCTGGTGGATGTAATCGGTGTTACAGCCACTATTTATTGAAGTGAATGCGGATCCACAGCCAAAGAGGGTTTCAGAGGTTTTGCTGAAGCTTTACAGTAGCGGGAAAAGGTCAACTGCGCAGTAACAATGTACTGTAAACCTCAGAGGTGAACCAGAAGAAAGACCAGGACTGTTGGGGATTCAGTCAGGGGAGTCCCCATTCCGGATTTGTTTCAAAGCTTGTGGTTTGGCTGCAGACTTGCTGTTTTCTGTCTCTCGCTTCTCAGGAGACTCAGGACATTGCAGGTGCTCACCTGATCTCACTTGGTCCCACGTTCTTGTAAACCTCAGAGCTCCTGCAGATGAAGGGTCTGACTCTCATCAGAGATTCTGGACCCACTGGCCCCGTTTACATGGGTAGTTTTCCTCAATCTGATTGAAATCAGTCGGATTAAGTGACTCTGATTCCATCTGTATACATGAACTTTAAGTAAAGAGATCCACGTTCAGTCCGCGTTTTCATGGCCCCAGCTGAATCCAATTGTATTGTATTGTATCACTGGGAATTGTTAATAGGAACCACTGTTTTAGTTCTGTTTTAGAGTTGTGCACAGACGTGTTTGTGTGTGACACCGTCGGAGTTACCAGACCGAGCAGAGTAAGGAACCCGATGGCTGTGTCCGAAATGGCATACTACTCCTACTACTCCTACTAACCCCGCCTCTGAATTGAGTAGGCAGTGTGTTCACACTGTACAGTATGCGAATTTTGTGTATGCGAGAAATGCCCGGATGTATACTCAATCGGCTTCAATTTCTGAGTGTGGAACGGAGCTTGCTTCACGTACTGCTTCTGCCCCACAATGCATTGCGCACCTCAGCTGGTAATATGGCCCTCTTTCCCGAGGCTGAAAAGAAATAGATGGCATGTGATTGCAATAATAATTAAATAGATAAACAATATTTAGTCAGTATACATTACACAATTTTTATCATTTTATCATATTTTGATCTTTTTACCAGATTTATTTGTATTTTAAATTAGGATTATAGGTAATGTTTTTAACTATTCGTATGAATTGACTTTATTTATTTAAGTGTCTATTAAAGATGTATTTATTACATCAAGTTTGAGCATCTTCTCATCTCTGAATGCATCATCAAAGTGGTCACTCATATTAAGCACAGACCTCTTAATAAACATTATTATTGGTAGAGAGCACATGGTTCAGAATATACAAACGGGGGAGTTTCCAGTTGACAATGTATATGTGAGCTTTACTAATTCTTACTTGTGGTTGAAAATGTGATGATTTCTGAAATTATCATTGTACATGAAAAGAATGTAGTCGGGAAATGATGTATTTGCCAAGGAATAACCGAACAAGGTCATAATAATTATGTTGTGTGTTGGTCATTTTGCAGCCCTCTGCTGCTCATCACACGCCTAGCAGGAGGTGTATAGCATTACCACCATGGATACACAGATGTTTGTGTGATTTTTTTCATCCACTGCCGCCCGGTTTGTGTCGTGTAGATGTTGATTATGAAAACACTTCACAATAATTTGGAAACGTGAAGGGGGAGCTGCTGCTGCCCGGTGTTTACGGTAAATAGACGCAAACACCCACCAAGCGGACGCTTTGGTCTCCGAAAACGCCGAGACAAATTTACAAACAGCCACTATTTCAAACAACTGGGCTCATAATTGTGATGTAAACACTTACTTTCTCGCTAGAAAAAATATTATTATTGAATGAATTTATATAATTTGTCCGGAATGCAGTCGTTCTGTGTAGCTTGTGGTAGGACTATTTAAATTTTCCCGGTGCTGCGTCCGGCCGGCACGAAATGCATTCTGGGGTATTTAGTATGCATCTGTATGTAAACGCTCGGGCAGCCGCGGCATACTCAAATCATCTTTGAGTAGTCAGTATGCAGTAGGTACTGCTTGAGTAGGTAAGTAGATAGTAGGCAGTATGCCATTTCGGACACAGCCTATGTGTTGAAGTTTAATAAAAGTATAATCCAGCCGGGTTACACAGCAAGAAGTGTACGCTTCGTCAGTAGCACGAAACAACACACTTTAACACTCCACCGTCCAGTTTTTCTGTTTGTTCGCCATGTTTGTTTTTGTTTGGGTGCGCTCTGCGTACGTCACTACGTGCCTCTTACGTACTACCGAGCGCCTGCGCAACAAGCCTCTCTGTAAACCATATGGTTTACAGAGAGGCTTGTTCGGTAAACTACATATACATACTGAGAGTTAGTTTAATATTCCTAATCATTTAACAGAATATCATAAGAAAGTAAAACTCATTTTTGAGTGTGAAAAGAGCATTTTGTAAGGGATCAAACTGCCACTTAATACTTACTTGACAATGTAAAACATGATCAAAATGAGAAAATGCAGATGTCTCACCTGTTTGCACAATGTTTTTATATTTAATTTTCAGCTGCTGCCAAGTGCACTTTGTCCCGGGTCAAACTACTCGGAGTTGCTAAAATTGACTCAAATCAGGTGTTGTGAAACCGGAAACTCAGAGTTTCCTATCTCAGAGTAGATCAACTCAGAGTTAAGGATTTGACTCAGAGTTTGTTGAACCACCTATGTGAAACGGACCCCTCATCAGTTCTGACTGTTATCAGGTGATCCACCATGGGTCAGGATGTTGTTTGTCCTGTGATGCCCCCTGGTGGTAGATGTAGGAAAAGCTTCTTTTCCATGTGGAGGTGACAGATATTTGTTTCTGGATCAGACTCAGAGCACACCTCATCAGACCAGTTTACAGAGGGTCCAGAGATGATGGTCAGACCTTAAAAACAGAATCTGAAGTGACAGCAGCAGACCTTATCAGACTGGTTTACAGAGGATCCAGAGATGATGGTCAGACCTTAAAAACAATCTGAAGTGACAGCAGCAGAACTTTTCAGACCGGAGGGTCCAGAGATGATGGTCAGACCCTAAAAACAGAATATGAAGTCTCAGCAGCAGACCTTATCAGCAGATCTGTCAGAGCCAATCGTGGTTCACGGTAAGAGTTAAATGAATCACAAATGTGATTCAAATCAAATCCGATTTCCACCAGAAGATTCTGTCCTCAGTCAGGGTCCAGAGTCCCATCAAAACCATCATAAAACTAGTTAGTGTTTCATGTTTCAGCTGCAGAGCCTCAGTTTATCTCTGCACAAGATTTAAAAACAGACAGAAAATATCCCATAAGATTTTTTTTTTTCCGTGTTGAAGCTGAAAGTAAAAAATGCACCCCCCCTCCCCACCCACTCCTTTAGCCCAGAGGCTGACTACACCATCAGCAGCAAGTGGCCAGCCGTCTGGGTCAAGATCACCTCCAGCTGGGTGTGTCTGGCCCTCTACATCTGGACCCTGCTGGCCCCCATGATCCTGACCAACAGAGACTTCAGCTGACCACCAAACAGGATCCAGACCCACAGAGACTCCAGCGGTCCAGTCCCTCTCTCTCTGTATCTTCAGACTGCAGCAATGATGCCTTCCTGTTCACCTGAACTCTGTTTTATACTTAACCTGCAGTTGAGCCTTAGTGTATGTGTGTGTGTTGGTGCCAAACAGTTTTTTGTTTCTAACTGACGCAGAAACACTGAAGAAAATATTTTGGCTGTTTTTACTCTTTTCTCTTATTTTGATTTGACCCCACACATTACTATTCATATTTGTAATTAGTTGCCATGTTCAGTGAATTTTACTGATTGATTAAACAGATGAAAAATGTCTACCTGGTCTTGATTATTACTGAATTATTATTAGTAATAATGTCATTACATCTGAACAATTAGTGTGGGAATTTTTTACATAATGCTTGTCCAAAGAATCAATGGCAGTGAATGGGCCTGAGCCGGTTACTGCTATTTTAGGGCTCACAGTAACCTCTCACAAAGAAATAGAGTGGGTATAGCATACATTTCCTGAATCCTCAAATTCCATTTAATATTGAGATTGTTGGCTTTTGGGTCCTTGATATCCCTAGATTCCATAGGGATAAAAGAAAATATATAGTTTAGGCGAAAACTGTAGGAAAATGTGTGTAATTTATGGTTTAAAGAGGTCATGTGACTTGTGTTTTTCAGAAAGATACAACCATGGGCTTAAATGAAAGGCTAGAAGGTCCCCTTTACAATGAAACCGAACAATCATATATAAATTCTTTACAAATAGGAAATTGATAGCCATTTCTAACGTTGGTCGATATATCAATAATTACGCTAATTAACCAGTAATTATGACTAAATGGTAACTTTTACAGCTGGGCAACTGGCAGAAATGGATTCAACACTAAAAATCATACAGAATCAATGCATTCTAAGGGGCTTTTTCAATTTTCTGTCCTGACTAATATCCCTGATGGGAGATGCCCCCCACCCTTCCCTGAAGAAACAAAATTCTCGCCTAAACCTCTGACTCTTCAAAACTCCTCACAGTCACCTCCCACAAAGAGATAGTATGGGTATGTTACACATTTTCTGAATCTTATGAGTCCTAAGAGTATTGCGGTTTGTAATTCTTGTATCCCTGATGTCCCTGGGTGACATATGGCCAAAAGAAAGTATATCATGTAGGCGAAAATTGCAGGAAAATGTGTATTTTTTGTGATTTGAAGAGCTCCCGTGACTTCCATGTTGGTCTAAGATGAACACATATGGTCTTAAATAAAAAGCCACAAGGGTCCCCTTTAAAATGATACCAAACAGTCTATTGTAAATACAGCTGATAAACAATATTTAACTGGGCACCTGGAAAGGTTATCATACAAAAATATAATCTACAGACATGTATCTTTTCAAAAATGATGATGAACCTTTGCCACCCTGAAGTGTACCAAATATCTGTTGGGCCCATGGACTATTAAGTTTATTTAAACTCTCAGGTGGTAAAAACCTCGGCTCTGCTCAGAGAAAGTGGAAGGGTCCTGACCAATGACAGCAGTGCGTTTAGAGTCTGGTTACCTGTTACCTGCTAGACTCACAGTCTCTGTGCAGCTGAGGGATCTTTCTGAGACCTTTGGACTCTTTGGACTTATGAAAAAAGAATTAACACTTTTATATCTAAGCCATCAGTTTGACTTCATTCACTATGAGAAGGTCTCATGTAACCAAGATTCAAAAATATATATATTAATGTCCAAATAAAAATGTAATTTAAAATGTAAGCCATGCCACCAATGAAAGAGAAGAGGTCAACAAATTGATTATTTTATTATTTGAGATCCGTTTTTTACTATCCTATTATTCATAACCTCATGTCCGCCTCGACAGAAAACCAATCAAAGCTTAGGTCACCACTCATTAATATACCGGTCACAGATCACTTCCCTTTCCTTTGTCTCTTCAAACGGGAGCGCGGCATGGCGGAAGACTAAACACCGCTGAATGCTGGTAAACCACATAGAATCAATGGAAAAAAAGACTCCCGCGTTCACGGGCGGTGAGTTTAACGTCAGTTATCGTCGTTAGTATTTGTTGTTATTATCAATAAGTCATGAAGCTCCGCACAAACAGCGGCGAGCGCACATAGACCAAACCCCATTAGGAAAAATGACAATTTAATACCTGGCGTCTCTGTACACGAGAGGCTATTTCCTGTTTGATTTTTGGTGAAGGTTGATTTTGTGGTTGTTTTTGTTGCCGGTTTTTTCACTTTCCTCTTGTAGAGTTAATTTATTATGGTTATTTTGGAATCTTCATGTAAGGTTAATTTGAATGAATATTATTTAATTATTTAAACATCCATTGGAGTTCATGGACTGTGTTGTTGTATTGTTGTTCAGGGACTTATTTCTTTCTTTCTTTCTTTTTTTTTTATGAACCTCAGATAAGTTTTTTTTTTACCCTTTTCAACTTCCGAACTAAGATGGCGAGCAAACTGGAGATGAACCGCCACCTCACTCAACTTAAGTGGTAGGACAAAATATTTAGACTGAAACATAGAAATTGATAGATTTTTTCACATTCTTGGCTCCATAGATGAACCCAAGTTATCACAGTTTCTTTAATTAATTTCATTTTAAGGTCAGTGTCGAATTAACACTTTTTCCACGTGACACTCACCTCCAGGACCGACCTGAGCTTCCCTGCTGCTATGTCCGCTGTCTCTTCAGAACTCAAAGTAACATCCTCTTTCCTCCCTGTCTCTTTCACCAGTGGCGTGCACAGACATTTTGGGGGGCAGGTGCTCAGTGGAAAATAAGGGCACTTTATGCGGCATGTAGAACTGACGGCTGCTTTATTATAGCAGTGTGAGATCTGAAAAATAAATCAACATTACAGGCAAATTTTGAATGTAATTGCATATTTGTTTATGTCAGTATCTCAATAAAACTACTTGACCTTTGAACTAGTTTCACACTACTGCTTCCCTGCTGTAGCTGCCTAGAATAGAATAATAATACTTTTCGTAATAGCCTATTTTTTAAGGTTGAATATAGCCTATTAATGTGAATACAAGATTACTGCAAGTCTTGTAACATAGAAATAACCTGTTGGTACAAAATAATATAATTAGCTAAAATAGCTTAATGCCTAATTTAGTACGGCCAAACCACTTTGTGTAGTTAAAATAAAATGTGGACAGCTTTTAAGATATTTCAGTAAAATTAGAGGAACAGTTCAACTTCAAAATCTGAGCTTTAAAATGCCCTAAACAGTGAACATGACTCTTGACTCTGACCTTTCATCTTCATCTTCCTCTTCCTCCTTGCTGCTGGTGGATGCTTTAATCCAGGAAAGCAGAGAGCTGCTCCCCTGGGCTGCCTGCTGTAGCTCCCTTTCTTTTTTCCTTCTTATCCTCTCCTTTCTAGGCATTATGCTGAATTGGTAAATAAAAAGAGACCAATAATATAAATAAGACTGTAAACTAAGACTGTAACTAAATATTCATCTTATGTACGTATACTGATAGATTCACATTCTGTAGGATACCAATGACAAACTCTACCGGTCATCATCACGTCATATCTATCATTGATTTAGGGTCGCGTCTAGCTTGTTAAGTAGGTGAGCAGTCGGCTAATTTATGCCCAGCTGTGTGGCGTTGAGACAGGCTACTTCACAACAGAGACAAATACATGCAAGTTACAGCTTGGCAACGAAGGCTTAGGGGGCAAACAACACACTCAACTCGATTCATGTATGTGATACCTTGCTGGTGGGCAGGGGAGGAGCCGAGGAGGTGTATTTGGGCTGCAGCTGTGCACTGTCTGCTGCTACAACGCGCCTCCGTTTGTGTCTGCTCTGCACGTTCACATTGACAGAGGTGTGTGTGGGTGGGGTGGGGGTGGAGGGAATATTAATTGGGCCATTATTATCACTTTTAATCAATGAACTCTTAAGCCGCGTTCAGACCAAACGCGACCAGGTCGCGTCGCGTCGGTCGGTCAGGTCGCGTCGCGTGGTGCTCTGGTGTGTTCACACCGGGTCCAAAGTTGCAGTCGCAGGTCGCGGCTGGTCGCCGGTGACGTCATCCATGTCACTAGCTCAGTTTTCAGTTCATCAGTGCTGCCGCATATGTGTACATCCGCAGTAGACGCCGCCGGCGTTTATGGGTGCATGAAACCATCCGGAGGAGGACGGAGCTGGGTGAATTTCACCGCTTGCTTCAGGAACTCCGCCTGGACGACGGCCGCTTCCAGCGGTATTTCCGTGTGTCGACGGCGCAGTTCGAGGACCTCCTCGCCCGGGTGGGAAGCAGCATCTCCCGCCTGGACACGAAATACAGGCGCTCCATCTCAGCTTCGGAGCGCCTGTCTATCTGTCTGTCCCTCATATAAACGTCTCTAAGCCCCTTCCACCGCTTGCGGCACACATCCACTGCAAAGACACACACACACATACGTTGAAACATGTAGCCTAGCAAGCAGGGGCAGTTAGCTGGGTGGTAGCTAACGGATGTGATTAACTGCTCCTCCATTGTGATTCTTCTTCTCCTCTTCCTTGTTTCGCCGGTTTGTTGACGTCAGCAGAGCCCTGATTGGCTGTCGCGGCACGAAGTCGCTCCCAAAGTTCAAATATTTGAACTTTGGGAGCGACGCGACTTGGCGTCCTGCGACCTCGGCGACGCGACCTCGGGGACGCGCCTTGGCGACCGGTCGCCCGGTCGCGCATGGTCGCGTCGCAGGAAGCCGGCGGTCGCCAAGTCGCGTCAGGTCGCGGCTGGCCATAGACTTTGCATTGGGAGCCGTCGCCAAGTCGCGTCAGGTCGCGTTTGGTCTGAACGCGGCTTCATAAGTGATCATGTCAGCATGGGCCACAAAAAAACAAAAACAACAAAAAAAGGTTAATTCCCAAAAGGGCATTTGCTTGGTCCAGAGGACAAAGGGCAGGTGCTTTAGCACCACCTAGTGTCTACCTGTGTACGCCACTGTCTTTCACACACTACTCAGTCATCAGATTGTTTGTTTCGGTCATCCGGTTTCTGTTGCCTGAGGACTGTTTTATAGGAGACTGAAACTTTGAACAAGATGAAAAGTTTCTAATTTGTCCTGAAGATACATTTTATTTGTAGACTGATTCTGTGTCACTCTCTGTGTGACTGATTCTGCGCTGAGATTAAATAATAACACACTGGCCCGTTTAAAAACACACTTTGTCTCGGTGGGACTGAGGTGTCAGCTGATATGGGCTGTAGGGAGAGGATTTGCAACCTGCCTGAACTACAACTGTGCTCAATTTAACTGAAATAAATGAAAAGCTGGAATCTAAAATCACCACGTGCCAAACACTGGGTGTAATGATAGTTCAGCTAATTCTAACACCAGCCCACAGCAGCTGACGGCTCAGCTGATACCATGAAAACATTTGTCCTATTTAACCTACTTCCTCTGTGAACCACTTTGCTGCTGCTCTCTTCTCCTCCGCCCTATCTCCTCATTTATCTGCTGTCTGATTTTACCGGTGTCTTTGTTGCTGCCCTCTCCTCTCCCGCCCCAGCTCCTCCTCCTTTATTCACTGTCTAATTTTACCAGTGTCTTTGCTGTTGCTTTCTTCTCCGCCACCTCAGCTTCTCCTTTATCTGCTGTCTGATTTTACCGGTGTCTCTGCTGCTGCTTTCCTTGCCTCAGGCTGTGTAAAGTAGGAGATACAGGGAGCTCTCAGGACAGAGTCATACCACCAGATAAAACCTACAGTGTGTGAGTAATTAATTCTTTAGATGACAGTGATCCTGTCTGAACTAGAAAAAGCTGGACAGCTTTCTAAAACCACCAGGTAAACATTTATAATGGCACAGTAAAAAACAATGATTATCATGTATTTAAATGTATAATAGACTGATTAATTGATGCTGTCACCAAAGTTCAGTGTGTGTCAGTTTATAATTCCACTTAAGTGCCTTTCTTATCCTTTCTACTAATCGGTCTCCACTCTGAGGAAATCTGACTTTGATTTAAATTCACAGGATTATTACAGGATTATAGTGAAGAGAATTAAAGATTAAACAATAATAGAAAATCCCTGAAAGCAGATCTGAGCTCAGTCATAGAGCTGCTGATGATCAGAACTGAGTGAAAAGAAGAGTGAATATGACTAAAATCATTATGTACATAGTAAACACAACAACACTCTACAACACTGACACTAGTGTGTGTGTGTGTGTGTGTGTGTGTGTGTGTGTGTGTGTGTGTGTGTGTGTGTGTGTGTGTGTGTTTACATATGGGTGTGGGGGCTCTCTTTCTCTCTTTGTCTGCATGTGTTGTGTTTTAGCTCAGGGAGGGGTGCACCGCTGTCGTCTGATTGGCTAGTTTCCTTTGTGTGTCTGTGGTGAAGAAGGAAGGAGGAGGAGCGTGACACATCCTCCTCCTCTCCCTATCCCTCTCTTCCCTTGTCTCATAGCCCCCCCCCCCCATCCCACCCGGGTCATGTGATCAGTAATTCCCTGGGATTTCACTTCCAGGCATGCTCTGTCTGCTCCTCCATCCTATCCTCAGTCTGTGTGTGTGTGTAAGAAAGAAATTGTGCTGTATCCTCCTCTCGCTCGCTCCTCTTGTTGTGGATCTATTGTTAGGTGACTGACACACACACACACTCACACACACACACACACACACACACACACACACACACACACACACACACACACACACACACTCACACTCAAAGAGGAGCACAAGGTGGACTACAGAAGGCAGCAGCAGGGACGGGGCAGAGATGGTGAGTGACGTGTTTTTGTGTGTGTGTATGTGTGTGTGTGTGTGTCCTGCTGATAGTTTTATTGTTTTTTGATTATCTGATGACTGAGGGTGTGTGCGGATTATGTCTGTTGTTGCAGATGTTTGAGTTGATTATTGATTAGCATGCAGAGCTGCTGTGTGTGTGTGTGCGTGTGTGCGTGCGTGCGCGCCTTACACAGAATCAGCCTTGATCAGGTGTTTTTTTCTGGTAAGTGTATCAGGTGCATCATTTTGTGTATGTGTGTGCGTGTGTGTGTGTGTTTGCTCAGCTGCAGGCACATCATCCCGTCGCTTAGTGTCACCATGGTAACCGTGAACCAGAGTTATGACCTGACATGCTGATGTTTGGTGTGTGACTCTGTCTCAGCTTTCTGTGCTCCCTGGAGCCTCACAAACACTTTGCTCTATCAAAGGGTTTTTATTTTGGCGATAAATGAATTTCAGATTCAAAAGCTGTGTTTGTGCTGCAGCAGGATTACTGAATGAATGCATGAATGAAGATTTCTATTGTGAAAGCACAGTGAAAGCTCATTTGTGGGTCTCTATCAATGAATCAACACGCGATGTAACGAGCAGCAAAAACACACTCAGGGATAAAAATAACTGCAGTGAGGAACGAAAGCAGCAGAGGAGACACTTGTTTATCATCAATCAGAAAATCAAAGTCTGCAGCTCCATGCATCAAACTCCTCCAAATCAGAGAAGACCAGGGCATACAGGCTAGTCTTTGTCTGCCCTGTAGAGGAGATTATTTTTCTCTCCATTTTAGAGACACATTTTTCTAAACTTTAAACCAAGTTTTTAAAACTAGTTCTCCAAACCTCAGACTTTTGTGCCGAAGCAGTCTGATCCAAACTGTTTAATCTGAGCTCAGACTTGAACTCTGTTTTCACTTCACACACACACAGGAGACAGTCAAATTACTAAGCAGCTAATTCAGTCTGCAACAGTGAGCTGGTCAAGATCACTGCAGGAAAAACAGAGTTCACCAAACTGTGAGTCACCAAGTAAAGTTCATACAGGGACTTACACAGTTAAAAGCAGAAACATTGTCAAAGGAGTATTTAGAGAACTTACAGCAGGAGGAGGGGAGAGCAGCAGCAAAGCCTTACAGAATAAGCAGGAAGTGTAGGCAGGCTCAATAAATGATGAATGTCTCTTTCTAGATGCCTCTTTTATACCAGCTTATAATCACAATGAGATAGATTTAAATCCTCGTGAAGCTGTGGACTGAAGGAGAGAAACCTGAAAGATAATCTCATGATGACTGACTGAGCTTTTTCATCTTTAACAAACAGCAAAAGCACTGAGACTGTGAAGTTAACTCTCTCTGTGAGACCGGCAGCTTTAGCCGATAACCTCTGAGTCATCCGTCAGAAACAAAGATCATCTGAGAAGATTTATGGAGGAGTTTAGAGAAATAGAGTCATTTCTAACATGAGTGCTAGGCAGAAGCTTCCATCTTTGTTTTGGTCTGTTGACCAGTCATAGACTGTATCTGCTATTAGCTGACCTGTCAAGTCCAATCAGAGACCAGGCTTCCTACCTGAGTGGGGTAGTGACTGTAGTAGAATGTCTTTTTGATCCACAGTCAGTCCACTGATGAGAAGCTGGATGGACAAGCTAAGGGGTCATGGCCTCAGTGAGTCCTGATGACTGGGTTTAAGCTGAGCTGAAGTTTACACCATTGTGTAAACTTCATTACACAATGTTACCTGCAGCTATAGATACTGACTCCTCCTCTTAAACCCTATTAGCTCAGACAGGAAGTGACATCACAGAGGTAAAACCACGGACCACATAAAAACTGGAAGTAGAGTTTTGGCGGTCATTAGTTTGATAATACTGACTCATTCTAACCTTTAGTTGACCTATCAGAAGCCTGCCTTTGGCCTCCTCGCTAATAGCTACAGTGTGACCGCCTGTCAGTCAAGCCAGCTGTCCCTCTGATTTGCTGTTCTTGTAACCTGAATATCATCAAAACAAACATGTTATTAAAAAACTTTCTGACGTAAGAGCCCTCAGATACTAAGACCCAAACGGTTCTTTCTGCTGTAATAATGGCTTTTTGAGTGAGTGTGTTCTGTTTCATTTTGTTTATCTCCGTTAGCTTTGGCTAAGGCCATTGCTATTCTTCCTGGAGTCTACATTAACAATTAGCGTTCCATTGCAGTGCACAGTCACAAAAAACATCACGCCACAAACACAAAGACAACGTCGATATCCACAACAACTCACAAAAGCCTCCAAGACAAAACAACAAGACTAGAACAATACAAACAACATACACATGTTATTGGACCTTAAACATTTCCACAGTGTTGCTTTAGTTCTAAAACAATCAGATGTTCAAATATCAACTTACATTCCACATAATTGAGTTAATTTACAGAAACAGTACCCAATACATAAACAGACTTCCAATATTTCAAGTAGATCAGACAAACACTGATTGATTGTACCAAGCTTCATCTGAATAAGGAGCTGTTTGACGAGTAAATGTCCTTTAACTAGATCTTTTAATCTGTATTTGTTGTGTTCTTGGATGATATGTCCTGGCAGAGCATTCCATATCACCATGGCCCTATACATTGCGGTACTTTTTATTTGGTTTGTTTTTAATTTGGGTAAGGTGAATTTACCCCCCATAGCATGTCTTGTTCTGTAACAGTGTTCACCCGAACTGAAAGACAAACGATTGTGAAGAACCCTTGGCAATTTCGTCACAGATAGTCTTTTCATGAAAGCTGCTAATGAGGCAGTAAATTTGTTCCTTACATTCAACCAGGCTGGTTTTGTATGGACAGTGAAGTAAATATTGTGCTGCCTGGTTCTGAGCCATTTGCAGTTTCTTTATATGTGATGAAGCAGCGCACAACCAAACCTCTGAATAATCGAGGTGTGATAACACCAAACTATTCATCACACTTCCCCTTACATTTACAGGTAATAAATCACATCTCCTTATCACCGACAGACTCCTGCCCATTTTATTTATTACTTTCTCAATATGTTTTGCCCATGTCAGTTCCTAGAAGTTTGGTTTCGTGCGTTTGTTCTACCATCACATCATACACATACAGCTTCAGTTTTGGCTGATTTCTTAACATGTTTTTTGTCCCAAACACAATGCTGTTTGTCTTAGAGGTATTACGAACTAATTTATTATCAGTTATCAGTTTCACCACAACTTGGAGTTCCTAAATTAAAACACTGCTAAGTTCATTTATTGTGGTTTTAGCTATATCTATTGTTGTATCATCTGCATACACTGAAATTTTTGCGTCCTTTAGGGTCAGTGGTAAGTTAGGCATGTGCCGATATGAAAAAATTTGATATCAGGATATTGGTGGCCCACAATATCATGATTCACGATATTATCACGTTATTAGCGCATTGCTTTTAACGTTATTAAAATGGCAAAAAACTGCGAAATCACTTCTCTGTGCACAGCATGACACGCACAAACAATATAAGCAAGAGGCAGCTAATGCCAGCTGATGTTGGGAGCATTAGCTTTTTGGAGCTAAAGTTAGCAGAAATGTCACTAACGTTGCCAATCATAAGCAGTAGAGTAGACCAAACTTGTTGTGGTCATGTTGTTTTTACCTTGATTTGGGCGAACGATGCTGGATGGTGTTCACGGAGGTAGGCACGTAGGTTTGAAGTTTTAGATAACGGCGCTGCAACTTCCTTACAGCATAACCTGCAGATTGGTGTCAGGTTTACCTGCTCCGCCTGTTTTGTGAAGCCGTAAAACATCCATACTGCCAACGAAACGTTTTTAATAGGAGCATACAGCTGACGCGTTTCGTCATTCTCAGTCCCCGACTGTTCTTGGTCTGGTGTTATGCCGTAGAATGCACCCCTGCTGTTGAATGCACCCCTGATGGGAGCACGGTTGAAAGTACATAACAAGGCGAAATAATCCAAGTTTACCTTACTGCTGGGTGGATTCAAAAGCGTGTGCCTAATGATTTCATTCAGACTATTCAGATAAGCCGAAAACAATAGCCCTCTGATTCGGAATATTTGCTGTCCCGAAAATATACTGCTGTCTACCATGACATCTTACTGCACAGTTTATGTACCCAAGTACACCTCTATATGTGAATTTGGACACATAAAAACAGAACGAAAGTTTGCTGCTCCATTTGACATGTTGTCATGATCCAATACTCGTTCTTTTTAAAATATCAGATCATATCTCCTCCACTTTAAGAAGCTAATGAGCGGATGGGATGCATTGTGGACACACTCCAACAGTGCTTTGGGTGGCCGCAATGCATTGTGGGTGGCCACACATTTTGTTGTAAATTTTCTTCATTTTCTCTTTTAATGTTCCCGTTTTTGTTAGGCTGGCATTAATGTACTTAATTCAAGAGTTTTTTTGGATTTGGGACTACTTTTGTGGTGGTTTGTTTGTACATTTTGCTGCCAAGGCTTTGACACCGTGGGTAAGACTACAAGCGGGTTAGGTTGGTTAGTACTCGGCTTCACTCGCCTATAAAATGTAATTGTGGAACGATTATTACAGTACCTTACGATATCATCATCACAGCTATTTAATATCACATATCGCGATAAAATCGTATATCCGCACATCCCTATGGTAAGTCCTTCGTGAATATTGAATATGGCAAAGGGCCAAGGCTACCACCCTGCGGGACGCCAAGGTCAATTACTTTTGCATCAGACAGACTTCCATTAAAAAAGACTGTCTGTCTCCTGTTTTGTGTGTGTTTGGTTCCTGGTGTGTCTGCAGACAGCCTCCAGTGGACACTGAGAACTGCAGATTTAACATTTCATGGAGGTTTCCAAACATGTTTAAACACAGAATCAGTGTCAGAGTGAGAGAGTGAGATGAAAAGAGACGAAAAGATCCCTTTGCCAGTGTGTGTGTGTGTGTGTGTGTGTGTGTGTGTGTGTGTGTGTGTGTGTGTGTGTGTGTGTGTGTGTGTGTGCCACATGGCAGCGTTGAGCTAATCCTGGCCAGTTCCCCTGCAATCCTCCTGCAGAGCCAATTGCAGCAAAGAGGGATGAGAGGCTCTGATGCAGCTCTGTCAGCTCTCAGTCAAGGAGCTGACAGAGAAAGAGAGAAAGGGTAGTGTGTGTTTCTGTGACTGAGTGTGTGTGAATGAGTGAGTGTCTATGAGACGGTGTGTGTTTTATTGTGAGAGGATGAGGATTTCTCTGAGAGGCTCATTCAGGCTCTGTCCTCACTCAGCGACTTTCATCATAATCAGAATTTACTTTCACTCAGGGAAAGTGCAACAATTCCACGAAATGTTCCTCTGCACAGAAACAGTTCCAATCCTCACGTTGGCCAGTAGGTGGCGATAATGTGTCAAACACAACAAAAGAATGCAGGGCAGGTGTGTTTAGTGTCCTACTGAACAAGACAAATTTACAAACTGTTCTTACAGAACTGTTCTTCCACAAACTGGGAAATCAAACTCAATGAAAACTGGTGTTACTCTGGTTATACTGCCACCTACTGGTCTGGCACACAAACCGCTGCATTTTTGTCCTGTGGCGTCAGAAACACACAAAGGTTTTTCAAAAGTAGGGAGGGTATTTTAATATTTATAATACATTAGCAATTAAAGACAATAGTCCACAGTTCATGACGCTGTGTCAGTTAATAATAATAATAATAATAATAATAAAAAGTTGTACAGTCTGATGGCTGTGGGTACAAAAGATCTTCTGAATCTTTCTGTCCTGCAGCAAAGAGAGAGGAGCCGTCCACCACCATTGGCCCTTTGGTCCATTAAGGTGTTGTGTAGTGGGTGATCCATGTTCTTGAGAATAGTCTCCGCTTTCCTCAGTGTGGATCTCTCCACCACATCCTCCACTGAGTCCAGCTTGAATCCAACCACAGCCAGCCTTTTTCACCAGTTTGTTTGGATGTCTTCCATCTTTTTGTTTGATGCGTCCTCCCCAGCAGACTGCAGCGTAGAACAGCACACTTGCCACCACAGACTGATTAAACATCTGCAGCATCTTTCTACAGATGTCTATTAATCAGAATCTTCTCAGGCAGAAGAGGTGACTCTGCCCCTTTCTGTAGATGAAGTCTATATTCTGAGACCAGTCCAACTTCCTGTGGAAGTCTATGATCATCTCCATTGTCTTTGAGGTGTTGAGGAGGAGGCAGTTTTTGTGACTCCAGTCATTGAAAGCTCTTATCAGATCTCTGTGTTCAGCTTCCTGTTTATTTCTGATACATGCCACGATAGCGGTGTCATCAGAGTATTTCTGGATGTGGCAGGACTCAGTACAATATTTTAAGTCTGAGGTATACAGTGTGAACAGGAATGGCACCAGCACTGTCCCTTGTGGAGCCCCTGTACTGCTCATTAATGTCCCAGAAACACAGTTCCCCAGCCTGACAAACTGTGGCCTCCTATCAGGTAATCTGCGATCCAGGAAACACAGGAAGGATCCACTCCCATCTCTGTGAGCTTGTCTTTGAGTATGGTGGGTTGGATGGTGTTGAAGGCATTTGAAAAGTCAAAGAACATGATCGTAACATAAATCCCAGGTTCCTCCAGATGAGACAGGGCACGGTGAAGCTTGTACAGGACAGCCTCATCCATTCTGATGTGTTCTTTGTTTGCAAATTGCAGGGAATCCAGCTTGTCTTTGACCTCAGACCTCAGAAGGCGTAGAATCAGCCGCTCCAGGGTTTTCATGATGTGTGAAGTGAGGGCCACTGGTCTGTAGTCATTGAGTTCAGCAGGACATTTTGTTTTTGGTACTGGCACAATGCAGGACGTTTTCCACAGAGCAGGTACCCACCCCAGCTGTAGTCTCAGGTTGAAGATCCTGTGGAGAGGTTGACACAGTTCTGCAGCACAGCCTCTAAGCAGCCTTGGACACACACCATCTGGACCAGCTGCCTTCCCAGGACAAAGTCTTCCAAGCTCCATCCTCACCCCTGTTTTGGTGACAGACGAGGACTGGTGTTCTAGGAGGGAGGCAGTTGAAGTGGTTGAGACATTTGAACAAGATGGAAGAGGAACAGGATAAGTTGTAGTGGAGATTTGTTACAGAGAGGAAGGTAGAGTAGCAGAGGAAGTGGGTGTGATAGCAGTGTCAAATCTGTTGAAGAACAGGTTGAGTTCATCAGCTCTTTTCACATCATCCACCACCGGCTGTCTTTTCTTTTTATTGCTGTGTCCAGCGATGGTACTGATGCCTCTCCACACTTCACGGATGTTGCTGTGTTGTAGATTCTTCTCCACACTGGAGTCCGAGTTGTTTTGATTCAACCAGGTTTCAGTAAAACACAGGAGACTGCACTCACAGTATGCTTTCTCAGTCTTCACCAATATCTCCAGCTCATTGCTTTTGTAGGGCAGGAGTGGTTGCCGTTGCCATGGTTGCCGTGCTGGTGCAAAGGTGAAGGCAAAACTGAATTCTAGGAGGTGGCAATATAAACCCTTTCTTCCATCAATCATGGGAAACGTCAACTCTGTGCCCAACAAAAGCAATGAGCTGGAGATATTGGTGAAGACTGAGAAAGCATACTGTGAGTGCAGTCTCCTGTGTTTTACTGAAACCTGGTTGAATCAAAACAACTCGGACTCCAGTGTGGATCTACCTGGCTTCACTCTCATAAGGTCAGACAGAGATGCTCAAGCTAGTGGCAAGAAGAAAGGAGGAGGTCTGGCTTTATTTGTCAACCAGAGATGGTGTAACCCTTCACACACAATTGTCAAGGAGAAGTTGTGTTGTCCAGTTATTGAACTGTTGGCAGTTGCTCTTTGGCCATGTTATGTTCCAAGAGAATTTAGTCAAATCATAACAATAGTTGTTTACATTCCAGCCAAATCAACTGAAGTAATTCCATGTGATCGTTTGCATAATAGTGTTGCCAGGCTACGGACTCAACACCCTGAGGCACTAATAATAATATCGGGAGACTTCAACCATGTCACCCTCTCCTCTTACCTGACTGGATTCACACAGTTTGTGAACTGTCCTACCAGAGAAAACAAGACCCTGGATCTGCTGTATGCCAACATCAAAGAAGCCTACAGAGCCACTGCCTTACCACCTCTGGGCAATTCAGATCATAACTTTGTCTATCTTCAAACCTGTTACAGACCTTGCGTGCTGAGACAGCCTGTGACCAAAGTCAAAATCAGAAGATGGACACCTCAAGCTAGTGAAGCTCTAAGGGACTGTTTTAAATCAACAGACTGGAGTATGCTGCTGGAAACAGATGTGGATAGTATGAACATTGACAAACAGGTTGACTGCTTTACTGATTATGTCAACTTCTGTAGAGACACAGTTATACCCACAAAAACTGTTCGCTGTTTCCCCAACAACAAACCCTGGATCACAAGAGAAATAAAAGCAATCCTTAACCAGAAAAAGAAAGCTTTTAAAGATGGTGACAAAGAACAACTCAAACAAGTGCAACAAGAGATGAAGAGGGGAGTAAAGATGGCAAAGCCTGAGTACAAAAAGAAGATAGAGAATAATCTACTAAATAGCAACATCTGTGAAGTGTGGAGAGAAATCAGTACCATCTCTGGACACAGCAGTAAAAAGAAAAGACAGCCGGTGGTGGGTGATGTGGAAAGAGCGAATGAACTATTCTAAAATACATCTTCTGATACAACTTAAACACATCTTCAGTAATGTATCCTGAGTTCATAGGGTGTTTCGGGTCTTGCAACATTATACACCCTCGCCCAGGCGACCCAGCCACGGTTGATCAAGCCGCGGCTTGTGTTCAGGTGGCATTCACTTGTCCCCATGGTTCTCCTTTTCAGATCCAGAGCCATCTCGAGGCTTTCTCAGCTGCCTCAGTGGTGTTCTTGATGGCTCTGCTCCTTGCGCTTCCCGTAATGCCCAACATGCTCAGGGCTTTGTGGAGTGAGCGTCCCACAATTCCCCTGCTGCCAACTTCGATGGGCATACATCGTGCCTTCCAGCCCTGTTGACAACATTCGATTACCAGATGTTCATACTTGGTCCTCTTCCTTTCATGGGTCTCCCCCAAGCGGTCCTCCCATGGCGCCGTCAGCTCCATGATCACGATGTTCTTGGTGCTCTCTGAGACCAGGAGGATGTCTGGCCTCAGGGTGGTGCTGACGACGTGCTGGGGGAACCGTAGCTGCTTCTCTAGATCTACCGAGAGCTGCCAATTTTGGGCAGTTGCCAGGATCCCTGCTGGTGCCTTCTTGCCACCTGCCTTTGGCTGAACTTCTGCTTTGACAAAAGCGATGGTGTCGGTGGTGTTGCGCACCTGGCAACAGCTGCTGATACCCCTGCTGATGGCTTCAGCAATTGGCTTCAGCACCTGGTTGTGGCGCCAGATGTATCGGCCTTGGCCGAGTGCTGTTGGGCAGGAGCTCAGGATGTGTTCCAGTGTTCCTCTCCCTGAGCGCAGCTGGCAGCTCGGGGTCTCCACCTTCTCCCAGGTGAATAGGTTTGCTGGGCTTGGTAGGACGTCGTAGACTGCCCGGATTAGGAAGCTGATACGGTGTGGGTCAGCCTGCCACAGGTCCGTCCAGGTGACTTTCCGGTCCATGGCGTGCTCCCATCTGGTCCAGGCCACCTGCTGCCTGAGACCAGCCACTCTGCTTGTTCTCCCTTCCTCCACTGCAGTCCTGACCTCCTCCTGTATGCCTTTGCTGTTCCGTCCCCTTGCACTCCCTGTGTCAAGGTGGTGTTGGGAACATCCCCAGACCTGCTCTACCGTGGGCCACTACACCCACCAGATCTCTGTGGCGCAGCCTTGCCTCCGCATCCAGCACAGCAGACTGGGCACTCCACTTCCTCCCGGTCTTCACCACGACTCCTGCCTGGGCCACCTTTGGGTCCTTTGAGTCTCGGTACAGCAGCGCCTCTCTGGTCCGAGTCACCTTGAACTCCTCCTCCTCCAGAGACTTCAAGGGCAACCGGAGCTTTGTGGTGTTCCCATAGAGGGCAATGTTACTGAGGCTCCTGGGCAACCCCAACCATCTTCTGAGACAGAAGGTGACCAGGTGCTGACCTTCCTCTCCAAGGTCTCCACCGTGGAGATGGTGACCTCATAGACAAGTAATGGCCAGAGTATCCTTGGTAAGATCCCATGCTAGTATATCCATGCCTTAAACTTGCCTGGGAGGCCAGATCTGTCTACTGCTCTCAGCCAGCTGTCTAGTTCCTGGCAGGTTGACTGGACCGATGTGGAGTCTTTGAGGCTGCTGTCAAACACCTTGCCCAAGCTCTTCACAGGCTTTTCTGAGAGTGATGGTATCGTTAACCCTGCGATGTTGAACCGGAACCTGTCCATGACCTTGCCCCTCTTCACCACCAGTGATCTGGACTTGGCTGGTTTGAATCCCATCCGAGCCCAACAGATGAGCCTTTGCAGCCCTTGGAGGATCCACCTGCACCCTGGCACTGTCTCCGTGGTGACTGTCAGGTCGTCCATGAAAGCCCTGATTGGGGGTTGGCGAGTCCCTGATTGGGTCTGTGGGCCTCTGCACTCTGGCTCCGCCGACTTCAAAATCATGTTCATCGCCAGGGCAAACAAGGTTACAGAGATGGTGCAGCCTGTAATTATGCCCACCTCCAACTGGTGCCACTCTGATGTTACTTCCCCTGCTGTGACTCTCATCCTGAACTGATTGTCATAATCCAGGATGTGTTCTGCAACTTGGTGTGGCACATGGTGTTTGGTCATGATGGTCTGGACCAGTTTGTGTGGGATGGAGTCATATGCATTGGCTAGGTCTAACCGCAGAACTGTAAGGTCTCCCTTGTTCTCCCGGGATTCCCGGATGAGCTGAGTCACCACTCCAGTGTGTTCTAGACTGCCCGGTACTCCGGCGATCCCTCCCTTTTGCGATCCCTCCCTCCCTTGAAGTCCGCCAGCCTCCTTGCTACTATGCTGAAGAAGATCTTTCCTTCCACGCTCAGCAGGGAGATGATTCTGAACTGGTTGATCTTCTTGGAATCTTTCTCTTTGGGGATCCAGACTCCTTCAGCAAATCTCCACTGCTGTGCCACCTTTCCCCTCCTCCATATGACTCTGAGGATCTTCCAGAGTCTCTTCAGTAGCAATGGACAGTTCTTGTAGACCTTGTATGGCACACCACTAGGTCCAGGGGCGGAGCTAGCTCTTGCCTTCTTCACAACCTCCTGAACCTCTTTCAGAAGTGGCTCCCTGGTGTCAAACTCCTTAGTAGGAGGTGGTGGGTCTACAAGGAAAATACACTGCTAGGATCACTGTAGGTGTTGTGGAAATGCAAGTCAACTTTCTCCTTGGAACATTCCAGGTTCCCATCCCGTTTCTGTCCTAGCAGCTGTTTGGTGAAGCCAAAGGGGTTGGCTATGAACGAAGCACGCTTCCTGGATCTCTCTTTCCCGCGCATTCGGTGGTATTCAGCTCTGCGCAGGGTCATCAGCCTTTTCCTCAAGATAGCCCGCAGTTCTGCCAAGGGGGGGCGTTGCTCCTCACTGGCTGCTTTGTGCTGCTTCTTGAGGGACTTCAGTTCCTGTCGGATTCTGTGGATCTTCACTGCCCGTTGGTTCATGGTGTAGGACGTCCGAGCTGCTCAACTCAACCTGTTCTTCAACAGATTTGACACTGCTGTCACACCCACTTCCACTGGCTGCTTAGATACTGTGCTGCAGAACTGTGTCAACCTCTCCACAAGATCTTCAACCTGAGACTACAGCTGGGGCAGGTACCTGCTCTGTGGAAAACATCCTGTATTGTGCCAGTACCAAAAACAAAATGTCCTGCTGAACTCAATGACTACAGACCAGTGGCCCTCACTTCACACATCATGAAAACCCTGGAGTGGCTGATCCTACGCCTTCTGAGGTCTGAGGTCAAAGACAAACTGGACTCCCTGCAGTTTGCATACAAAGAACACATTAGAGTGGATGATGCTGTCCTCTACATGCTTCACCGTGCCCTGTCTCATCTGGAGGGACCTGGGGTTTATATGAAGATCATGTTCTTTGACTTTTCAAGTGCATTCAACACCATCCAACTCACCATACTCAAAGACAAGCTCATAGAGATGGGAGTGGATCCTTCCTGTGTTTCCGGGATCACAGATTACCTGACAGGAAGGCCACAGTTTGTCAGGCTGGGAAACTGTGTTTCTGGGACATTAATGAGCAGTACAGGGGCTCCACAAGGGACTTCAAATACAGTACTGAGTCCTGCCACATCCAGAAATACTCAGATGACACCACTATTGTGGCATGTATCAGAAATAGAAAAGAAGCTGAATTCAGAGATCTAGTAAGAGCCTTCAGTGACTGGAGTCACAAAAACGGCCTCCTCTTCAACACCTCAAAGACAAAGGAGATGGTCATAGACTTCCGTAGATCCAAACCCCCTCTTCAGCCAGTGATCACCTGTGGAGTGGATATCAAAGTGGTGACATCATATAAATACCTAGGTGTACATCTGGATAATAAGTTGGATTGTTCTAAGAATATAGACTTCATCTACAGAAAGGGGCAGAGCCGCCTCTTTTGCCTGAGAAGACTCTGTAGTAAGATGCTGCAGATGTTTTATCAGTCTGTAGTGGCAAGTGTGCTGTTCTAAGCTGCAGTCTGCTGGGGAGGAAGCATCATACACAAAGATGCAAGACATCTTAACAAACTGGTGAAAAAGGCTGGCTCTGTGGTTGGACTCAAGCTGGACTCAGTGGAGGAGGTGGTGGAGAGATCTACACTGAGGAAGGTGGAGACTATTCTCAAGAACATGGATCACCCACTACACAACACCTTGATGGACCAAAGGGCCAATGGTGGTGGACGGCTCCTCTCTCTTTGCTGCAGGACAGAAAGATTCGGAAGATCTTTTGTACCAACAAGTGTGCTGTTCTACGCTGCAGTCTGCTGGGGAGGAAGCATCATACACAAAGATGCAAGACGTCTTAACAAACTGGTGAAAAAGGCTGGCTCTGTGGTTGGACTCAAGCTGGACTCAGTGGAGGAGGTGGTGGAGAGATTTACACTGAGGAAGGTGGAGACTATTCTCAAGAACATGGATCCCCACATGACTGTGACTACGGGCCAGGTTAGGAGACAGCTGGAGAGGCTCCACCAGAGGAAGGCAGCAAGACCTGATGGCATCAGCCCTAGGATCCTGAGGACCTGCGCCAGCCAGCTGTCTGCTGTCATCCAACACCTCTACAACCTGAGCCTGAGTCAAGAGAAAGTCCCAGTGCTGTGGAAGACGTCCTGTCTCGTTCCTGTCCCAAAGAAGTCGACTCCATCTGACCTCAATGACTACCGACCAGTTGCCCTCACTTCCCATCTGATGAAGGTGCTGGAGAGATTGGTCTTGGCCCACCTGAGGCTGCAGGTGAAGGAGCTCTTAGACCCTCTACAGTTTGCCTACCAGCCCCATTTGGGAGTCGACGATGCTGTCATCTACCTGCTGCAACGAGTTCATCTGCATCTGGATGGTGGTGGCAGCACTGTGATTTCACTGTGACTTCTTTGATTTCTCCAGTGCTTTCAACACCATCCAGCCACTGCTGCTGGGTGAGAAGCTGCGGGTGATGGGTGTCGACACCTCCATTGTCTCCTGGATCACCGACTACCTGACGGACAGGCCACAGTTTGTCCGTCTGGGTAGTGTTCTGTCTGACGTGGTGGTCAGTGATGCAGGAGCTCCACAGGGGACTGTGCTGTCCCCTTTCCTTTTCACCTTGTACACCACTGACTTTCAGTACAACTCCGAGTCATGCCACCTGCAGAAATTTTCTGATGACTCGGCTGTTGTTGGGTGTATAAGCAGGGGAAGGGATGGGGAGTACAGAGCAGTGGTGGATAACTTTGTGGAGTGGGCTGGACGCAATCACCTGAGGCTGAATGTCACCAAGACCAGAGAGATGGTCATCGACTTCAGGAAGAAGAGGAGGGCTTCACAGCCACTTTGCATCCTGGGAGAAGATGTGGAGGAGTTGGAGGTATAGTCCATTTTTTAAAAATCCTACCACATCACATTACTGAGCACCTTAAGTTGTCTGTATATCTATCACCCCAGCTGTAATATTTCGCATTTCATATTTATTACTCATTTCAATAGCCCACATTCTTCATATCTCACTTTTATCTCTTAGGATGTTTAGTATATTTAGTCTGTATTTATTGTATATACTTAGTATTTTTAGTATTTTTAGTCTGCATTGTACTTACTTCTACTTATATTTAATGTTATTTTGTATTTTCTTTTGCTGCTGTAACAAGAGAATTTCCCAGTTTGGGATCAATAAAGTCTTTTATTAATTTATTAGAAGTAATATTAATAATATTACTTCTATTACTATTACTACTATTATTATTACATTTTCTACTATTACTATTACTTGTACTTCTAGTACTTTTACTACTTTTACTACACTGTTACTACTATAACTACTACTACTTCTTTTACTACTATTATCATTACATTTACTACTTTTACTATTACTTCTATTTCTTTTACTATTACTTTTATTATTATTATTATTATTATTATTATTATTATTATTATTATTATTATTATTTTATTTTATGTACGGTAAATTTAGCACAGTTTTAGTTGGTACACCAGAGCTCACTGAAGACCAAAATTAGTCTCCTGTACTTTGCCTCATAGTTACAACAGAGTTACACTGAGTCTGAGGACAAAATTATCACAAAACCCCATCTGAGTCCATCCTTACCTTTCTACAGGATTAGTGTGTAGCCAGGTCTTTAAGCTGAGAAGTCTATACTCTAGAGTCCCTTTCTACTGTGGGGGAAAAAGGTGATGGTTTCATCACCCTCAACTGCATGCAGCTCAAACTCAGCCAGTGATGGACCATAGCAAGAAGGTAATTAACTGCCACTCAGAAGCAGCCAACTACGGCTTTGTAGCAACTACAAGCCACTCAATAAACTCTGTTGCAGCCGACTGCAGCGAGGTAAAAACCCACTGTGACTTTCCTTCCCTCAGCAGATCTTGCTGCTGGTGGATTTGGGGTTCTGTTTGGGTTTGTAGCATCTAAATATGGAGTCGTGTTTGAGGTTTCAGTATCACTCAGCTGTGATTGACTCTCCATGACTGTGGTGTCAGAGGCAGCCTTCACTGGCTGCTATCAGAGTGTGAGCAGAGCTGGAAGAGTAAACCTGTAAACCTTTAACCTTTGACAAACTGCTGATCGACAGAGTCATGATTTCTGTTTCTACCCTCCAGGCTGAAGAACTGACCCACCATCACAGATAAATAACACAAACTTCTAAAAACTGAGTTTACAAAAGAATCAGAAACCCTGGGTCTGATTCAGATCTTTATTTTTCTGTCAGAGAGAAAATAAGACAGAGACTCTAAGAGCCACCATGTGACAGAAAGGTTAAGACCACACACACACACACACAAACACACACACTCCCTCCCTCCATAACCATGGCAACAGTCATATCAACAGGGCAGCCCCGCTGAAGAGAGAGAGGAAACAAAAGAACACTGCAAGACAACAACCCCTCCTCACTATGCCACATGAAACCGTACTGAACAATAAACTAAGCTCCTGAGTGACGGTGTGTGTGTGTGTGTGTGTGTGTGTGTGTGTGTGTGTGTGTGTGTGTGTGTGTGTGTGTGTGTGTGTGTGTGTGTGTGCGTGCGTGTGTGTGTGTGTATGTGTGTAGGGAGGGGCATTTGTCAGAGTTGGCCTGTCCTCTGAACAAACGGTCAGCAGCTACATAGAGACAAAGAGACAGAGTCTGATGGTCCAGTTTGTACTCAATCAGCAAAGCTGACAGCTGCTGCTCACAGAGGATCATGTTGGATGATCATATTTAATTGTCATGTTTAATGATCATATTGGATGACCATATTTAATGATCATTTTGGATGATCATGTTTAATAATCATGTTAGATGATCATGTTGGATGATCATGTTGGTGCAGTCAATGTCTCAAAAAGGACTTTCTGAATCTCTCAGGTGTGTCTTTGTCATGAGTCGCACACACTTCTTTTTTCTGCATCCCTCTTTTTTTGTTCCTTTCTCTCTCTTTTCCTATCTTCCTCTCTCTTTCTCTCACTCTCTTTTACTGACTGTGTCACAGCTGAAGAAAAGCTCAGTTTTTATGTAAGTGTGTATGTGAACAGATCTGACCCTCCACACCGCCACCATGAAGTGCACATTTAAGGTCTCAATTATCTGTAAAAAAAATAGAACATGACTGCGCACAGACCTCATAAACCCTTATTGACTCTCATAAACTCTAATTGACTCTTGTTAGCTCTCATGAACTCTCATTGAATCCCAAGAACTCCCATTATTTCTCATTGACTCTTTTAAACCCTTATTGACTCTCATAAACTCTCAACGACTCTCATATAAACACTCTAACTCTCATTAACCTTCATTGACTCTCAGAAACACTCATTGACTCTCATAAACACTGATCTCATAAACCCTCATTGACACTTATAAACCCTCATTGACTCTCATAAATACTATGAATCTCAAGAATTCTCATTGAGTCTCATAAACACTCTGACTCTCATAAACCCTCATTGACGCTCATAAACACCCTTATTGACTATCATAGACTCTCATTGACTCCCATATACAATCCGACTCTCATTAACCCTCATTGACTCTCATAAACACTGACTCTCATGAATTCTCTTGACTCTCATAAACACCCTGACTCTCAAAAACCCTCACTGACTCTCATAAACCCTTATTGACTATCATAGACTCTCATAAACACTTTGACTCTCATGAATTCTCATTGACTCTTATGAACCCTCATTGGCTCTCATAAACTCTTATTGATTCTCAGTAAATCTGTAAATTACTCTCTAATGTCAAATGACCTTTTTAATAAGGAATGATTACAGGGATATCTTATTCCCGCACATGCCTCTTCATTTTCTGTCAGAAATGATCGATCCTGAACTCTCCTGATGATGTTTTTATACAGCCAAACACCTAGATGATAAGTCATCTACGGTCTGACCTTGGCTTAGTTTTTCAGGAGATATGAGACTGACAGCAGAAGCTCAGATTGGTCACATCTGAAGATCTTTCATCCTCATCTGTCTTTTTTAGGTTTGTCTCATCATGAGTGTCCCCTCACAGTAAAGGGACATCCATGAGGAGACATGTGCTGAAAGTTTTTAAAGGACAGTTTCAGGTTTTATGGAGGTTTGAAGAGTCCAAAGAGCAGCACAGCTGTTTGGTCCAGCCTCAGCTCTTATTTTATCAGCTACAGTCTGAGGATCATCCGTCCTCTGAGAGTGAGGATTAGACACCTCCAGCCCATCCCTTCTGTAGGGGTCAGAGTAACACCTGGGGGTCCTCAGGAGGAGCTGATGATGATCTGCAGAGGAACGTCTGGGATCAGTTAAAGCTGCTGTTTGTAAAGCTGACCTCTACTGAAGGAGGTTTCTTTTCCTCTCCAGAGGGAAATCCACCTTCACATATTCAGTTTTTTGTCAGTCCAGGATGTGGAGGAGTCTCAGTTTGGTCCTGTGTGAAACTTAGTTTCAGACTCAGTGATCCTCTCATTCAGAGGATGGATGTATGGATGTGAGAAAACTGAGCATGCTCAGTGACACTGACATTAGCTGGATGAGACAGCTCAGTTTGATTTGTATCTCTTCCTTTTGTAATAAATGTTCACCTCATTAAGGTTATTGTCTATTTTCCTTCTCCTTCCCAAGTCTTGTGGTCCTGGCAGGACTAAAATCGTACTCAGACCTGGTCCAACTTTGGTGTAACCCTCTACCGAGGCTTTTAAATTTTTTTAAGTGTATACTGAATATTCTGCAAAAAGCAACACCTGGTGGTGGTTTGAGGTAAGGTCTTGGACATGTTTTCATTAGTTTACTTTTCTGGTAATTAAACTGAAAAGTATTAAGGACTTTAAACCAGCAGAAACAGGCAAACACACTCTGGCATGTTTACAGCTAAATAAGTATGATTGTGTTACTTTGTTCATACTGTTACTGCCTGGCTGAAGACAGATAACAAGAAGGGAGGCAACACTCAACAATAACCATTAACCAAGATATTTTATTTAACAAAGATGATTATCAATCAGTATGAGGTGTCAGGATTAAGATCAGTAGTGTCAGCAAGTGTTGGATGTGTGAGCATGTGTGTGGTGGATGTTGTAAGATGAACATACCCAAAATGGTGGTGGCTGGTGTGGTAGATGCAGGCCCTGCCATGATAGAGAGCTAAAGCTTTTCAGCCGAGATTGAGATTGAGATTTGATTTATTGGTCCCCTTGGGGAAATTCATCTTCACTGACTGTACATTATGGGAAAGACAACGACATTGCACATTACAAACATCAACAAACAGTAAGGACAGACATAAATAGTGTGGGACAGTTACAACAGCAAAAGGTGACAGGCTGGTCAGATAGGTCAGCGGGGCCTGCTGTTGAGGGCGGCAATAGCTGCAGGGATCAGGCTTTTCCCAAGACGGGCCCTCCTGAATTTTAGTGTTCTGTATCTGCGCCCAGAGGGTAGTGGAATGATGTGTCGGTGTAATGGGTGAGTGATGTCCTGGACTAATGTGTTTGCCAGTCAAGTGATGGACCTGTTATTTAATTTTGTAAGGTTGGGTGTGGGGAGGCCAATGATTTTAGCAACTGTGTTTGTGAGGTGTGACAGTTTGGCCCGGTTGGTGACAAATAGCATGGTGTAAAAACATGTAGAGCAGTACAGAAGGATGGGTTGTATAATGCTTTTGTAGAGTAACAACAGAAGATGAGGTGCAACATATAGTCCACAGATGGCTAAGTTTGCAGATGGCTGACGGTCTTTGTTGGCTCCTTTTTTGAATGTCCGTGGTGTGCTGATCAAAGGTGAGTTTATTGTCCAGAGTTATTCCAAGATATTTAAAAGTGTCGACTGTCTCGACTGTGCCCGCCCTGATCTCGACTATGCCCAACTATGCGGAGCGCAGGTGGAAAAAGGACAGACTGCATGTGTCTCTTGGCATCTTTAAAGATAGCCTTTGGAATTATCAGAAAATTGTGAAAGCCGAGAAGAATAAATACTTCTCAGAATTAATTGCTTTTAACTGTAACAACCCCAGAGCTCTGTTCAAAACCACAAACACTGTCCTTGAGGCTCCCAAGTCTCTTGGTTTTGATGCCTCCACTGAAATTTGTGAAAAATTCCTCCACTTCTTCACTGATAAAATTATGTCAACCAGAGCCTGTGTCTCTCAACCTTCGTATGATCCTTCAGCCCCTCTGCACCCCTCATCTGTCTTTGCCAAATTTGAGTCTGTGTCCCTCTCTATTTTTAAGGACATAGTCAGCCATATGAAGCCTTCTGGTTCCCCTGCAGATGCCATCCCCCCTCGCTTGTTTAAAGAAGTACTTGCCACTATTGGACCAAGTGTCCTTAATATTGTTAACAGTAGCCTCTCCTCTGGTACAGTACCTAAGGATTTTAAACATGCTGTAGTACGACCTCTACTTAAAAAAACTGGCCTTGACATATCCCTCTGTGCCAGTTTCAGACCCATCTCAAATCTTCCATATCTGTCCAAGATTCTAGAGAAGGTGGTCTACAATCAATTGTTGCCATTTTTTGGAAGATTATGGTATCACAGAGTTGTTCCAGTCTGGTTTTAAAGCTCTCCATAGCACAGAGTCAGCGCTTTTAAAGGTGTCTAATGATATTCTCATGTCAACAGACTCTGGAAAGTTTGTTGTCCTTGTGCTCCTAGATCTGTCTGCTGCATTTGACACTGTTGACCACAGCATTTTAATCTCTCGCCTGGAGCACTGTGTGGGCATTAAGGGTGTCGCCCTGGACTGGTTCCGGTTGTACTTAACGGACAGAAGTTTCTTTGTTCAACTTGACAACTCTGTGTCGTCAACAGCTCCCCTCCCACATGGGGTCCCCCAGGGCTCAATCCTCAGCCCTCTTTTATTTGCCTTTTATCTACTCCCCCTTGGTTCTGTTTTTAGGAAACATGGCATCTCCTTTCATTTTAATGCTGATGATTGCCAGATCTATTTTCCACTGGCACAGAACAACTCCGACTCAGTCCAACAACTTACTGACTGCCTTAAGGACATTAAAGCCTGGCTTTCTTTTAACTTCCTCAGCCTTAATGAGAACAAGACTGAAGTAATGATGTTTGGACCAAGTGGCAGCCACCCCCCCAACATCAACCTATGCTCCCTCTCACCCTATCTGAAGGCTGTCGTCACTAATCTGGGAGTTAAGTTTGACCCTGATTTTAAATTTGAGAAGCAGATCAGCAGGGTGGTACAAAAAAGTTTTTATCAGCTACGTCAAACAGCGAAGGTGAAGCCCATTTTATCAAGATCTTACCTGGAAAAATTAATCCATGCTTTCATCACTACCCATCTTGATAACTGTAACTCTCTGTATGTAGGGTTTAGCCAGGCTTACCTTGCCCGCCTGCAGCTTGTGCAGAACTCTGCTGCACGTCTCCTCACCCAGACCCGCAGGCGTGAGCACATCACCCCCATCCTGGCATCCTTACACTGGCTCCCTGTACAGCACAGAATTAATTTTAAGCTTTTAATATTTGTTTTTAAAAGCCTGAACAATCTTGCTCCACTTTACATCTCTGAGATGCTCCAGCCTTATTGCCCACCCTGACCCCTAAGATCAGCCGATCAGCTGCTACTGACGGTCCCAAATACAAGGCTGAAGCTCAGAGGGGACAGAGCGTTTGCTGCTGCTGCCCCGAAGCTCTAGAATGAGTTGCCCCTGAAAATCAGACAGGCCTTCTCATTTCCTGTTTTTAAATCCCTTTTAAAAACGCACTTTTACTCCTTGGCTTTTGATACTTTTTAGTGTTATTTTGTTTTTTATCATCTTAGCACTTGCCATGAGCCTGCTTATTAATTTACTTATTTATTCCTTTGCATTAATGTATTTCTGCTCGCTTTATCTTGTGCTTTGACTGTGTTATTTGTTTTTATGTGTCATTGTACAGCACTTTGGCTACCCTTGTGGTTATTTTAAATGTGCTATAGAAATAAAGTTGATTGATTGATTGATTGATTGATTGACTGATTGTGCGTTTATGATGATGGGATCCTTGGGTGAGGGGGGGCTGAAACATAATTCTTTTGTTTTATTGACGTTGATCTCCAGGTCTGTGCATAGCTTGGTGAAGTGGGTGAGTGTGTTGTGGTAGTCCAGAATGGATTGATTGTCAGACAGGAGTGCAAGAATGGCTGTGTCATCTGAGTATTTAAGATGTGTCGTGGTGGGTGAGATGCTGCGGCAGTCATTGGTGTAAAGTACGTACAGGAATGGGCTCAACACACATCCCTGTGGGACCCCGGTGTTGATGGTGAGTGCAGGGGATGTGGTTGAGCCCACCCTTACTGCTTGTAGTCTGTCGGTGAGGAAGTTGTGGGTGAGGTGGATCAGCTGAGGGGGGATGTTGAGATTGTGTAGTTTCTGGATCAGTAGGTGCTTCTGTATGGAGATGAAGGCGGAGCTGAAGTCCACGAAGAGGATCCTGGCGAAGTTGCCTGGGGAGTCCAGATGCTGGAGGAGGAGGTGCAGCAGGCTGGCCACAGCGTCCTCGGTGCCCCTCCTTGCCTTGTAGGCAAATTGGAGGGGGTCCAGATGTGGAGTGACAAGTGGAAGGATGATGTTCAGCAGTAGTTTCTTCAGGCACTTCATTATTATGGATGTGAGGGCTATGGGGCGGTAGTGGTTGAGTTCTGTAGGTCTGGGTTTTTTCGGTACTGGAATTATGGTTGCAGTTTTCCATAGTGTGGGAATTGTGGCAGTCCAGTATGATTGGCAGAAGAGTAAGTGAAGGATAGGGGCGAGTTCCATGGCACAGTTCTTGATCACCCTGGCTGGAATGCCATCGGGCCCTGGGGCTTTGCCTGCCTTACATTGGCTCAGCTGGCGCCGTACCTCCTCCTCAGTGAAGGGGGCCGGTTCTTCAGGGTCTGGTGGTGGGAGGGCTCTCAGTAGATCCTGACACTCCGATGAGAAATCATGCCTGTCGAAACGGGTGTAGAAAGTGTTTAGGCCCTTGGTGAATGTTTCAGGGTTACTGACTGTACATGTGGATTTGGGTTTACACCCAGTCAGGGTTTTCACCTTCTGAAAGGCTTGCTTGGTGTTCATGGTGCTGAATTCTATTTCCAGTTTGTTTTTATAGTCCAGTTTGGCTTTTAACACCTCGTTCTCCAGAGTCCTATTTGTTGCCTTGAGGCTGGTCCAGTCCTTGTGCCTGAAGGATTTATGTTTTTCCCTCAGGCTCTGTTTTAACTGTGGGGTAATCCATGGTTTAGAGTTGGGATAGATCTTTATTGTTTTGGTTGGGATTGTGGAGCTTATGCAGAATTTGATGTAGTCTGTAATGATAGAGACCTTGTCATCTAGACTGCCATCAAAAATGTCCCAGTCGGTGCAGGCTAAGGAGCCTTGGAGTTGTGTGATGGCATCCTCCGTCCACTGGGGGGCACTGCTGCACTGTGGTTTGTGGCGCTTTAGTTCCTGTTTGTAGAGCAGAAGTAAACAGATGACGTTGTGGTCAGCAGCTCCAAGCGGTGGATTTGAACGGGCACAGAAGGCATCGGCGATGTTCCCGTAACATAAATCCAATATGTTTACCCTTCTTGTTGGAATATCCACAAACTGCTGGAATGATGGTAATACACTGTCCAGTCTGCATCCGTTATAGTCCCCCAGAATAAGCAGCGGAGTGCCAGGGTACCGGACCAGCATGGCATTGGCATCCTCGGCTATTAGCTCCGCTGCCATGTTGATGTTGGCACTGGGGGCTACATAGACACAGCTGACCACAACCGTTGGAAATTCCCGGGGGAGATAGAAAGCACAAAGGGACAGGGTCAGCAACTCCAGGTTGGGTGTGCATACTTTACGGTGCACTTTGATGTTATTACACCACCTGTCATTGATGTAAAGGCAGACCCCCCCGCCTCGCGTCTTCCCTGAGTGTCTCGTCCTGTCGGACCTGATGATCGTGAAGTTTTCCAGGCTCACCTCAGAGTCAGGAACTGACTCATCCAACCAGGTCTCGCAAAGAGCAACGATACAGATGTCCCTGAAGGCCCTTTCAAATAGGCACCTTGCGTGCAGTAGATCCATCTTGTTACGGAGTGATCGTACATTGGACATGATGATGGTGGGGAGGGGAGGTTTGAAGGGACGTCTCCTTACCCGGCTTCGGATACCTCCACGCTTTCCCCTTTTCTTCGGCCGAAGCTGCGGTGGTAGGACCACAGCAGGCTTGGTGTTACTCCACAGTGAGGCTCGATGTAACAGGAGTTCATCTCGGCTGTAGGTGAGTAGCCGGTTGCCGGTGTCGGGCTGTCGTGTGAGGCTGTCGCAGATCAGCCATAGTATTGCGAGAAAAACAGTGATCACTTTGTAGCTTATCATGGCTGATCAGTCTGGTTTAGCCCATGTACAGTGTGAAAATTTCACAGTATAAGCACATAAAAAAGAAAACACGCACGTAGAAAACACTAAACACAGAAGACACGGTGTACAGTCAGTGCTGTCGCAGCAGAGCGTGCACCATCTTGTAAAACTGGCTTCATATGCTGTTTTTACTCCAGACTTTTTATGCTTTCTGGCCCTGCCCTGTTGGGCAGGTAATTCAGCCCCTCCCAGCTCCACCCTCCACCATCTCCCTGAGGCTGCAACACAGATAATAATAATATTTAACACTGTTCTTGTGCATAGCCAATCTGGTATGAAGATGAACATAATTTATTCTACAACCTGCATATGGTTCTCCCTTGAACACCAGACCACCAACTCGGCAACCTCGGTACCTAAGGAAGCAGTTTAAGAGAGGGACAGCCAACATGGACAGGGAGATACACCTCAGGGAGAACACTTCCTACACAGACATGGCACGAGACATGGCATCAGCCATTGTGTTCTCAACCCCCTTTACATGCCAAACCTCTAAATTTAATGGCTGGTGGAAAAGACATCAGCGCATAAGTCGCTGATTTGGATTCTGCAGAGAGTGGAGAAAAGTGAGAGGATTGTGGTCAGTGTACACCACTAATGGTGACACGCCTCCACCAACATAAACTTCAAAATGCTTCAATGCCCAAATGAGAGCCAGTGCCTCTTTTTCAATGATAGAAAAGTTCAACTGGTGTAAGTTGAACTTTCTAGAAAAGTAACTTACACCCTTGTCGTCGGCTTGCATGAGTACTGCACCAGCTCCAACCTTGCTAGCATCCACATACAATACAAATGGCCGGTCCATCTGTGGAGCAACTAAGACAGGGGCAGAACACAACAAAGTCTTGACAGATTCAAATGCATTTTGACAAACTGTAGACCACTCAAACTTCACCTTTGTGCTAAGGAGCGAAGTAAGTGGAGCAGCTACAGTGGAGAAATCCTTGCAAAACCCACGATAGTGACCCACCATACCGAGGAAGTGAGAGAGCTCTTTTTTGGTTGTTGGAACTGGAAACTGATCAACAGCCAAAACCTTTGCTCTCACAGGACGTACCAAACCCTGGCCAACCACTTATATGTGACACCAGATATGTGACTGTTGCCTTGGCAAACTCACATTTTGCAAGGTTAATCGTCAATGATGCCCAAGCCAGTCGGTCAAACAGTGCCCTGACGTGCTTCAGGTGATCGTGCCATGTATCACTGTAAACAACAACATCATCCAGATATACAGCACACCCTTCCAGACCTGAAACCACCTTGTTCATTAGGCGCTGGACGGTGGCTGGAGCATTGCGCACCCCAAAAGGCATACCAGTGTACGAATACAAACCACTAGGTGTTATAAATGCTGCAATCTCCCTAGCTCTAGGGGTCAAAGGGACCTACCAATAACCTTTTAATAGGTCAAATTTTCTGACAAATTTAGCAGACCCAACCTGATCCACGCAATCTTCCATGCGGGAGAGTGGAAAAGAATCAGGTTTGGTTATTTTATTCACCTTACACAGATCTGCACATGGTCTAAAGGTACCATCAGGTTTATTCACAAGAAGGTATGGTGATGACCAGCTCGAAGAACAAGGCTCTGCAATGCCATTTTCCAACATGTATTTAACTTCTCCCTCTAGGTATTCACACTCGTTTGGAGAAATGCGATAAAAACGCTGTCTGATTGGCTGAGAGTCACCTACATCAATGTCGTGCTCAATCAGATGAGTACGAGATGGAGTCAATCAATCAATCAATCAAATTTTATTTATATAGCGCCAATTCACAACAGTCGTCATCTCAAGACGCTTTTCAAGGAACAAGAGCAGGTCTAGACCACGCTCATTGTTTGATGATAAAGAACCAACCTAAGATGGGTTTTGGCCCATCTCAACTAACATGAGTAGCAATGGCAAGGAAAAACTTCCTTTTCACAGGCAGAAACCTTGGGCAGGACCAGCCTCATGTTAGACAGTCACCATGCCGCTGCTGGGGTTGGGGAGGAATGTAGAGAGAAGAGGGGAGAGGGGAGAGGACAGGGGGAGAGAGAGAGAGAGAACAAGATAAGGGAAGGCGAGAGAGAATGGAGTGTCTCCAAACAGACAGGGATAGCTTTGGATTAGCTCCATCAAGTCTTTTTTCTTTGCGGGGGATAAGTGTTTTAACATCTCATCAAGATTAGCAAGTGACTCTGAATTCTTGAGACGACCTCTCAAAATTCCATCATCTGGACTTTCCAATCCCTCCTCACTCTCTGCTACTGGACCTAGAGGAGGAGGAGAGAGATCTGCTGCAGCCACAGCAGCCACAGAGGAAAGGGACTGTTCCAAAACAGTAGGACGAGCATAATATGGCTTCAGCAAGTTAATGTGACACAACTGCTTAGACCTCGTCCTGTCAGGAGTTGAGATTAAATAGTTAAAATCAGACACTTTACGGGCAACTGTATACAGGCCTGAGAACTTAGCTTGAAAAGGAGAACAAGCCACAGGCAAAAGAGCAAGAACTTGATCTCCAGGGCTAAACTCTCTGCTCTCACTAGGACAAACATAAAGTATCTTCATTTTAGTCTGAGCCGAACTGAGCTTTTCCCTTGCCAACTTATTTGCCCGATACAGCCGTTGTCTGAAACCTTTCACATAATCTACTAAGTTTTTAGGGGCTTCTTCGATCTTCCAGTCACTCTGTAAGGAGGCTAATGGGCCTTGTACCGTGTCACCAAAAACCAGGTCATTAGGTCTAAAACCTAAACTCTCCTGAGAAACCTCCCTAGCAGCTAACAACAACCAGGGTAACCCTTCCTGCCAGTCACGGTCTAACTCTGTGCAATAGGCACGAAGAAGAGACTTGAGGGTTTGATAAAACCTCTCCAGAGCTCCTTGACTCTGGGGATGGTAAGCAGTCGACTGGGAGTGTTTGTTTAGCACCTTTGTAAACATTTTTGAGCAGAAATTAGAACCTTGATCAGACTGTATCACTTTTTGGGACACCAAAGATGGAAATAAATTGTGTCAAAGCCTTTACAACTGACTTGGTTGTAATATTTCTGAGTGGGTAGGCAGCTGGATAGCGGGTAGCCTGACACATTACTGTAAGCAAAAATTGGCTACCAGCTTTGGAACGTGGCAAGGGGCCAACACAATCAATGAGAAGGTGCTCAAATGGCTGATCAACAGCAGGAATTTGAATTTGGCCCCACTTTATGGTTTGGTTGGGCTTCCCAGTCAGCTGGCATATGTGACATGTTTTAACAAAGGCAGAAACATCCCTCTTTACCTTAGGCCAGTAGAAATGTTTCAAAATCCTTTCATAGGTTTTCTTTACTCCGAAATGACCTGCTACTCCATCATGAGCAACCTTCAGCACAGTCTGTCATACCGAAGCAGGTACCACAACTTGCAACACTTCCTGACCCAAAAAACAGTCCCCCTGAGGAACCCGCTTTCTCACCAACAAGCCATCCTGGAGAAAGTAACCATGGGCGGCACTCTCCACGTCATCTTCTGGGAGCACTTGACTATAAAGAGTCTGAAGTGTTGAATCCCTTCTTTGCTCTTTCGCCAACTCACTGGAAGAAATAGGCAAAGGGAAAACAGGCAGTGGAAATACAGACACACTTTCCTTATCGGGTTTGTCATGGCCAGAACCACCTGCATGGCACATAGCACGTGTCGCTACACAGGTAGGAAGTGCCCTTATAGAAGAGATCGGAGACTCCAAAACCTCACCCTGGGTGAGAGAAACCACCTGAGCAGGAGAATCAGGCCACACCTGAGCACCAGCTAAATCATTGCCAAGAATGACATGTATCCCTGCCATGGGTAAAGCAGGGCGTACTGCCATTACTACCTCCCCCTTCACAAGGTCTGAGAATAAAGTCAATCTATGCTGTTGAGAGGAAAAAACTGTCAGACCCATGCTCAGCTATCTGCAAAAGCTGTTCCTTTTTATACGTGTTAAGCAACCCTTCACTAGGAGACAGAACAAAATTCTCAATTATTTGTTATCTATTATTTATGGGCAGTACATATATTAACCTGTGCTCTCATAAAGCCTAACACACCAGAGAAGACAAGGCACAAAACAAAGTTTCTCACACTGCTAATGAGATGTAAGGCTGTTTAAACATGGGACCATATTCCTCTAACTAACTGCCTAACCAGTACTAGCTGTCTCACTCACCCCTAGTCTTCATGCAGGTTAGCGGCGGGATAGATTAAGCACCAAGCCCAGTAACCCGGTTGACTCTAAGAAAGCTAGCAGCCACCTAGACAGTTATGGAGTGCCCCCGAGCATCAGCTCTAACCACTTTGCTGCACGAAAATAACAAACTAAAACAAAAAAAGGGTCAATGTGGGCATCTGGTGTCCCTCATTGCTAAAACCTGACAGGAATATGGGTTTCCAAATGACGACACAGCCTTCCCCCACCAGCATATTAGAAACAAACACCAACAGGCCATCAAACTACAAAAAGGACTAGGTCAGTAATTGTGTGAAACACCTCCCTTTCAAACTTAACCTGGTTTCTCAGCCCTAACTTCTCCTGGGAAATAAAACCAGGATCCTGGACGAGCCCCCATTTGTTACTGCCTGGCTGAAGGCAGATAACAAGAAGGGAGGCAACACTCAACAATAACTATTAACCAAGATATTTTATTTAACAAAGATGATTATCAATCAGTATGAGGCGTCAGGATTAAGATCAGTAGTGTCAGCAAGTGTTGGATGTGTGAGCATGTGTGTGGTGGATGTTGTAAGATGAACAAACCAAAAATGGTGGTGGCTGGTGTGGTAGATGCAGGCCCTGCTGTGAGAGAGAGCTAAAGCTTTTCAGCCAGGCCTTTTTTGCTTTCTGGCCCTGCCCTGCTGGGCAGGTAATTCAGCCCCTCCCAGCTCCACCCTCCACCATCTCCCTGAGGCTGCAACACAGAGCAGAATCAGACACATGCAAGGGGAGAAAGCAGAGGAGGAGCGGGAGGGGTTTGACACAATACACAGAATAAGCCTCAATATCAGGAAGTTATGACACACACACACACACACACACACAAACCCTAAGCTGTAGGAACAGATCTGACAGCAGCTTCATGTAAATGTTAAAAAGATAAATGTTTTTATAAAATAAAACCAGTTCAGATTTCTATATGACCCTGTACAAAACCAAATTTCATTGAGGTTGGGAAATATGGAGGACTAAAAGTGCCAAAATTCAATAAATAAAAACATCAATAAATAAATACTTATATGTACTATTAAACAATTAAAAGTGTCAATAAATGCATAAATGTATCATTAAAAGTGTCGATAAATAAAAGTGTCAATAAATAGATAAAAGCATCAATAAATAATTAAAAGTGTCAATAAATAATTTAAATACAGTTTCATGAAAGACATATTTATTTCACGAAAGACATATTTATTTCATGGTCCGTGTTGCGTGCATCATGAAATAATTTTATCTGTCAAACTTACTCGTCAAAGTCAGTGGGCGGGGCTAACGCGAATCCAGTCTGATCTGTTGCTTTGGTCTGGTCTGAAGTAGCTGGGAGAGCGACATGGAGGAACTCCAGGGACTCTCGAGGGAGTTGGAGAGAGGTCTTTTACAGCTAGCAGAGGGAATGGAAGCGGGACATGCCGACCCAGAGCATGTGGAAGATAAAATTGAAGAATTTATCGAGGCTGTTGGACTAATTTCTGCACTTGCCAACCAGGACATGGACAACAGGGTGACAGCAAACTTAAAGGAAGAACTTCACCGTTTCTCTCCGAGGGCGCAACAGGCAGCACGAATACAGGGACCGGGGCGTTGGGCATTTGACATACCAATTGCAGTTCTTGAGCACCATGTTCTTTGTGGATTGCCTGTTTAGTGTGTCAAAGAGGACCATTAGGAGGCGCATGGAACAATACGGCTTAAGGTATTGACACTAAATCCATTACTCGTCAGTTTATGAATTGCTTAATAGACCTTTTGGTAGGCTCCGCCCACCATCCTCTCCCCCATAGTTACAGTTGCTATGCAGGGACAAGCTTTGCACAACCGGCGTTCAAAACAATGGCGGCGCCCCTACTTTGCACATGAAAATGAAGGCTATACCTGATGTTTTAATTAATGAATTTTTGAGAAAAAGCTCAAATATCTCACAGAAATCGTACCAACAAGGCCTGCAATATGCAGTGGAAGAATATGTGCACAATACTCAGGTTTCTATGAACAAAATAGAAGCCAAAGTGTATCGCTCTCAAAGAAAGAATGAGAAACCACATCTCCTGGTTATTTCCTATGTCTGCGACAGTATCACCGGACAGGAGTGTTCGTGTATCGTAGGGTAAGTTCTACACAACTTTTAAGTACCTAGTTACTAGATAAACATAATGAGGAAATGATTTAACTAGTGGTATACTGCTCTGTGATTACGTGGTGATGTGTTGAACTTTACCAAGTGACCCATACTTTCTGCTTTCCTACTTCAGTTGACGTTTGAGAAATGAATATCTCAACATTGGTCTACATTATGCTTCATAGTAGCTAATCTGCCTGATTTGTAAATACTTTCTATGTGCTATCATTTGTCATTTGCATAGCAACTGTAACTATGGGGGAGAGGGGGGTGGGCGGAGCCTACCGAAAGGTCTATTGTCTCTGTGTCGTTTAAAACAACTTTTTCCCCCTATGGTGTAGAAAAACAGACCTCTATTCAACCATCAATTATGAGGAGTTAGACCGCATCGTAACTGAGCTTCACAGAAGACATCCAAACACCGGCTACAAGCTCATGCAAGGTCATCTGGCTGCAAGAGGTGTGCGTGTTCCAGGTGAGTCTGTTACTATGGTCATTATTTCATTTAATTTGCAATGCAGAGCCAATTGCAGAACAGACCTGACCCATGATTTTCAGGCTAATATTTAATAGAGGTGTACAATATCTAGCTGGATGCGCCCAGCGCCCCCCTTTTCCCCCAATGCTGTAAGAGGTATATTATGATCAGGCTGAAAATCACAGGCCATGTTTGTCATGGCATACAGTCAGCAGTGTAAACCTGTGGCATGCAGGAGCAGCTTGCTTTTGTCTAGTAACAGAGTGACAATATCTGACAGTTCAGCACAATTTTGAGACTGGTGGTTCATATAGTGACAACTCCACATCCTGTCTTGTATTAGACAAGTGAATGAGTATTTTTGTTACAGTACTGGTCAAGTAGGGTGAATAGTTGTTTTTAACGAAGTTGCCAATGAGTGTATAGTTATTATTCATTTGATTTCCCTTCCCTCAGTATCAAGACTGCAACAGTCTTTACGCAGAGTCAATGCAGAGGGAGTCTACATGAGACGTCTAAGACTTCATGTATTGAAACGACGGCAGTATTCTGTTCCTGGCCCAAACTCTTTGTGGCATATAGATGGCAATCATAAGCTCATCAGATCAGTGATCTTAGCAGATTAACAATACATCTTTTCTCAGATGTGCCATTACTATTGTTTTACAACAAAGTTGTGCTTTTTCATGTGTTCATGATTGCTTGACAGATGGAGATTTGTTGTCCATGGTGGGGTGGATGGATTCAGCCATTTGGTGGTCTACCTAACTGTGGCAGGAAATAATAGAGCTTATACAGTCCTTCAGAGCTTTATTGCTGCAGTTGAGCAGTATGGGCTGCCATCAAGGGTACAGTCTGATAAAGGGGTTGAGAATGCAGATGTAGCAGAATTCATGATCAGGAGCAGAGGGACTGACAGGAATTCACACATCACAGGGAGAAGCGTCCATAATCAGTGGTAAATATATGTTTGGTAGCTATGCTCAGACGACAACCACAGCAGTTGAGTGTACATCATTGGCATAGATCTAACGTACATTAATACTGTCAATTTTATTCTTAATACAGAATAAAGTGGATGTGGATGGATGTTTATGAACATGCCCTTGACCTCTTCTATCAAATTTTCACTTCATAGGAAGATCAGGGAACATTGGATCCAGACAATGAAGTCCATCTTCTTGCACTACACCGGAGCTTTCTCCCACTAATTCAAAAAAGACTTGACTCTTTTAAAGATGCTTGGAACTTTCATGGTCTTAGAACTGAAAGGAATCACTCACAACAGCAAGTCTGGAGAAGATACAGAGAGCAAGGGCCCACGGAGGTTCCCATTGAGGTTGGAGAAAAATCAACTTAAAACACTTTTGTCTGTTTCCCAAAAAGTATGGAGGATTGTATTTACTTCATGTGTTACACTATAGTGTCTACAGTCACCAAATTAGCCATTAAACCATAATTGTTGCCATGCATAATATACACAATCATTATTTTTCTCAAAGGAATAGGCAACATTTGATTTCTCAATGACTTGGTTACCAAACATAATCTTAGAAACCATGTGTAATGAAATGTCAGACTCGTTTTTAACCACAAGATTGATCATGCTTGTCCTCCATTCAGGTTTATGAAGACTATGGGATCGACTGGAATGGACCTCACAGTCTTCATAGAGGCACTGTGTCAGTCCCCGAGATTCAGCTGGCCCGAGAGCTCACAGACGAAGAGGTCCCCACTTTGCCAGCTCCAGGATTGTCTGTCACTGGTGCAGTTAGATCATATTTAGACACTGTGCAGGTTTTAACAAGAATAACAGCAAACTGATGTCCAACCCATGCTTTTATTTTGCCTCACAGACCAAGCAAAACTAAACTGGAAAAACTTCCTTTCCTCAGATTTAAAAAAACAAAACAAAAACAAAACAACCATAGTCACCACTGTGATCTTTTAGATGGACTTATTCTACATCTCATTCTCCACATAATGGATAACAATGCTGTAAAATTTTAAATTGCAGAACTGTTTGTTTCTCAAAAATGTATGATGAATGAATGAAACCTGAATAAAACAATGGTCAAGAACTGCGTCAGTTTAGGGTTTTAATGAACTGCATGCAATGACCCATCTGAAAAAAAAATTTAAATTACACAAGTCCAAATCCACTCTGTGCACTATTTATGGCTGTGAAAAGTGCTTCCTCAAACTCCTCGTAGGTTTTGAAATGAGCTGGCAGCTTCAGTGTTTTAAAGCATGTAGAGGACGTAGGAAGACTTCCTCCAGAGATCTCCACTCTGAGCTCAGGAGGAAGCATCTCCCAGCCAACCCAGAATTTCAGTAGCTTGACCAGATACCTGATGAGGCTAAAAGTCATAAAACAGATCGAAGACAACACTTAGTTTGACTCCAATTGGTCATCTCTATCCATGAAACATTTAAAAAGAGAGCAATACAAGAACATTAGCAAAATAAACGGTTTCATACCTGTTTCAATGAACATCCTCGGAAAGCCAGTGATGCGGCATGTAGACTCTACGTCAAAGTCCTCATCATCACTGTCCTCAACTGGCCATGTGATTTTTTGCAGGAGCATCTTTAGAAACAAAAAAAGAGAAAACAACTGGGCATATTTGAACTTACTTTGTTAAAGGAATATTCAGATCACATTTTTGGTAATTGGAAAAATATAACAGCTCAGTCATTGAAAATACACAAATTCATACAGTGAAGTTAAAAAAAACCTGAAATCCTGCCTTACCTGAGGTGTGAACTGCAAATCAGCCATTTCGGGGAAAAGAGGTGGGACTACATCTGGTCTAGATGTCAGAAGTGGCCATACCATCACATCTTTCAGCCCCTTTCTCAACTGTTTAATTTGGCGCATGGTTCTCCCAATGACCTAAAGAGACGGACCCAACAAATATTACAGCTGAAATCCTCAACCTAAATTTCAACACTCAACAGGCGTGAGAAATGCTGTGGTTAAACTATAAATACCATTCTACTTACATAAGCTATGCATTAAATGGTGGTTGTGAAAAACTTAAACATGACAATGGCCAAAGCATGAATTACACAACTAAAACCTTACCATTTTATCCCTGCCAGCATTAGCTATGAATTGTGCCAGTTAAGTTAACCAGCAGGTTATGTAGCCATCTCCAATTTGTTTTGGTGACTGCCGGGAGATCCCAAGATAATGCAAGATCTGAAACTGTCTCCTTCTGTTCTGGTGTAAGTTCTTCATGTTCAAGCTTGAATGCAGACCATACAGGTTATTACATTTGCCCAAATATTTTTTGCAAGAGAATGGTTTTTGTGTTACATACCAGTTTTATGATACTCCTGATATGCAGATCAGGGCAGTCTTCTGTAACGACAGTTGCCGTTTCAGGATCCCCATTGCACAGTACATGAATGACAGCAGGACTTAAACCTGCGACATGGAGACCGTCATGTAGAAAACTGTGGGCCAGCATCCTTCCTGCCACCTGGAAAAGGTTGCTTTCAATAAGCACCTTTGATGCCGCTGGAACAAGATGATCAGGTTCACCCTCAAATAGCAGTGTTCGGCCCATTCCTCCTGTAAGTACCAAGGGTGATAAAGGCATAACAATTAACCATCTGAAACATTTTTTAAATTAAATTGAATTAACCTTCGAAATTTTAAGGGACTTACCAAGATCTAGACTGAACCCAAACTGGAGTTTGCATATTACTGTTGTCATAAAGTACCGCATCACTCCCTCTCCGACAGCAACATCACCTGAAATAAAACACTGATAATAAATAACACTGGGAAAATCATGGCTGACTAATGCAGACTCGATTAGGTAAAATTTAAGCAAGGAAAAAAATAGTCAATATTCTATTGCTGCCATTCTACAACAGCATCCTAAAGAATATTGTGCATGGAAGATTTTTTTGTCAAATATATCATTTTTTTCAATCTCACTTTCCATTTGACAATTTCATATAATACACCTGAGTGGTATAAACCTTTCTGATACATTTATATGCCTTACCAACAAGGGTACAATGAAGTGGGCATGCCTATTCTTGCTGCCATTTAAAGAAGGAGAGAAGTTCCCATTCCCTTTCTTCTTCAGAGTCCCTTACATCCATTCTCATTTTAAGTGGTTTCCCAGATGCATGTTCCCGAAGTAAATTCTCTTTAAAAACTTTGGAAGCTTGAGCTGGTTCTTTAATCAGCTTCCATTCTAAATCAACAATAAAAAGGAAAAAATTATCTCTTCCACAGAAATGTTGTGAGCTGGCATGTTACCTGTCAAAACAATATTCTCCTTCAGGGTATAAAAAGGGAGAAAAGTTCTGTCCATTTCACTGACTATGCGACCCCCAACATCTTCAGAATCTGTCACAAAGCTGAAGTGACATAAAAACAGCAAAAGACCATTCTAAACAGATACTTAACATTTTAACATAAAGGGCTCTATTTTCGTGCGCGCCGGTGAGGCGACGGAGGGTGGCGGACCCCGCGCAGTTGTATTTTTCGTCTGGCGGAGCCCGGCGTAAAGCCAATTTGGTATTTTCGTGGACTGAGGCGCTCTGAGGCAAACCGAGATCCGCCAAGCTGGGCGTGGTGGCGTGGCAGGGGGAGGTGTCGACAGAATCAGCGGGCGCAGTGACATTTTCGTGCTCGCCAATGGTGTGTAGAGTGCGCTGAAAGCTCGTCGATTCAAACCTGGTCAGCTTTCAGCGCAGGTGGAGCGCAGCTGGTCTAGTAGTATTTTGGTAGACCGGCGGCGTATCGGCATACGTCACTGATGCCTCATCGGCAGGTTTCCATAGTGTCAGGCACATTTCAGTGCAATAAATAATCATCAACAACTAATAATCTGAGTCAGCACATACATTTAGATCTATATAGATATATTCTGATCTATATCTGATCTGATGAGCGCGTTTGGCACACATTTGGACACACAACCTGACCGAATCAACACAGCTGAAATCGCATCAAATTAAATTAAATATCTAGTAAATCGACACACATGATGAAGTTAACAAGATATGTAATTCGTCTCCCTCCTTTTCTTTCTTCCTCTTCCTCTTATTTCTCGCACAGCTCGACCTGGACACGTCTCTGTGTCCTCTCTCCGTCCTGCTGCTGCTGTGGCTGAACAAATGATTTGTTTCAGTGCTCAGATGAGTTATCTACTTTAAGCCGACATACGGATATTATAATATTCAGTTTTGTGGGCCAAATTTATTTTATATACCAACATCTATGAAAGAAAGAGCCAGACCACAGAGCGTGATGCATCATTTACGCACAGATGGTTCAAATTTTAATGCCATTTTTGGAGATTATGTTGTGATCTGTGCGCTCAACCCACCTTTGTCACGTGAGGTTTGAATATATGCAACTTTATGTGAGTGTCTTTAATTGTGGAAAAGGATGTTTGTCTTACCAGTGGGTCCAACATTACACACACCAAATCCATCTGTGCTCATATGAGAGAGTCTGGAGGACGCCCAATGCAGCACTTACAGTGACACTTGTTAAGGAGCTGCCCTCTGTCGCCATCTTGTGGCATTACTGTCTTCAGACATCTCTTGATCTCTTTGACTACTTCATGAAAATAGTAATATGCCTCACCTGTGGCGGACTTAAAGGCAAGGAGAGGAGCTGATGTGATTGGTGAAAACGGGTCTCGGCTGTGTTAAATTCACTCCACGCCCTTTCTCCTCCCTCGCTACGACTTACGCCGCTGGGAGGAGCTGAGTTAAGGACCTTGTTCGCTTTCTGATTCCTGCATGTGTCTCCTTGAAGTTAACAAAATCAAAATGATCATCATACTCACCTATATGTGTGCGCAACACTCTAAGAGAGACTTACATTTCCTTAGGAAGTACTTGCCCAATGCAGCTCAATCTGTGTTCCCTCATCTCAGATAAGGAAACTTCCCTTTGACATGTGATGCAGGGGATGATTGGACCGGGACTGGAGCGCTCCTAAATAAAGCAAATGGCTTTTTAGTGATAAAAAATTATCAGTTAGCTTCATTTTGTTGAGTGTCTGCTTATTTATGTACACAATTTAAGGGAAGATCCTGTTGAAGTGGACTTATGTAGATTGTAACCTGTCCAATCATCATTGATGGATCTTTTAGATATGCAAGGGTGTATCCAGTGCTGGGACACTGAAGTAATCGAGGTTTCGGCTGCGAGTAGATCCCACAATTCTGAGAAGTTCAAAGCCTCCCCCTTCTTAGAGCTTTGGAAATACTTCCATCAATTTATTTGTTTTAACTTTGGGATCATCATCATCCCCTGGGGAAAATAAAGAAGTTACAACCATAGTTATTAGTACTACAAAAAACCTGCAAATAAATGTAGTGAGCCACAGACAATAAAGTTTTTTTTTGTTGTTGTTTTGGTAAATTCTTAATTTCCCACAAACCTGAAAATGTCACCCTTGCCTCGCCAAGTCCTGCACCCTGAAGGTCTGCTTTCAGTGGCATACTCAAAGGTCAAAGGTCAAAGGTTTCTTTATTTATACCTTGCGGTAAATTTTGTTTGCAGGCAGGAACCCAGCCGTCCAGATAAGACACACATAAAAACAACAATACAACAGTCAAGTACAAGAAAAAAAATGCCAATCGTTAAGAGCCATAAAATCACATAAAATCTCTCCAGATCCGAAGGTTCAATAAGACTCCCTCATCTATTAGCCCTGCCATTGAGCTTTGCAATAGCTGCTGGGACAAAGGTGGTTCTGTAACGCTTGGTCCTGGCCTTGGGGACCAAGAAGCGACAGCCGGAGGGAAGGAGCTGGAACTCGCTATGCAGAGGGTGCAAGCTGTCCAAAGCAATAGCGCTGGCTTTACGCTGCAGCTGGGCCTCATATAGAGCTGTCATGGAGAGTTGAGGCTCCCCAATTAGCCTTCCAGCCCATTTAACAATCTGGCCCAGAGCATACTTGGCACTTTATCCGCCTTGCTGTCAGCTAGACAAAAGACTGTGTGTGTGTAGTTTGTTCTGTTGTTCTGGTTCGGTGCTGGTCGTCGTCTCATTACTCTTCTGGAGACACTATTATAAGGAGCAAAGAGCCTTGCTACCTCGGCTGCAACACAAAATAACACGACAAAATCTTCGATTCAACTTGCGAACTGTTATCCAGTTGACCACACACCTGTGTCTCGAGCCATTGATTAGTAGAACACCTGGCTAGTGAAATTATGGGAAATTACTAAGCTAACCTTCGACAGGTGTACGAGATTGAGGAGGAGCTGGGGTCCGCTGTGGATGCTGTGTCGGCGCTGCCAGAGGCGTCTGAGCTGCGGGAGCTGCCGGAGCCGAAGGTGTTCTTCTGAGGGCTTCTTCAATTAAATTTGCAGCTTCTCTGAGCAGTTCCGGGCATGTTTTATCCATTGAAGAGCCTATCGCTGGCTTACTATGGGGGTAATACTTTTTGGTTGCAGAAAGTGCGGAAATTGGTTTAATCAAGTATTAGCGGGCTTATCCAACGTAGAGGTGAATAGCGGCACAGAGTGTATAGGAGTGTGTTCACAAGCTCTGCCTCGATCCATTATCTGGCATCGCTATGCCTGGACTGGATGTGCAGGGTAACCAATCAGGAGTTAGATCTCCGCCCACTGACTTTGATGAGTGAGTTTGACACATAAAATTATTTCATGATGCACGCGACACGGACCATGAAATAAATATATGTCTTTCATGAAATAGTATTTTAATTATTTATTGATGCTTTAATTTATTTATTGACACTTTTATTTATTTATTGACACTTTTAATAATACATTTATTTATTGATACTTTTATTTATTTATTAATGCTTTTATTTATTTATTGACACTTTTAATGCTAGATTTATTTATTTATTGACACTTTTTATTATTCAATGGTACATTTAAGTATTTATTTATCAATGTATTTATTTATTTAATTTTGGCACTTTTAGTCCTACATAGGGAAATTGTGATAAACGTAAATAAAAACAGAATACAATGATTTGCAAATCCTTTTCAACCTATATTCAATTGAATACACTACAAAGACAAGATATTTAATGTTCAAACTCATAAACTTTTTTTTTTTTGCAAATAATAATTAACTCAAAATTTCATGGCTGCAACACGTGCCAAAGTAGTTGGGACAGGGGCATGTTTACCACTGTCTTACGTCACCTTTCCTTTTAACAACACTCAAACATTTGGGAGCTGAGGAGACTAATTGTTGAAGCTTTGACGTTGAAATTCTTTCCCATTCTTGCTTGATGTACAGCTTCAGTTGTTCAAAAGTCCGGGGCCTCCGTTGTCGTATTTTACGCTTCATAATGCGCCACACATTTTCAATGGGAAACAGGTCTGGACTGCAGGCAGGCCAGTCGAGTACCAGCACTCTTTTACTATGAAGCCATGCTGTTGTAACGTGCAGAATGTGGCTTGGCATTGTCTTGCTGAAATAAGCGGGGGCGTCCATGAAAAAGACATTGCTTGGATGGCAGCATATGTTGCTCCAAAATCTGTATGTACCTTTCAGCATTAATGTTGCCTTCACAGATGTGTAAGTTACCCATGCCTTGGGCACTAATGCACCCCCATACCATCACAGATGCTGGCTTTTAAACTTTGCGTTGATAACAGTTTGGATGGTACTTTTCCTCTTTGGCTCGAAAGACACGACGTCCACTATTTCCATAAACAATTTGAAATGTGGACTTGTCAGACCACAGAACACTTTTCCACTTTGCATCAGTCCATCTTAGATGAGCTCGGCCCAGAGAAGCCGGCGGCGTTTCTGGATGTTGTTGATAAATGGCTTTCGTTTTGCATAGTAGAGTTTTAACTTGCACTTACAGATGTAGTGACGAACTGTATTTACTGACAATGTTTTTCTGAAGTGTGCCTGAGCCCATGTGGTCATATCCTTTACACATTGATGTTGGTTTTTGATACAGTGATACTGAGACCGTAGATGTTGAAATCCCTAAATTCCTTGTAATTTTACTTTGAGAAACGTTGTTCTTAAACTGTTTGACTATTAGCTCATGCAGTTGTTCACAAAGTGGTGAACCTCGCCCCATCCTTGCTTGTGAATGACTGAGAATTTTTGGGGAAGTTGCTTTTATACCCATTCATGACACCTACCTGTTCCCAATTAACCTGCTTACCTGTGGGATGTTCCAAATAGGTGTTTGATGAGCATTCCTCAAATTTCTCAGTATTTTTTGCTACCTTTCCCAACTTCTTTGACATGTGTTGCTGCCATCAAATTCTAAAGTTAATGATTATTTGCAGAAAAAAGAGTTTATGAGTTTGAACATTAAATATCTTGTCTTTGTAGTGTACTCAATTGAATATAGGTTGAAAAAGATTTGCAAATCATTGTATTCTGTTTTTATTTACATTTATCACAATTTCCCAAATTCAGTGGAATTGGGAAATTGCACTCTTCACCTGTCTGTGTTGCGTCACCTGTGTTAAAGCTTTAGACTCCTCTGTCTCTGACAGTATTTAATCAGCGTTCGTACAAGCTGAGGTGTTTGAGATTCAAATGATCTGTAGTTTGCAGCAGTTTATGCTGCAGCGGTGTGCAGGGTGATGGAGCTGTGGATGTTTTTTTAATGAGCTTTGATTCTCTGACAGTAAACTCTGTAACTACCGGGAATCTGAATTATTTACGTGCACCTCCACCTCCACCTCACCCTCCACCTCCACCCTGAACACTGCTCATGCTGCTGCTTCGTGTGTGCATAAAGGTTCCAGCAGCACAAACTACATTACCCAGAGTTCACCCCAATCTGTGATGTCTGCAGCAAAGCTAGCAATCCCACCACCACCACCACACACACACGCACACACACACACACCCTGTTATATAACCCAAACCCCTCATGCAAAGGTGTGTGTGTGTGTGTGTGTGTGTGTGTGTGTGTGTGTGTGTGTGTGTGTGTGTGTGTGTGTGTGTGCGTATGTGTGTGTGTGTGTGTGGGCATTAACAGGCAGAGACAGATTACACACACACACACACACACACACACACACACACACACACTCACATACACACACAGTCATACAAAGAGTGAAGGTTAAGGACTTGAATATGATTTAGCTTTTTAGGAAATATCAATATTCAGAATTGTTATTAATCTTAAAGTTTTTTTCTGGCTGAAACAAAATCAATATGTTTTTTTTCCCTTTCATGTTATTATATATATTTTATTAATATTTTTTTATTACTTCAACATGCTCAACATAAATATAACTGATCTGACATCATTGTTTATGCAAAGACCATATGGAGGGAATCTGTTTTATACTCTGAATATTAGTGCACACAGCAGATCTACAAGAGTCATCTCTGCAGACATACAACCATGAGGAGCCGATTCCAAACTACCTCATGTCAAAATGTGAAAAGATGGAATGCGGATATTTGGCAGCTGCTTTAGTTACAAGCTGTCGGGTAAAGAGAGAGAGATGGACATGAGACAGAGGAGCTGCTTCAGGGATTTATCTGACACCACCAACATGGGGAGCAAACACACCTTCTAGAGCAACACCATCTGACTGAGAGATCACACCTGACAATACAACATGATATGATAGGAGACCAGAGGCCTATTCTACGAAGTAGGATTACTGCTTAGCGAGGTAACTTCGAGGGTAAGTTCGGGGTTTCCTGTTCTATGACGTGGGTTCACTTCTTAGTGAGGCAAGTCTCCATGGCAACATATGCTAAACGGCTAACCTGCTTCGGGGCAGGTTAGGTTCCAGATTGAACTCAGAGAATATAAAAACCCCTCCCACTGACCAATGAGCTCTCTTGAAAAATAGCTTGTCCATTCTTGGAGGATCCTATAGACCTCAGTGCTCGCATTGTCCGAGGAGCTCTCCGGCGCGCGAGAGTTTTCAGGGACTGCACGGACCCACTTACTTTTCCGGATGACCACCTTTATGAAAGGCTCAGATGGCCTACACATCACACAAAAAAATGTAAACATGATAGGAATGAACAAACGAATGAATTCATCTTGGAAATAAATTAGACATGTCTGGTGCATGTTTAATGCGCATGTTGAACAGTGTTATTTCAGGGTGATAATGGCATCAAAGATTTTTTGCGCACTATATTTACGCATTGAGACTGTCAGCAATTTTCTGCCAGCAATTCTTCTGTGCTTTTGCAGCAGCGATAGTGTTGCTTTCAAAGTTTATGATGGATTTGAATTCTTCATACTTTCTCATGATTGTCTCCTGCTCCTCATTTGTAAAGTACGCAGTCCTTCGCTCTCCGGCCTGCTCTGATGCTCCAGACTGGTCCATGTTCGCAATTAGTCAGATGCGGCGGGCTCCGCCTTACATGCGTGCACACGCTCATAGCAAAGCTGGATCCACTTACGAGGTTGATAACCAGTGTCGTAAGACCGTTTAGCAAGACCGCTGGCTACTGCGCTAAGTCGAGCGAGGTAGCTCCAAGGCTACCTCGCTCGGTTGAACTTGCTTCATAGAATGGGCCCCAGACAAGACAGGATGAGACAATACCAAACTTTACCATATACTACAAGACAGAACAAGATGAGACGATGTGACATGAGACATGAAAAGATAAAACATGAGTGGAGACAATACAAAACAAGACGAGACCAGTTGAGACAGCACTACATGAGAAGAGACAGGATGATACAAACCAAGAAGGGACAAGATGAGATGATGCAATATGATATAAGACAAGACCATAGGATGAGAAAAGATGAAGTGATAAGACACAAGATGAGACCAGATTCTGCAATACAACAGGAGATAAGATGAGATGAGATGAGTAGAGACAATACACCATGAGATGTGACATGACAAGGTTATATCACAGGAGATGAGATAAGATGATACGATAAGACACAATAAAAGATGGGACAGTATTCATCGATATGAGAATGGATGAGATGAGTGGGGATGAGACAAGGTATGATGAGCAGAGACAATGCAACATAAGATGTGACATGACAAGGAGAGACTTGGTAAAAGGTCAAAGAGACTCTAACAGGCCAAAAAGACTCATTAACAGGTCAGAGGGACTCAGTTACAAGTCAGAGAGACTCAGTCACAGTTCAGAGAGAATCTGTACTAGGTCAAAGTGAAAGAATCTGAATAAAGGGATTTACTGATTGATGTGGGGACGATCCAGCTCAGGCCTGGGGCTCCACACCTGTTTTAAGAGAGTTGGTTTCTTTATCCAGGTGATCACTGAGGACTCTCTCTCTCTTTCTGTCTCTATCAATTTCAAATTTTTCAATATTCAAGAAGTTTTATTGGCATGATTGTTATAACAATATTGCCAAAGCATTACAATACAACAACAACAATGACGCTAATAATAATAATAATAATACGGAAAATGGAACAAACAGATAGTGTGATTATCATGTTGCAGTTAAAAACTCTGGAGCAGCTTACTTTTTTATGGCATGTATTCACATGTTTGCTGCTTCTAAAGCAGTGGCCCTTTGTTGTCCTAAGAGATGTCTAAACTTTTCCTGGTCTGTGAGTTGGGTGAAGTTGGTTGTTATGTGCGTGAGTTTAGTGTATGTGTGTGTCCTGATGTGTGTGTATGTGTCACAGTGTAGCAGGAAGAGCTGCTCTGTCTTCAGCTGTGTGTGAGGACAGAGCCAAAACAGCCGCTCCTCTCTGGGCAGCCAGGTTTGCATGCGGCGGCCGCTCTCTATGGCCAGGCTGTGGTTGCTGAGTCTGTTCACAGTCAGAGCGAGCATGAACGAGAGAGCGAGCATGAGCGAGAGAGCGAGCATGAGCCAGTCCCTTCTCCTGGAAAAGATTGAAGTGCTTCATGAGGCAAATAAAACAATCACCATACTCAAACTCACACTGTCCAATGAGCTCAAAACAAAATCTAAATTACTCACAACCTGTATGGATGTGGCCCACCAGCAATCCCTCCACCTGTTCTCCCCTCCAAGCAACCCTCCAAGACACGCTACCCTGGGAGCCTCACAGCCCGAGGACCTCGTCCCGACCGCCATCTGCCACAGCACCCAACCAGGACTCAACATGGACTGAAGTGACCACTCGAGGCAGGAAAACCACCAACACCATCCCCTGGAACCCGGCCGGGCCTACCTCAAGCTCCACGCCGGGTTCCAGGCAATCCACTGACCCGGGCCGAGGTCCTCACCAGCGGCAGGACAAATCCTTCCAGAGATGCCTCTACAGTCTGGTTGTCCCTCTCGAACCGCTTCGAGGCCCTTGAGCATCCTCCTAAGCCTGCCAACACCAGCATGAACCAGTCCCCTCTCGGCGGTAACGTGGTGTCCTCCACAGCGGCTGCCGGAGCTCCCATGGCTCCTACACGGCCACCCGGCGGAGCCCCCGGGCCTTCGTCCTCGTCCTCCGGTGCCTTCGCGGCGTGCCGGCCCAAAGATCGGGCGGCCTCCGCATCTTCTGGCGACCAGGGATTCCCGTGTGGCCTGGCACTGGCGGAGGGGACCCCTCTCCGTCGGTCTCCGGTTGCCCAGGGTGTCCCGGAACCCACCTTAACCACCGCTCTGAGACCCGGACCGCGTCCTCGGCCTCCCACAAGAGGTTTCTCCGAGAGGCAGTCCGCCGGAACTCCGCCGGGCCCGCCGCCGCCCCAGACCGAAATGGCAGACCATCCCTGCAGCCGCTGGCATCCACTGCACCGCCAAGTCCTCGCAGCCTGGCCACCTGCCCTGCTTCGGATACAGGAGCCATGCAACTCCCGCCGTTGTTTCCCCCCACCACCTTGATCATCGGTGACAGGATCGTACGAGGTATTCGTTTTTTTAATGCCATCACTCGCTCTTTCCCCGGTGCAACTGTCGCTGACATCACGGCAAAACTCCCCGGTCTTCTCCAGTCACTTCCTTCCTCTATCCACCGTATCATTGTTCACGTCGGCATCAACGACACGGCTCACCAACAGTCTGAACTGACAAAAAATGACTTCAGAACACTTCTCGACATCCTTCAGTGCAGCAACCCCACCTCACTGGACGAGGTGGTGGCGTCGCAGTCATCCACAAACAAACCCTCAAGACCACCCCTGTCCCAACCCTGTCTGTTCACTCATTTGAAAATATTTCTGTCAAAATCCCCGGCCCCACCCTTCTGGTCATTGTCACCATCTACCACCCTCCAAAGCCCCACCCATCATTCCTCTCTGATTTCTCTGACTTTGTCACCCACCTAAGCACCATCTCATCCTCTGTCCTGGTGCTTGGAGACTTCAATTTCCACATTGACAACCCCACCTGCAAACAAGCCACCGATTTCCTAGATCTGCTCGACACCCTCAACCTCACCCAGCACGTACACTCCCCCACCCACTCCCACTGCCACACCCCCAACCTCGTCTATTCCACCAGCATCTCCATCCACCATCTCTCCACCATCAACCTCTATATATCTGACCACCTGACTGTCACTTTCAACATCCGCCTGCACCCTGAATCCCATCCCATCCTCCATCATCAAACACTGCCTCCCCATCATCTCGCCCATCATCACACAGATCATTAACTCCTCCCTCAACTCCGCCACTGTTCCCCCTTCACTCAAACTGGCCGCTGTCACCCCCATCCTCAAAAAACCTGGACTCAACCCATCTCCAACCTCCCTTTCCTGTCAAAAATCCTTGAACATGTCATTGCATCACAAATCAAAGCCCACCTCAATAATAACAACCTTTACGAACCGTTTCAATCAGGATTCCGCACCCACCACAACACCGTAACTGCCCTCATCAAAGTCACCAACGACCTCCTCATTTTAGCTGACTCTGGCCAACTCTCCATCCTCATCCTCCTTGACCTCTCCGCCGCTTTCAACACCATTGACCACGCCATCCTCCTGTCCGGCCTACACTCCCTCCTCAATATCACAGACACCGCTCTTAACTGGATCCGTTCATATCTCACAGACCGGAATCATTTCATCCACATTAACAACTGCTCCTCCCAAGGTGTCCCCCAGGACTCGGTGCTTGGTCCCCTCCTCTTTATCATCTACCTCCTCCCTCTTGGCCACATCCTTCGTCAACACAATCTCCACTTCCACTGCTACGCTGATGACATTCAATTATACATCTCTTCCACCTCCATCACCCCCCAGACCCAACGCTCCCTCTCAAACTGCCTCTCTGATATCAAACACTGGATGGACAGCAACCTTCTGAAACTCAATTATGACAAAGTCAAACCACAGTCACAGACTTTCATCTCTCCATTGACAACTCCACCCTCTACCCCTCCTCCCACTGTCGCAATCTTGGTATTCTCTTCAACAGCAAGCTCTCCTTCACCCAGCACGTAAAGCAAATCACCGAAACAGCCTACTACCACCTCAAAAACATTGCCCGCCTCCGCCCCTCCCTCTCCTACCCTGCAGCTGAAACCCTCATACATGCATTCATTTCATCCTGTCTAGATTACTGTAACAGTCTCCTCCATGGCACTACCTCCACTCTCCTCAATAAACTTCAGCTCATCCAGAACTCTGCCGCCCGCCTCCTCACCCATACACGCTCCCACCAACACATCACCCCCGTCCTCCAGAACCTTCACTGGCTCCCCATCCCCCATTGCATACAGTACAAAATCCTCCTTCTCACCCACAAAGCACGACACAACCTGCCCCCCCCACCTACAAGATCTTCTCCACCCCTACCCCCCCCCCCCCCCCGCACCCTCCGCTCCGCCAATGCCAACCTCCTCACAGTTCCCCTGACCAAGCACCGAACCTGGGGGGACAGAGCCTTCTCAGTCGCCACCCCCACCCTCTGGAACTCACTCCCATTGGACCTCAGAAACTGCACAGACCTCAACAGATTCAAGACCCTTCTCAAAACCCACCTCTTCCGCACTGCCTTTCATCCTCCATAGTCCCCCCCCCCTTGGATTTTACATGATTTTACATGATTTTATTGATATTGATGTATATTTTATTGTATATTGATGTATGTTTTATTATATATTGATGTGTGTTTTATTGTTCTTGCTTTTACTCATGTACAGCGTCCTTGTGTTCTTGAAAAGCGCTTTACAAATAAAATGTATTATTATTATTAAGGTTCTCCTCAGTCTGGGGTCAGTTACTGAACTCGGGTAATCTGCCATGGAGTATTGTCTGTTTAGGGCCAGATAGCATTGAAGTTTGCTTTGGGTTTGGATTGTAGATGTCCAACAGTTGATGTTGTTATCTTTTGTTTTTGTATAATTCGGTTGGGGGGCCGGATTGTGTGAGGGCGGTCTTGGTGCTCAGTGCTGATGGAGCTGCGCTTGTGGACCAGCTGGCTGAGGGGACTCCTGTCTCTGCTCCCCTCTTGGATCTGCAGGGTCACTGGCTTTGAGGTGTTGGTAGAATTCGATTGCCCTTATTTGGATCCAGATTAAAAGGGGAAATTGGCCTAATTCAGCTCTGGATCCGTTATTGGGGGTTTTACTGTGGACCCTGAGAATGCTTCTACAAATCTCTGTGTGCAGACTTTTGATTGGGTGTTTGTCCCATTTCTGGCGGCGCCGTGTGGAGTCCAGCTACTCTAACAGACGACTCTAACGGATTGACCCCAGATACCCAGAGCATCTACCTGGCTACAACGGTTACAACGATCGACCAATACACAGCAGATCAAATAAAATACCCCCGGTCACATCGATCACGGCTGGAACGCCGAAAGAGAGACTTACCTGAGATTTCCACCATCAGCGGGCCCTCTTCCGGGGCCCTCGCCGGTAAGTCTCCTACCGTGTTGTCTGATCTGCTTCCTCACCGCTGCGGGCTCCAGGACGGAGCCCTGGCGTGTAAGTGTCCTTCTCGGCACAGTCCAATCCCCGATCCAGACTGTCCTCTATTAGATCCTGCCTGGTGTCGTTGGCTGTCTGCTGGTTGTTGTTTTTATCCATTTCAGCCATGGCTCCACACTCCTCTCCGCCCGGCTGTGCCAGCTGCGCCTGTCTGGCGGAAAAGATCCAGAAGCTGGAACAAAGGATCTCCACACTCTACCAGATCCAGGAAGCCGAGAAACTCATGGACACCATCGTCTTCAGAACATCACATCCCGACTCCACCGGCTCGTCGGATCCGGACCCCGCCGCTCCCAACACCTCTCCCCCGGCTGCTGCGACCACCTCTCCTCTGCCTGCTCATCCATCCTTCTTCCCCGAGGTCTCCTCGACAAGGCTGGGAGCAAAACCCAAGGCTAATCCAGAGCCTCCAGCTAGCTCCACTCCATCCCTGCAGGAGCGCTGGTCCCACATCACCGCCCGCACCAGGAAATCAAAGCTCCCACCTCAGGCTCCCCTCTTCCAACTCCACCTGGAGAACAGGTTTGACACCCTGGACCTCCATGACTCCCCCCCGCTGCCCGCGGGATCCCAGCCGATGTCCACCCGGCTATCCCATGGGTCCTGCGGTCCTCCGCCTCCCGTGCCCGACCATCCGCACGCCGGGTCCCTCCGGCGGCGCTCGATGCCGTGCTTCACACCGGCACCACGGCTGGCCCGTGTCCCTTCCCTCTCGCCTCAGTTGTCCTCCCCGGCGAGTTCCCCCCCTCCCCATTCCTCTCTGGTCACGCAGTCTCCACGTCCACTTTTCCCTCCAACGACTTTAATTGTGGGCGACTCCATCGTGAGAAACATCCGCTTTTTTAACGCTCTCACGCGGTGTTTCCCCGGTGCGAGGGTCCTTGACATTTTAACACTCCTCCCCACTCTGTTAAAATCTCTGCCAACTTCCATCCAGAGAATTATAATTCATGTTGGCACCAATGACACGTCCCTCCACCAGACCGAGCTCACGAAGGACCATTTTACCCAACTTTTTAACTTTCTGAAGAACTGTGAACTGTCTGTTTTTATCAGCGGCCCCATTCCCACTTCTGGTCGTGGGTGCGGGAGCTTCAGCAGAGTGCTCAGCCTGCACACCTGGCTCCAATCTGCCTCCCAAGCCCATAGCTTTGCCTTCGTGGACAATTTTAATCTTTTTTGGAACCGTTCATCCCTTTTTAAACTGGATGGTATCCACCCGAACACCACAGGTAGCCGCATGTTAGCGGCTAACCTGCAGCACACTGTTCACTGTTTCCCACGTGATTGACTATTTACTTCCCCCCCACACACACACCCCTCTCCCTCTGTTGTGCACCCACTGCTGACAGGTCCTCCCCAGAGCTCCCCCTGCTGGCAAATTCTGTCACCGACTCCCTCTGCCACAGGTTTTCATGACATTTTTTCCCCACTCCCTAATAATTACAGTAGTATCCAACTTCTCACTATTCCTGTCCATATCACCAACAGACACCACTCTAATAGATACACCACCCGGACTGTCAATCACTCTGTTTTAACAAGCCCATCCATACTGGCTCCCATCCTCACCAAACATGACAATACCTATGTCAGCTTCGGACTCCTCAACATCCGCTCACTCACCAACAAGGGACACATCTTCCACGATCTCCTCACTGACCGCAAGCTGGACTTCCTCTGCATCACTGAAACATGGCAACAACCAAATGACTTCTCATCACTCAACGACTCCACCCCCCCGGACTACACCTACCTCTCCCACCCCCGCAGCCACGGCCGTGGTGGAGGTATCGCCGTCATCCACCACAAAAAGTGGAAAGTTCTACCGCTGTCCTTGCCTCTTTTCTCCTCACACGAACTTCTGGCAATTACACTCCCTGGTCCCACTCCCACCATCATCGCCACCATCTACCGCCCCCCCAAGCCTCACTCTGACTTCTTAAATGACTTTTCGGTTCTACTCACCCATCTATGCACACTCTCACCAAACATAATAATACTGGGGGACTTCAATATCCATATTGACAACACCAACCTCCCCCTCACCAGAGACTTCTCATCCTGCCTGGACAGTTTTGGACTCCATCAATTCATCAACTTCCCGACACACACTAAAGGACACACTCTGGATTTACTCTGCTGCTCTGGCCTCATCCCATCCAACTGCACAGCTGATGATCTCCACGTAAGTGACCACCTCCTCATCTCCTTCAGTATTCCGCTCTCCCTCTCTAGAGTTTATTCACCACGCCTCATTACATTCCGCAACCTTAAGAACATAAACATTGACACTCTGCGCTCTAAGATTATGAATATTGTGATCCCGGACTGTTACACTACCCCTGATGACATAACATCTCATTACAACACCTGTTTAAATAGCATCCTCAATTCCCTTGCTCCACTCAAAACACGCTCTGTTTCCTTCTCCACAACTGCACCCTGGTACACCCCCCACCTCCGCTCCATGAAAACCAAAGGCCGCCAACTGGAAAGACTTTACAAGAAAACTGGACTCTCCATTCACAAAGAAATGTACATTAACCACATACGCTGCTACAAGGACTCAATTTCTCACGCAAAAACAGACCACTACTCCGCCCAGATCATCTCCAACAAAGGAAACACCAGATCACTATTCACTCTCCTCAACAAATCTCTCCAGCCACCGGACTCCCTCCCTCCCCACCTGTATTCAACCGACACCTGCAACACCCTAATGCAGTTTTTTAATGACAAAATCTCCAACATCCATAAACAACTACACTCAGGTTCTCTTCCCCCTGGACCCCCTCCAAACTCACCTACTCCCCTGCCACACCACCAGCCTTTCTCCAGTTTTCTTCTCCCCAATGACTCTGAAATCTATGATCTCATCCAGAAATCCAAACCCTCAACCTGTCAGCTGGATCCCCTTCCCACCACACTGCTCAAATCATGCCTCCCATCTGTGCTCCCTCTCATATCTGCCATCATTCACTCCTCACTCACCACTGGAACTGTTCCCACATCCCTCAAGACAGCAGCCATCACCCCTATCCTTAAAAAACATGGCTCTGACCCTAATAACTTCAACAACCTCCGCCCCATCTCAAATCTACCGTTTATAGCCAAAATAATGGAAAAGGTCGTCGCCAGCCAACTTCACACCCACCTAACCCAGAACTCCCTCTATGACCCCTTCCAATCTGGTTTCCGCCCCCGCCACAGCACCGAAACCGCACTGCTAAAAATTACTAATGACCTTCTCACTGCATCTGACTCTGGTTCACTTTCCATCCTCATCCTCCTCGACCTTAGTGCAGCCTTCGACACCATCTCCCATCCCATCCTCCTTCATAGACTCTCCTCCATCGGCATCACCCACACTCCCCTCCGCTGGTTCCACTCTTACCTCTCAGACCGCACACAGTTCATCCAGCTCAAATCATTCAAGTCCGACCCCTCCCCAGTCAGTTCAGGTGTGCCCCAGGGCTCTGTCCTGGGGCCCCTGCTGTTCATCATCTACCTCCTCCCCCTTGGTTCCATCTTCCATAAATTCAACATTCAATACCACTGCTACGCTGACGACACCCAGCTCTACCTCTCCAGCTCACCAAACTCCACCCTCCCACCCACCTCCCTCATCACCTGCCTATCTGAAATTAAATCCTGGTTCACCTCCAACTTTCTCCAATTAAACAGTCAGAAAACAGAAATTCTTCTTGTAGGTTCCAAATCCACCCTATCCAAAGTTGACAGTCTCTCCCTTCCCATCGACAGTTCCTCAGTTTCCCCCTCCCCTCAGGTCAAGAGTCTGGGTGTCGTCCTTGACAGTTCTCTTTCTTTTAAATCCCACATCAGCCTTACCACTCGCACTGCCTATTTCCACCTCCGCCACATCAATCATCTCCGCCCCTCCCTCTCCCCCAACACCACCTCCATCCTCGTCCACAGTCTCGTCACCTCCCGTCTGGATTACTGCAACTCCCTCCTCTTCGGTCTCCCTTACACGTCTCTCCATAAACTTCAACTGGTCCACAACTCCGCTGCCCGTATCATCACCAAAACCCCTTCGTCCCACCACATCACCCCCATCCTTCAGCAGCTTCACTGGCTCCCGGTCCCTCTACGAATCCAGTTCAAAATCCTCCTGTATACCTTCAAAGCCATCCACAACCTCGCCCCTCCTTACCTATCTGACCTCCTCCACATCACCACTCCAGCACGCCACCTCCGTTCCTCTTCCTCTCTCCACCTCTCTGTGCCCCCTGTTCACCTCAGCACTATGGGGGGCAGAGCTTTCAGTCGCTCTGCCCCCCGACTCTGGAACTCTTTACCATCATACATCCGCAACATAGACTCCCTCCCCCTCTTCAAGTCCAAACTCAAAACACACCTGTTTAAACTGGCCTATCCCTCCCACCACCCCTAACCCACTTTTTTTTAATTAAATTTCAATTGGTATTATTAATTTCTTTATTTATTCCTTTGCTGTTGTTCATGTTTAATGTTGCTTTGTTGATTTTTAACTGTTTGATGATTAATGTGTGACGTGAAAGGCGCTTCAAATAAAATGTATTATTATTATTATTATTTCTTAAAGTCTTGATTTACAACAGGGGCGAGTTTAGCATCTGGTCTTTAGGGGTGCTCAGCCCCCACCCCAGTGTTGACAGAGGCACATTATTTTTCACTAAATGAGGCCTACAAGTACATTTGTAAATGTTGGAGCTGTATTAGTTTTGCTTTGAGTGTGAATTCCATCCAATTTGCATATTACATGAGCCATGCCCATAGAAAAACAGTTACATTTTCTTACATGAGCACAGGTAAATAGCTTACTCATACAAAACCCCAGATCAAATAATTCCTCTTGTAGGTACAGCATTGTACTTCCTCATTAATTATGACCAAAACACATTTTATCCCACAATACTATCTTTAATGGTATGCCACATTTTTACCATTTTGGAGGGGAAAAAAATGAAGCCTCCCCTTAATCTAAATGTAAATCTAAAAAATGTTTTCTTGAAAGGGAGGAAAAAAGATTTGTCACATCCCATTCACCTCACACCAAAACATAACAACTAAGTTATTATTATTTCCTCTTACCTGAAGTTGACTTTAGGCCAGTGGTTCTCAAACTTTTTTTGTCATTCCCCCCTTTGGAGGAAGAAAAAATTTCATTCCCCCCTACCCCAACAAAATTGTGACAAAATAGGCCATGTATAACTTTATTGACATAACATTCCTTCTGCTGTATTCCTCAAAACTAGAAAACAAACGTGCAGCCTTCGAGGCTGCTGCTCCCCGTCTGTGGAACGCCCTCCCCGACCACCTCAGGGCTCCACAGTCGGTGGATGCTTTTAAAAAAGGACTCAAAACCTTCCTCTTTCGGAAAGCCTACCCGGACTAATTTTATCTGATTTTATCTGCTGACTGTTTTTATTGTTTTGCCCTGTTGCTTGATTTTATTGTTATTGTTGTCTTGTTGTGCACTTTGAGATTTGTTTTCAAATGTAAAGTGCTTTACAAATAAAATCTATTATTATTATTATGTTGCAAGAACAATAATAATCAAACAATATCAAGTTGAGTAAGTACAAAAAATCCTGTGAATCCAAGAGCAAGATAGCAAGATAGCTTCATCATATTTCCTTGACTTGGCTTTTTGTTGGTTTGGCCTACTGTCATCTAGGCATGCTGTATTGCTGGCTTCAGCTTTTCTTTTCATCCCTGTCAAATGTCTCTCCATTCTGTACTTTTATATACAATTTATTATTCTGATCTGAACACAGTTGCTGGTTGTCACGGTGACAGGGGAAAGCGCGGGTTGTCCGCCGCTAAAAAAATTCTGACGTCCAAACATTGGTTCCGTGGCACGGACTCTGCACAACGCGAAACGGAGCAGCTTCAGCTCCTCTCAGAGCTCTCCACAGCGAGAGGAGTGCAGCAGCTGCTGGCATAGCACGGCGTCGGTGGTTATCTCCGCCCTGGTTTCTGAGCTAGTTCCCACCATGAATTAGCACAGCAGAAAGCGTCTTTGTATGCTTTCAGGAGGACATTGTACAGGTGGGGATAGCAGCATACTTAACAGGTGTTATGCCGTAGAATGCACCCCTGCTGTAGAATGCACCCCCTGCATCCCCTCCACTTGTTGCAACTTTCGTTCTGTTTTTATGTGTCTCAAAAATGCACATACGGAGGTGTGCTTGGGTATATAAACTGTACAGTAAGCTGTCAAGCTAGCGAACATTATATTTTCGGGACAACAAATATTCCAAATCAGAGGGCTATTTTTTCGGCTTATCTGAATAGCCTGAATGAAATTATTAAAGGCGGACGCTTTTGAATTCATCCAATGGTAAGGAAAACTTGAATTATTTTCGCCTTGTTAAGTACTTTCAACCGCGCTCCCGTCGGGGGGGTAGTTTATGGCAGGGGTGCATTCTACGGCACAACACCCGACAAGTATCTCGCCTTGAGCGTCCACCACAACAAATGCTGCTTCTTCGCGGTAAAATAAAGAAACAGGATTTAGGGCACTGGACTCCCCCTACTGATGTGGCGAGTTCAGTATGGCGCATGCGTGACGAGCGCCGTGCCTGCACAGGAGGTGCCGCGCTATCGCGGGTGCACACCAACCTATTTGTAGCCGGGTGACTCGCGCCCCCCCCAGGGATGGCTCCGCGCCCCCCTAGGGGGGCGGGCCACACACTTTGAGAAACGCTGCTTTAGGCCCTTGTTTTTAAAAAAAGAACGCCTGTCCATCTGTGGAAAGACAGATAATAGGTCAGATTTTCCCAGTGTTCCAGTTAACTATGCATGGGGGTCTGTAATGAACCATGGACAATGGCAAAAAAGTAACATGCAAGTATCCCCCATGCAAAAAATGAGATGAACCACAAAAAGTCTTTCAAAAATTGAATTCCACTCCGATGTCTGGTACAGGACTGCACCACCCTGGTTGTTATAGCAACGCAGCGCAACTATGCTGACCGCTGGTAAAACAACAGTGGAGAAAAAACAGCAACAACAAGTAGGACAACAACGCAAGTGGAAACAGGGCTTATTTTGTAGTACCTTCATATGTTCCATACCTTCTTACCTCAGAATGCGCCGACTCGGGTGCTGCTGCCTCGGTCAGCTGAAGCAGAGGTGTACACTGGTAGCAAGCAATTGCGTAAACGTGCCAACCAATCAAAAGAGGTGTAGGTGATAAGTGGGTTAACAAGACTTGTATTGAAGCTCACACAGCAGCAGAGGGGCAGAGCGACGTCACTCTGCGCAGTTGCACTCATTTCTGAAGATTTTCGCACAACACGATCTTTTGGAGAGGTGCTGAGCTAGGGAGTGTTCAGCTAATTCATGGGGGTGCTGAAGCATCCCTAAAAATAGCCTAAACTCGCCACTGATTTACAAGAGGACCCACAGTACAATACCATATGATATAATGGGTTCAATTACAGACTGGAATACTTTGATCCAGATTCTGACTGGAATATCAACGTATCAATATCAATGTGGAGATTTTTTAGTAGACTAGAAGGCTCTTCTACCCTTGTCTTGCAGATCGTTAATGGCCAGACTGAAATTTCCTGAAGGTGTGATGTTTAGTCCGAGGTATGTGTAGCTGTGTGTGTGTGTGTTGTATTGTATGTCTGTAGAGTCCAGGAGGAACCTGTGCTGGTCTTTCTGACATTTGGGTTGTTTCTGAAAGACCATGACTTTTGTCTTCTCTGGGTTAACGGTAAGGGCCCAGGTCAGACAGAACCATTGCAGATGATCTTATTGTTTTTGTAGAGTCTCTGTAGATGGAGAGAGCAGGATTAGATCATCCGCAAAAGTAAGCATTTGACTTTTGTGTCCGGGAGGGTGAGACCAGGGATGTCTGACTCTTACTTGTCCCTGGGCTCATACTTGTTTCCACTTTTGTGATTTGGGGTGATTATTCCTTGGTTCCAGGTGTCTGGAAAATGTCCAATGATCAGAATAAGATTGAATAATTTCAAGATGGCCGTCTTGATTTTATGGCTGCTAAACTGAGGCATTTCATTTAGGATGTGATCCGGTCCACTTGCCTTCCTTGGCTGCAGAGCCTTAGTCAGCAGCTCCTATTCACTAATTACATAGTCTAAAGGGTTTTGATTGTCTTTAACAACTGATTCAAGGGCTTCTTATTTGTTGAGCAGATTATTTTGGGCTGAATCCAGAGTGATTGCGCGGTATAGATTTTCAAAGTGCTTTTTCCTAATTTCACCAGTTTGAACGGCCAGTTCTTCTTTGTTTGATTTATTAAATGAATGCCATTTTTTTCCAAAAAATTATTAGTCAATAGACCCTTCAATTTCTTCTAGTAGGTGCTGCTCATGTTGTTTCATTTAGTGCTCAGTGCTTTTCTGTATAACTTCAGTGATTCCCAGTATCGAAGGCGGAACTCCTGATTATCAGGTTGCTGGTGTTTTTCATTGGATAATTTACGGAGTGTTTTTCTCAGAGATCTGCAGTCAGAATCAAACCACTTTTCATCAGTAGATTTGTTTGAACTATGACGCTTAGTCCATGTAGATTCTCATTCATCCAGGTCATGGTTATCTTGAAGACTAAAAAACAGGCAACTGGACTGTGTAGAGTTAAGAAGACGTTTCGCCTCTTATCCAAGAAGCTTCTTCAGTTCTAAAAGTGCTAGTGTCAGGAGCAGATATTTATCTTACTGGAGAAGGGGGACAGTTAACGACTGGGAGGAGTTGAAAAGAATGGGTCGTAGAAACCCACCTCTCGGTGTGTCCCCCCCAAGTCGTTATCCTGAAAGGGTCGTTAGCGACTCCTATCATGTGACCACATGACTCATGCCACCTGAGTCATGTGGTTCCAGGTGTGAATGTTTGTGGAGCTTTCTGGGGAGAGAGCTGAGAACTGCATTGTAAGTGCCAGAGAGATTGTGCCTGAGTCCACCCCCTCTGTTCAGAGAAGGTTTCTCCAGCCTGGTAAAGATGGCTTCTTTAACTCCTCTTTCAAACCATCTGTCTTCTCGAGCCAACACCTGTACATCGCTGTCCTCAAAAGAGTGACCTGTATCCTTCAAGTGAAGGTGGACAGCTGAGTCCTGACCTGAGGAAGTGGCTCTCCTGTGTTGAGCCATGCGCTTGTGAAGCGGTTGTTTAGTTTCCCCAATGTACAGGTCTGAGCATTCCTCGCTGCACTGGACAGCATATACCACATTACTCTGTTTATGTCTCGGTGTTTTGTCCTTGGGATGGACTAGCCTCTGCCTTAGTGTGTTACCAGGCTTGAAATGAACAGGAATGTGGTGTTTGCCAAAGATCCTCTTGAGTTTCTCAGACAGGCCTGCAACGTAAGGGATTACAGTGCTCTTGCGTCTCTCCTCCCTTTCCTGTTCAGTGTTATTTCTCTTTCTGTTCTTCACAAAGGCCCACTTAGGGTATCCACAGGTTGTCAGGGCATTTTTGATGTGCTTTTGTTCCTTTTCCTTACCTTCTTTCTTCGTGGGAATGTTCTCGGCCCGGTGGTTGAGTGTTCTGATGACACCCAGTTTGTGCTGCAGAGGATGGTGGGAATCAAAAAGTAGATATTGATCCGTGTGTGTTGGTTTCCTGTACACTTCAACGTTGAGACACCCATCTGCCTCCAAGTGTACAGCACAGTCCAAAAAGGCCAACACTTTGTCCTTGACATCTTCACGGGTGAACTTGATGTTGCTGTCCACTGTGTTGATATGGTCAGTGAAGGCCTCTACTTCATGTGCTTTGATCTTAACCCAGGTGTCATCCACATATCTGAACCAGTGGCTAGGAGCAGCTCCCTTGAAAGAGGTTAGGGCCTTCCTCTCTACCTCTTCCATGTACAGGTTTGCCACTATAGGAGAAACCGGGGAGCCCATGGCGCATCCGTGTTTCTGTCTGTAATGGCGCTCTCTGAACTGGAATTAGGTGGTGCTGAGGCAGATGTCCAATAAGGAGCAGATGTGGTCCGGAGTTAAGTTGGTTCTGACTTCCAGTGTGCTGTCCTGTGAGAGGCGTTGCCTATGACGCTTAGATTTGTTCAGATTGGATAGAGATGCTATTTGGTCAAATATATTGTTAATATCCCCAACAGCCTGATTGAGGCCATCATTACTGTGGGGATATGAGGTGAAGAGAAAATGGTTCAACTTAGTTTAGATAGTTGGATGCCCGATTGCTCTCTGAAAGTCATCTTTGCTATGACTTGTCCACCTGTAAGGCTGTTTTGAGCGGTTGAGCCTTCTGGGCTGTGCTACACGGGGTCTGCTGGGGTCCTCCTAATGTACAGGGTGATTTTGCTATGATCTGATAGGGGTGTTAGGGGGCTGACGGTGAATGCCTTAAGATAGAAGGGGTCTAGGTCTGTAATACTATAGTCTACTGTGCTGTTGCCAAGAGAGGAGCTGTGTGCTCTCGAACCGACCGTTGACTATGTACAGACCCAGTGTGCGACACATCTGCAGCAGTTGATGACCATTTCTGATGACAGTTTTATCAAAGTTGTTTCTGTGCAGATGTGGAAGAGGAGGGATGCTGATCTGACCAGGTATGTTTTTGTCTCCCTGTGCATTAATTGAATCAGGATCTGTGCCTGTTCTGGCGTTAAGGTCATCACAGATCAGCAAGTTTCTCTGTGTCTGGTAGCAGCTGATCTCGTCTTCCAGAATGGGGAAAGTGTTTTCGTTATAATAAGGGGACTCTGATGGGGGGATATAGGCTGCACACGTGAATAGGTCTTTGTCTGTGGAGGTAAGCTTTTTTTTTATTTCAAACCAAATTGAAAAATCTCCTTTTATGATTAATTCTCTTGATCTCTTGATTGTGTGAGGTTTGTCTTATACCAGATCAACATCCCTCCTGAATCTCTGCCTTGGCTTACACTCTTCAGTTTGGTAGATGGAAAAATGACTTCTCTAAACCCCCCCCCCCCCCCCCCCTTTGTCTCAGAGCAGGTCAGTGTGCTTCTCTCTGAGCTGATTGAGGTGGTTTGTCTTGAAGCTTGAATGAGTGAAGTTCAGACTGAGGTTTGGAGGTTAGATGATAAAACAGTTAGTGAAACACCTTTACCTGGCCAGCACAGGTGTGCTCACATGTCAGACACAGAGCAGGTTACATCAATCAATCAATCAATCAATCAAATTTTATTTATATAGCGCCAATTCAAAACAGTTGTCATCTCAAGACACTTTTCAAAGAACAAGAGCAGGTCTAGACCACGCTCATTGTTTGATGATCAAGAACCAACCTAAGATGGGTTTTGGCCCATCTCATCTAACATGAGTAGCAGTGGCAAGGAAAAACTTCCTTTTAACAGGCAGAAACCTTGGGCAGGACCAGACTCATGCCAGACAGCCACCATGCCGCTGCTGGGTTGAGGAGGAATGTAGAGAGATAGAAGGAGAGAGGGAGAGAGAGAGAGAGAGAGAGAAGAGGGCAGGGGGAGAGAGAGAGAGAACGAGATAAGGGGAAGGAGAGAGAGAATGAGTAAGGAGAGGGAGGGGGAGGGAGAGAGTAGAGAACAAGGGTGAGAGAGAGACAGGGGACAGCAGTAACAACAGCAACAACAACAACAGCTATGGTGAAATGTAATGGTGAAACAAAATGAATTCAGTTTACTGGTTTAGGATTTGAGTAATGGACAATGTTAAATTAATTAGATGTGATTACAGTCAGCAGGCCTAATAGTAGTCAACTCTAGTTTTATGTTATTAATGTCAATGAGGCTGATGTTCATGTCTGTAGTAACAGTCCAGAGGAATCCAAGAGAAGAAGGAGCTCAGGGCCTGAGGCGGACAATCATAGACGATGCGGCTAGAGTCAGGCAGGTCTGCAGCAGCCATCAGTCCAGGGCAACCTAGGGGGCTGGGGCTCAGAGACATACAGAGAGATCTGGTTAGCAATTTGTTGGGAGAAAATGACTTCAATGTACAGGATAATGAAGTGACTAATTATGGACTATGATAAATTAATTTAAGGTGATTAAAGTTAAAACTCAATGGCAGTTTACTCTAGATTTATTTTATAGATGTCAGTTAGGCTACCTTACGTGTCTGCAGCAACGGTCCAGAGGAGCCTAAGAGATGGAGGAGCTCAGGGCCTGAGGTGGACAAGTAAGGACGATGCAGCTGGGGTCAGGCAGTTCCGCAGCAGACTATCTGCAGCATTAGTCCAGTGGAAGCTAAGAGACTCAGAGACACTCAGAGAGAGAGAAATCTGGTTAGTGACTTATATGGGACATAAAGATCTAAAGGAGAGATAGAGACAGACTCTAGCTCAGTGTGCCAGATAACCCCGGCAGTCTAAACCTATAGCAGCATAACTAAGAGCTGGTTCAAATCAGCCCAAACTGTAAGCTTTATAAAAGAGTCATGATTTTGGAGTCATAGAAACTCTGAGAATTCTGACAAAAACTCAGAGTATGGGCTGGGAGGGCGATAAACTATAGCAAATACCAGTGGTCTCATGGTCTTTGAGGCTGGATGCGGAAGACTGAGAACAAGACTTTCAAAAGAGTTACAATTCAGTTTTGGTCTTGGGTTGATTGCAAGACTGGAATTGTAAATAGCTGCAACTCCACCACCTCGGCCAGAGTCCCAAGGAATGTGAAAGCTTAGGTGGCTAGGAGGAGTGGATTCATTTAAGCTGACATATTCATCCTGACGCAGCCAAGTTTCGGTTAGGGAGAGTAAATCAATGTGACGATCAGAGATTAGTTCATTTATTAACACAGATTTGGAACTTAAAGACCTTATGTTTAGTAGACCACATTTTATCTTACTACTACTTGGTTCAGCTATGTTAGCAGTTTTAATTCTAATAAGGTTCTTGTTATTTACTCCTTTGTTAATCAATTGGTTGAATTAAAGAGCCGAGGACGAGGGACAGACACAGTCTCTATATTAAAGTGACAGAAGCTAGGAGGCTGCTCGAACAAAAGTGCAGAGGAACGTGCAGAACTGCGGCTATGCTCCCTGATCTCTATGTCAAACTGATTGTAGCTAGGAAGCTGCTCTGAAGGGAGTACAGAGGGGCGTGTAGGACTGCGGTTCTGCTCCCTGAGCTCTATATCAAACTGATTGTAGCTAGGAGGCTGCTCTGAAGGGAGTGCAGAAGTGCATGTAAGACTGCGGCTCTGCTCCCTTGTCTCTGTATATAAGTGATAGTGGCTGGGAAGCTGCTCTAAAGGAGGCGCAGTGGGGCGTGTAGGACTGCAGCCCTGCTCCCTGATCTCTGCTCTGAATTGTCAGTGGTTCGGACTAATAAAATCGGCCAGATTTCTGGATAAATGGGCCGCTCCATCTCAAGCTGGATGAATGCCGTCCCGACTAATCAGACCAGGCTTGCCCCAAAATGACTTCCAATTATCAATGAAGCCCATGCCGTTTTGCGGACACCACCTTGACAGCCAGCGGTTGAATGATGAGATACGGCAACTCATCAGTTGTCTGATCGGGCAGGGGACCAGAGAAAACTACGGAGTCCGACATGGTTTTGGCATATTCACACACCGATTCCACATTCAATTTAGTGACTTCAGAGTCATTAACGCCGACATGTATTACAATCTTACGGAATTTACATTAAGCCTTTGCCAGCAGTTTTAAACTACCTTTGATGTCGCCCGCTCTGGCCTCTGGGAGACACTGAACTATGGCTGCTGACTTCGCTAATTTCACATTTCGGACTACAGAGTCTCCAATCACAAGAGCGTCGGGCTCAGCAGGTGTGTTGCTGAGAGGGGCAAATTTGTTTGAAATGTGAATATGGTGGTCTAACGTGGGCTTCTGAGGCCTGCTGCTATGCTTCCCTTTCACAGTGACCCAACCACTACTACACCCCAGCTGCGCGGGATCTGCTGGGGGGGGGGAGCTAAGCTAGGCCGACCCGCACCGGCTACCGGGTCCTGGCTGGCTACCGCTACTGTAGCATCGGTGCGGAGCCGCTTTTCCAAATCTGTAATCCTCGCCTCCAGAGCATCAGAGCACCAAAAATCTGACACACTGAGCAGAAGCGAGCAGGAGAAGCAGGCGACCGGGGGGAAGCGATTGTTAGCAAGTGAAGCTAAGAGAAGCTAAAAGCTAGTAAAGTAAACCACCAGAGAGATCACCCAGAATGGAGATAAAGACGGTGCTTGGTGAAAACTATCAGATATACTTACAGACTTTTAAACAAACAGATGTATTGATAGATTAAAGAGAGAAAATAACCCAAAAAGCAAGAACACTATCAGGAGGAGCAAACCGCTACACACAGTTCAACAGCAAGGAAGGGAATGATGCAATGCGCACGCTCACCAGTCAGGAGGAGGAGTCAGCACTCTTTGTCCTTACCTGAGCTGTTATTCACATGACACATGAACAGTAAGGATCTGCAGAGACAGAGAGAGATCTTCTGGAGTGAGGGTGTAACATAAAATCACTCCTTTAACTCGGGATATGAGAAGTCCTTCATTTAGCTCATGTTGAGCCTTTATAGACCTTTAAACAGGGACTGATGGCCCACCTGATAAAACCCTTTAAACAGGGACTGGTGGTCCACCTGATGGTCCACATGATGCTATCATCAGCAGTTAGTTTTTGAAGGAAATGGAGACAGTTCATCTCTACAGTCGGACACGAAATAAGAGCAAACTGCACAGAACTGAGACAGAGCGGTAAGGGAGAGGGTCAGCAACCCATGAATCCACCCCCTTTGCACTCCCCCACCCCCCAACCTCTTTGAGGGATTAAAGCTGCTCTCTAATTGGATGTAAACCTACTGTAATCTGCTGGCCCTAAGGTCACGCACACTGTCACTCTGATATTAGCCTCACAGTCTGCTCAGGCTGATCCAGCTGGAGACTGTCACAGTTACTTTGATCAGTCTGAGATCAGAGTTGATCCTCATTCATCCACAGACCAGTTCAACGTTTACTGTAGGTTCAAGCTCAAGCGTGTCTCATACCTGTCCTCACATTCATTACTGTAACAGACTGGCCAACACTGCAGCAGGATTTCCCTCTGCTGCCTAATATCTGCTCAGAAATACAGTTTCTGAAGCCAATCAGGACTGAGCAGGCTTTGGTTGTATCTGCAGGATATAATCTGTGCAACATCACACACAGACTGAAATGTCATCCCAGAGCTCCTCGGCTGTAATCTGACCTTCATTACCTCTTTATTCATATCTGAAAACAAGAGACTTGTAAGTGTTTTGTGTAAAGGTCCTTACACACCAGGCGAGAATTCGCCAAGCGAATTATTCGCCTTTTTTTAAAACAGCATAAAGTCAATGCAAGCTTCCACACCGGCGGCGATTTTTCCGCGGGGCGAAAAGCCGCTTTTATTTTTTCGCTCTTGTGTCGAATTTTTCGGATATTCGCAGGCGAATATCTGGACCTGCTAGACCTCTGGCCAATCAAAAGTCATGTTGTTGATGACATCACAGACCCATACGGCTGGAGGAGAGGGAGAAGTTTGAGATTATGAAAACGCAGAGAAAGACAGCTGAGGTGCATCCAAAACTCTTTCGAATTACTAATGAAGTAGTTTTCTCACAAGATGACTCTCTCTTGTCTTCCTTAGGAGACAGATGTCATGTGTCATGTCCGTGCCGCAAAGCGACTTTATTAATTCGCTTTGCAAAAAAATATACGCATATTCGCTTCGCGGCCGGTGTGTATAGGCGAAAGCGATTTTTCGGACCGGCAAATATTCGCAATTTTCGTCTCGCTTTTTCGCTTCGCTCCGCAAATTCGCCGGTGTGTAAGGACCTTAAGACTGACAGCTCCTCGTTTCTGTGAGAGACTCTGCAGAGCAGCAGCAGCAGCAGCAAATTATGATGGAAACACACTGATTACAGTGTGTGTACATGCAGGAGCTATTCTTAGACACACACACACACTGGGTCAGGATCCCTGTAGAGGTTTGATAAGCGCCTGCTCTGCCTCCTTTTCTCCCTAAAGCAGCTGAACAGACACAGATCAGGTTTTTAATTCAGACTCATCAGCAGCTCTGAATTCTGGGGGGTCTGCAGAGGTGACAGACTCCACTATCAGACAGAGGTGAGAAACTATAGTGGCAGCAGGCTGAGAAGGTGGATTCTCTATAATCATGATACCACCTTGGTCCGATTAGTGGTACTGGATAAAACTTCTGAACCTGTCATTCTCCTCATTTGTAGAGGCTCGGACACAACTCTGACGGATTGACTGACACTGTAGCTGTCAGTGAGGAGGTTGGAGTCCGGCCCAAACTCCCCCTCTCCACCTCTTGGTAGGTCGACTGTCAAGTCAGCTTTTCCGTCGTGGTGACTGATGAGGTTAAAACTCCTCTTCAGAAACCACCAGTGACCACATCCATGCTTTGGACAGGTCATGGTTACAGCTGATAGTTAGCACAATGATAGCAACAGGCTAATGGGACTCTGCATCTGCATCCATTAAACACCAGCAGTGGAGCTGGAGCTCAGTCCAGCACCATCACAGCTCAGGAGAGACCTGTGAAGAGCTGAGCTCCAGGTATACGGGGGAGCAAAAGTATGAATCACATCCTCATTTTAGATTTCATAGATGGATGCAGAAAAGTCCAATTGATTGAAAGTAACTGATGTCTTCAAAATGAGGGTTCAGAGTGAAGAGCAGAGACAGTGGAGAGACCCAGACTGTTAGTCCTGATCCCTCCCATTATCAGCTCAGACAAAAGCTTTAAACCAAACCTTTAAACAGGAGACATACCAGGTCTAGGGGGGAAAATGGGAGGGGATCATCTAAGCTCTGGTTTTAAGACTTTATGAACTGTCAGAGCTTCAGTCATAGAAAACACACCTGAAACAGGTAAACCGCAAAAACGCGTAGGAAAGTCTGCTAAGAGTCTGAATGAGTGTGTGTTAGTCCTTGTGATTTTAGATGTGTGTGTGTGTGTGTGTGTGTGTGTGTGTGTGTGTGTGTGTGTGTGTGTGTGTGTGTGTGTGTGTGTGTGTGTGTGTGTGTGTGTGTGTGTGTGTGTGTGTGTGTGTGTGTGTCCTGTCCTGGGGACTGTCCTGTTTAAACATGTTATTGATAAAGAGTGTGTGTATAGTGGCGGGTGGAGGTTGAGTTTCAGCCCTAAGGTCAGGGTTTCTTCAGTCCTCATCCTCCAGCATACAGCTGCTCCCGGCACACCTGAGCCATGACTAACACACACATCCACACACACACACACACACACACACACACACACACACACACACACACACACACACACACACACACACACACACACACACACACCTGAAAACACAAGGACTAACACACACTCATTCAGACTCTTAGCAGACTGCAGACTGTCTTACTGTATGTGAACACCTGGGTTGAGTTTGTGGGGCTTGCTTTCAGGATTACAGGATTTAGGGGTCAGGATTCAGGATTCAGGATTTAGGATTCAGGATGCGGGATTCAGGATTTAGGATTCAGGATTTAGGATTTAAGATTTAGGATTTCAGATTTAAGGTTTCAGGATTAGAGATACAGGATTCAGGATTTTGGATTCAGGATTCAGAATTCAGGGTGTGGTATTCAGGATTTCGGATTCTGGATTTTAGGACTTAAGATTAAGGATTCAGGATTTAGGATCTTTGTCTGTGTTGCTGCTGTGGCAAAAACATTTCCCCCATGGGGGATCAATAAAGGAATATTCTATTCTATTCTATTCTATTCTATTAGCTCAGCTGGTCATGTCCTACCATCCAATTATCACATGTAAAAATGTTCATCCTGTTTAAAGACCTTCTGCTTGCCCACTCCTCCTCTGTAAACTTCTCTGCTACTGCTGCTTCTCCCCAGCTCCTCCTTTTTATGCTGTGTCTGATTTTACCTGAGTCATATGGATTTGTACAGAAGCTGCTCTGTACTGTACCTCAGCGGTCTTTGCGGATGCTGTCCCCGCCTCTATGTGTGCATATAAGAGGGCTGGAGCTCTGAGAACAGAACAAGACTACTATCTAAAGCATGAAAATCCTAGCTCTGTGCAGCTTCAGTGGAGAAAATCGAATATGAATATTTCTTTGGGCCTGTTAAACACCTGCCTGATAGTTAGTGCTGGGTTTGTCTGTTTTAGGTTGCAATAGAAAGATGAAATGCATGGTGACAGACTTCTCTGAAAATATGGAGATCATGTTTCATTCCTGTATGTTTACCTCCCAGCATTAGACTCTTTGAGTCTCCTTCCTATTTCTTTAATTTTTCAGGATGACTAACTCAGGCCAAACTTTCACAAAAAAGAGTCTCTTCTGTAAGTCTTTATTTAGAGGACAAAGTTTGAGTTTTTTGATTCCCTAAAAAAAAACTCTTGAACATGTGAAGGAGCTGGTGTGAGCTCAGTCTGAGCCTGCTAAATATTTCTGCTCTCTCTCTGGATCTCAGCCATTAAAACAGAGGGTAGACCCAGAGAAAGCCAGGAGGAGAAGTTTGATTCTCTGCTCCACCCAGTCTGCTCCAACCTGACTGAAATACAGCAGAGAAAGGGGGAGAGAGAGAGAGCAAGGGTGAGAGCTGAATGAATGAGGCAGACGGGAGAAAGGAGGGAGCAGGAGGAGGAGGAGGAGGGGTGATTGTTTCTGGAGTGGTGGAGGTTTCAGATTTCTCTTTTCTTTCGATTCTCCCTCTAAAACTCTCCCTCCTTCTCTCTCTCTCTGCAGATCGGGCTGAGCCCCGGCACGTTGTAGGCGTCTGCTCCCCACAGGAAGCCTGAGGAGGAAGAGGAGGAACACTCGAAGAAGAGAGGACAAAGAGGAAGAAGAAGAAGAAGAAGAAGAGAGAGAGAGAGTCGGGAAAGGTGGAGGGAGGTAAGCTCTGCTGCACGCGCTCTTTATTTAAACTGAGAGAGGAAGAGGAGGAGGAGGAGACCTCTCTCTGCTTTCTCTGTGCTTTCAGTGTGTGTGTGTGCGTGTGTGTGTATGTTTGGACTCGTGCTGATGTGAGGACTAAGTAAAGGCATGTCTGAGGGGTGTGACCACACAGAGGTGTGTGTGTGTGTGTGTGTGTGTGTGTGTGTGTGTGTGTGTGTGTGTGTGTGTGTGTCCAGTTATATAAAGAGTCAAGATGCTGCAGTCAAGTGTGTGTTTGGGTCAGTTATGTTTCAGATGGCTGTAAATCTATTTTGGTCGAGCTAAAGTTCAGAGTGTCGGAGTTCTTAAAACCTATGGAAGCGATTGTGACTCATATCTCAAATTCAAAAGCATTAGCAGAAATGCTTTTTCATTTCAAAGTCATGGCTGCACTATTTGACTCAAAAATAAAAATCAAAAGCAATATTCCAAAATGCAATTTCATTTTCTTCTTCAAGACTGCTCATTTTGTGACTGAATTAAAAAGCAAAAGCAAATCACATTTAACATTTAATTTTCAAAACATTCACCAGCAAAAAGGTAACAAAATTCAATTTGAAATGTCAAATTCGAAAATTCAAAAGCATTAGCAGAAATGCTTTTTCATTTCAAAGTCATGACTGCACTATTTAACTAAAAAAATCAAAATCAAACGCAATATTCCAAAATGCATTTTCATTTTCTCCTTCAAGACTGCTCATTTTGTGACTAAATTGAAAAGCAAAACCAAACTCAGATAAGCCTTTTCGTGCTCGCCCCGCAAAAAGTGTCTCATAATTCAGAATCTCCCCTCATGTCACAGATTTTGATGAAATTTGGTGGAGTGATTGGCCTTCAGGAGAAACTGTCAGAGCTCAAATATGTTTGTTCCAAAGCATCTAATAAGTGAGAAAGGGGCTAACGAAATTTTGGCTAATTAGCATGACATGCGTCACAAAAGTGTTCATATCTCTTGAAGTATGGCACCTAGAGAGCTGGTCTTTTATCATTTTTTTCTGGTTCAATTTGGGAAAGAAATGTTATGAAGAAAAAGATAGACGTTGAAGAGAGCTTTAAAATGACACCTGAATCAGCTCTCTAGGTGCCATACTTCCAGAGATATGAACACTTTTGTAACGCATGTCATGCTAATTAGCCAAATTTTCGTTAGCCCTTATTTCACTCATTAGATGGCTTGGAACAAAAATATTTGAGCTCTGACAGTTTCTCCTGAAGGCCAATCACTCCACCAAATTTCATCAAAATCTGTGACGTGAGTGGAGATTCTTGGTTGAATTGACATGGAATGACCCAATAAAGAAAGTCGCACACTCTTATCTCCTCTGCTGTTTTATTACCTTACCGTTTCAGATACTGTACCCCTGAAATAAACTTTGCAAAAACATACACAAAATTCAACATCGAGGCATGCTGCTGCAGTGTTCAAGCTGTGAGCTGCACAGAAGCAAGCTAACAGCATACGGTACAGGTGCTCCTCAACAATTAAGAATAAATATATTCTCATTTATTGAGATGGGATACTTGAATACATTGTGCAACAGAAGCCTGCAGATGACTTTGAAATTAAAATATTTTTAGTCCACTGAAGATAAAATGTGGAAAGTCCACGTCTCCACGCTGTAAGTGAGTGAGTAAAAGGACCAGCACACCTGACACACCGCTGACATCTGCATACAGTCACAGGTTAACACAGAGACTGCAGTGATTCTGTCTTCGTGCCATGTATTTTTAAGGCATCTCTATGACCATTTTGTCTGATTCTCACTGTGTTTATGGCCCTTTATTTGCAAAATATCCCAAATCCATCGATCAGTGATGAGAACAATGAGGAGTATAAAGTCTGTTAGTCCGCTAAAACAGATAGCAGCGATCTGCGGTTTGATTTCATTCACGCTAACTGCGATCAGTACGAGTGGTGACAGCGGACGCTTTTTCACATTAAAGGAGGAAATATTTGTAATATATCTCCGTAAACACTAAGTGTCTTTTCTACTTATTTGAAGCGTGGATCATAGTTGTGGAGATGTCCACACAAACATTGAATACAACCAACAAGCGCGGTGTACAGGCTGTGTTAATTACATTGAATATCAATTGAACGAATGATTCACGGATTCACTGCCCCCAATCGGCCAGAAGGGGCCAAAACGAGTGGGGTCTGTGACGTCACTTTCCGTTTCCGTTTGTCCACTTGAGATTGCAAATCAGATTGAATTATGAGACACTTTTTGCGGGGCGAGCACGAAAACGAAAAATCATTTCTGAGTTTGGTTTTGCTTTTTAATTTAGTCACAGAATGAGCAGTCTTGAAGGAGAAAATATTGCTTTTGATTTTGATTTTTTAGTTAAATAGTGCAGCCATGACTTTGAAATGAAAAAGCATTTCTGCTAATGCTTTTGAATTTTCGAATTTGACATTTCAAATTGAATTTTGTTACCTTTTTGCTGGTAAATGTTTTGAAAATTAAATGTTAAATGTGATTTGCTTTTGCTTTCTAATTCAGTCACAAAATGAGCAGTCTTGAAGAAGAAAATGAAATTGCATTCTGGAATATTGCTTTTGATTTTTATTTTTGAGTCAAATAGTGCAGCCATGACTTTGAAATGAAAAAGCATTTCTGCAAATGCTTTTGAATTTGAGATATGAGTCACAACCGCTTCCATAAAAACCTGGTTCCTGTGACCCTGTCCCTATGTTTCTGTCTATAGACCAGTTTTTCAAACATGTGTTTCTGATATAACATTGTCGTAGTGAGGTGAATTCAGGGTCATGTGACACTCATACGGTCTAATGCATCAGGAGAGATGGATCAGGAACATCATCAGGACACTGATCATACAGTCACTTCTGGTGCTGACTTCTGGAAAAGTTTGGAAACAGATGTCACTGTCTGATCGTGTCTCTCTATCTGGAGCTGCTCTCTGTGCCATTCCTCAGGTTTAAGTGCTTCACGTGGGTGGTGAGGATTTATGTGACTCACCCTCCAGCGTAAATATCCTTCATCATTAAGATTATTGTCTACAGTCCGGTTAACATCCTAAGAGAAGACCGTGGGTCCTCACAGAGAACTTCAGTGTACAAGATGAAGACTTAGTTCACATCCAGGAATTAGGCCATGGTTCAAGCTCAGTAAGAACAGTCCAGACCCCATCAACATGCATCAGGAGACACTGATTTACTGAACAAAGTTTGACAACCTCTGCTAAAGACCAGCTTTAGTCCAACTAACCAAACCTGTTAACTTCTAGAGTCCCACTACGACCATAAACACGCCTTAAACATTAACTGAGTGGCGTCTCCATGTTGCATCCGTCCTTGGTCCAGTGTTGTTTTCGTCAACCATGACGTTGACGAAAATATTTTCGTCAACGTCAACGAAAACAAAACTGCATGTGTGTGCGCGCGCGCCCGCGCACCCACGCATGTGTGTGTCTGTGTGTTGGAGGAGCACAGCAGGCTGATGAGAGCTGTCAGAGCAGACTGAAGCTGCTCCTATATGTTTAGCGTTTAACTGACTGAATTTTGCAACTCTGTTCGTCGTTCTCGTCTCGTCCCGTCAATGTAAACGCACTTTCGTCTCGTCACATTTTAGTCATCTCCGACTTATGTTTAGCTCGTCAACATTACGTCTTCATTGTCCAAGAAAAGGGAAATATTTTCATCAACGAAAACAACCAGTGTTGTTCTCTTTGACGAAAATATTTCCCTTTTTTTACGCTGACGTTGACGAAAATATTTGACGAAATATGACGAAAAAAACACTGCCTTGGTCTGTCTGTGGAGAGTCTTAGTTTCTCTGTTAATAGTCTCTCTTCACTCTGGTTTCCTGTTGTCTGTGGAGAGTCTCAGTTTCTCTGTAAATAGTCTTTCTTTCATTTGGTTTACAGTTTATCAGTGTGTGGAGAGTCTCAGTTTCTCTGTAAATAGTCTCTCTTCACTTTGGTTTGCTGTTGTCTGTGGAAACTAAGGATGTAATGAAAAACAGTAATATGATAAACTGCGTTGAAATGTCTGACAGTTAGTACTACTGTTTCGTATTTTAATAACTGTGAAACCATGTTTGATTGCCTCACTCTGAAGAAGCTCACAGACTGCTCAATGCTGAGAAGAGCAGCCACAGGCAGCAGTTCTTTGAGACACAGGAACGCCACTCGCACACGCAAATCACAGTATACAACTCAGTATACAGTTCATCAGTCTATTGAGAGTCCCAGTTTCTCTGTAAATAGTCTCTCTTCACTCTGGTTTCATGTTGTCTGTGGAGAGTCCCAGTTTCTCTCTAAATAGTCTCTGTACTCTGGTTTACTGTTGTCTGTGGAGAGTCTTAGCCTCTCTGTTAAAAGTCTCTCTTCACTATGGTTTCCTGTTGTCTGTGGAGAGTCCCAGTTTCTCTGTAAATAGTCACTCTGCTATGGTTTCCTGTTTTCTGTGAAGAGTCCTAGACCCAGTTTCTCCTTTAATAGTCTCTCTTCTCTCTGGTTTCCTGTTGTCTGTGGAGGGTCTCTGTTTCTCTTTTACTAGTCTTCATTCAATTTGGTTTGAAGTTCATCATTATGTGGAGAGTCTCATTTTCTCTGTTAATAGTCTCTCCTTACTCTGGTTTGCTATTATATCAGAGGAGTCTGAGTTTTTCTGTAAAAAGTCTCCTCACTCTGGTTTACAGTTCATCAGTCCATGGAATGTCTCATTTTTTCTGTTAAAAGTCTCTCTTTACTCTTGTTTGCTGTTGTCTGTGGAGAGTCTCACTTTTACAGTAAAGTCTCTCTTCACTCTGGTTTCCTGTTGTCTGTGAAGACTCCCAGTCCCAGTTTCTCTGTAAATAGTCTCTCTACTCTGGTTTCCTGTTGTCTATGAAAAGTCCCAGTCCTAGTTTCTCTGTAAATAGTCTCTCTTCACTCTGGTTTCCTGTTGTCTGTGGAGAGTCCCAGTTTCTCTGTAAATCATCACTTTACTATGGTTTCCTGTTGTCTGTGGAGAGTCTTAGTTCCTCTGTAAATAGTCCCTCTTCACTCTGGTTTCCTGTTGTCTGTGGAGGGTCTCTGTTTCTTTGTAACTATTCTTCCTTCAATTTGGTTTACAGTTCATTATTCTGTGAAGAGTCTCATTTTGTCTGTTAATAGTCTCTCTTCAGTCAAGTTTCCCTTTTGTCAACGGAGAGTCTCATTTTCTCTGTTAATTGTCTCTCCTTACTGTGGTTTGCTATTATATAAGAGGAGTCTGAGTTTCTCTGTAAAAAGTCTCTTCACTCTGGTTTACAGTTCATCAGTTCGTGGAGAGTCTCATTTTTTTCTGTTAATTGTCTCTCTGTACTCTTGTTTGCTGTTGTCTGTGGAGAGTCTCACTTGTACAGAAACGTTTCTGTTCACTCTGGTTTCCTGTTTTCTGTGGAGAGTCCCAGTTTCTCTGTAAATAATCTCTCTACTCTGGTTTCCTGTTGTCTGTGAAGGCTCCCAGTCCCAGTTTCTCTATTAATAGTCTCTTTTCACTCTGGTTTCCTGTTGTCTGTGGAGAGTCTCATTTTCTCTGTTAATAGTCTCTCTTCACACTAGTTTCCCTTTTTTCAATGGAGAGTCTAATTTTCTCTAATAGTCTCTCCTTACTCTGGTTTGCTATTATATAAGAGGAGTCTGAGTTTCTCTGTAAAAAGTCTCTTCACTCTGGTTTACAGTTCATCAGTTCGTGGAGAGTCTCATTTTTTCTGTTAATAGTCTCTCTTCACTCTTGTTTGCTGTTGTCTGTGGAGAGTCTCACCTGTACAGTTAAGTCTCTCTTCACTCTGGTTTCCTGTTGTCTGTGGAGAGTCCCAGTTTCTCTGTAAATAGTATCTCTTTACTATGGTTTCCTGTTGTCTGTGGAGGGTCTCAGTTTCACTGTCAAAAGCTTGGCTCTGGTCTCCTTTAGCAGTTTGAACCTAAAAGCACCTAAAACAGAAACTGATGTTTTTGTGATGTTCTCCTTAAGAGTCTTCAGTTTGCTAAACGAACATCATGATGTAGAATTGTCCAAAGTCCAAGGTCCAGCTTCGTCAGGTCTTTCCTCAAGAGTAGAACAAAACTATTTAGGAAATGTTTGTTCTGGTGCCTGTGGGTCCAGTTATGGTGGGACTGCTGTTGTTCTGTTTCTGATGGTTCTTTGAAAACCTTTGACTTCACACATTCATATTGAAGTGTAGAGTATCATCTTGAGATATACACTACAGGCCAAAAGTTTGGAAGCAAGATCAGATTTGTACAAAAAAAGATCATAGTTTCATATATTTAATTTGCAACACAATAAACATGACTTTCGTGTAAAGAGTAACTTATCAGAAGACATTTTAACTATAATTACTAGGTATTTCAGTTATTGTTGCTTAGACTTTGCTTTCTTTAAAGTAACCTTCTCTGGCTATAACAACAGCTTGGCATATACCAGGCATTTGTTCCACAAGTTTTTTAAGGTATGTCCCAGGGATTGCATTCCAAGCTTTCTTAAGTTCATGAAAAAGAGACTGCTGATTCGTGGGATGCATTTTTCTGACCGATCGATCCGATTTATCCTGCACAAGCTCAATTGGAGAAAGGTCTGGAGACTGAGGGGGCCAAACCATCTTTTGAAGAACATCTTCCTCTTCTTTTTTGTCTAGGTAACCCTGACAGAGCTTGGCAGAGTGCTTAGGGTCATTGTCTTGCTGCAAAACAAACTTATGAGCCACAAGTCTGAGTCCAGATGGAACAGCATGGTGCTGGAGGATGGAGTGGTACTGTTCCTTCTTCATGATACCCTTCACTTCAAACAAATCTCGTACTCCATCACCTGCAAAACATCCCCATACCATGGAACTACCACCTCCATGCTGAATTGTGGGTGTAACACGTGGTGCTTTCAGACGTTCACCAGTTCGTCTGCGGACATAGACACTGCGTTTTGAACCAAACAGTGCAAACTTGTTTCTAGTCATCATAAGTCCAATTTTTGTGAGCCTTTGCCCACTCATATCTCTTTTTCTTGTTCTGTGGACGAAGTAGTGTTTTTTTGCAGATACACAATCCTTCAGACCAGCCTTTCTCAAATGTCATTTCACGGTTGTCAGAGATATGGGTTTTTGACCTTGTCATGTTGATTTCCTCCCTTATTTGTGGTGCTGTCTTTCGCCGATCTCTCTTACTGGTGACAATGCTATGTTTATCCTCTGCTTTTGTAGTAACTCTCTTTCGTCCAGGTCTTTGTCTATCATCATAACTTCCAGGTTCCTTTAGTCTCTTCAGAGTGTAGTGGACTCCTTTGTTAAACCCCTTTAGGCGTTTTGCAATTTCTCTTTCTGTGTATCTTTCTTTCCTCAATGTACAAATCTGTACTTTTGTTTCTTTACTCAGTTGCTTCTTTCTAGCCATTTTTGCGGTAGTTGGAACGCAGTTGAGATTTATCAGGATTTTTGTATGCAGACTCTCAAAAGCCAAAAAGTTGAAGTGAATAATCCAACTAATTTTTTTGCTTTTGGACTGAAGTTGTGACTCTTGCAGATGTTTTTTAACCTCTAAGCCCTTATTATCTTTTGCTGACATATATTTAGCAATGGTCTGTTAACATCAATGTATATCTAAAGGTAAATGGAGTAAAATGGTGCATTTCCATGAAAGCAACATCTGATCATGGAGTAAATACATCCCAAAATACATAAAACTCATGCTGGATTTTAAAAAAAGCATTGTGAACAAAAACTTGAAGTTACTCCCAACTGTTCAGCCTGTAATGGCCTTGCTTCCAAACTTTTGGCCTGTAGTGTATGTTCATTAAAACTGATCAGGTCATGTTTGTAAAAGTTTGTTATCAGCGGTAGTGTCTCCTCTTATACCCTGATATTTCTGAAAGAGTTTAGAGGTCATAACTCTTCCTGAGTCATATTAAAGTCAGGATATGTGATGTGTTTTTGATCCCTAATGAAGGAGAAGTGTTAAATCTCCTCACTGTGTCCTGATATTTTAAAGTTTCTTCATAATCTGTTGGTGTCAGTGGGCTGCAGCCTGGCTCAGTAATTATAACTGCAGATGGTGGGCGGGGCTATAAGAGGGTTACATATATGAATCCAGCTGTGAGCCCCCATGTTTTATAAAGAGGGAGTAAAAAGGAGAGGAGCAAAGAGACAAACAAGTTAATGTCCTTCATCATTTTATTTTCATTTGGAGGTCTTCTATCTCCAGCTGTGGTCCTCAAGGATCTTTTCCTCACTGCTTTGTTTACGGTGAGGCATCTGTTAGCAACATAGCGAACAGGAGCTAATTTTCAGACGCTTGAAGCAGCGTTTGATCTGTCAGCACCTGACCTTTGACCTTTGACACATCGTCTCTTCTTCTTCTTCTTCTCTGTAAGAAATCTAGCTGCTCAACACATCCACTCAGATCCACTCAGGCTAATAATAATGATAAGAATAATTATGATTATTACGATGGTTGTTATTATTAAATTGTTTCCTTCATCAGTTACAAACTTGCTCTGACACCTTCAGCATCCACACAGAGTCAAACATCCAGCACAGCTCGTCATCAAACTGATCCTAAAGAGACTAAAGGGACCCTCAGTGATTTTACTGATGTGATCATGTGATGAGGCAGAGGAGCAGCTGGAGTTCATTCAAGGTTCACTCACAATCTCTAAAAACTTCACTGAAGGAAACATCAGTGTTAAAACCTGATGAAGTCTATCAGCCTGTCCTGCTGTAACACAGAGGGTCTCCATCATCAGAGTCCAGTAAAAACTTCATCCAGACTCATCATTTCCACAAAGATCCTCAAATTACTGCTGATCTCAAAAGACTGTCTGATCATGCTCAGCTTGTCTGTGATCCACCTCACCATGACAGACTTGGTCTGATCCATCTTCTGATCCCTCTTCTGTCTCAGGTGAGCTCCCTCATTCTAGATGATCCTGCTGATGAGTTCAGACTCTTAAATCGGATCAGATCATTTGACCTGGTTTAAAACAACTCTTTAAAGAACCAGTTTAACTGACAGGTGATGAGAAGAGTCACTCACAGCCAGATTTCAGATTATTGATCCTCTATCAGTTTCTGTCTACTGAGACCGGGAATCTGTCTTTTCATTGGACCGCTTCAAACTTCATATTTCAGCTGTAAAGGAAACCCCACAGAGTGATTTGATGTTTAAATCTGCTGAGAGACTCTCAAAGATGTTTGTCCTGAAGTCAACGTCACATCACACATCCTATCAGCAGTTTAAATCAGACCGAGTCTGGTTCTGAAATGCATATTTTTAATCTTTACGTCAGTGAAAGTTTAAGGGACAAGTTTCCTTCAACATCAACCAACTTCCTTAATATTTAAACAATAAGACTTGGAAAGGTCCTTTTTGATAAGACTGAGGACAGAGATGATGGAATTATTCAGTGTTTTCAACATGAAGTCTGCTGATTGTGTTTGTGTGTGTGTTCCCTGCTCTGTCCACCAGGGGGCGTCCTGGCCCCATCCTTACTGGTGAACACAGAGTGGGTTTGTGCTGCCAACTGAGCCAGACGTCTGATGCCTGTTCTCTGAGTCCTGCTGCGAGGTGATAAAAACAGGACAGCAGGTGAGATATGAGAGCAGCTGCTGAAGCTGCAGGCGGCAGAGGGGTCAGCTGATACTGGAGCAAAGTGGGGACAAATAAAGAATCAAATATGAGGCAGAGACCCCAGAGCATATGTGTCAAACTCAAGGCCTGCAGGCCACATCCGGCCCGGCATGCAATTATGTCCGGCCCGCGAGATCATTTTATATTATTGTTACGAATGGCCGGACGATATGAAGCGCTGGTAACACAATAAACTACAGATCCCATAATGCAGCGCTTCAGCTGCCTTGCCGAGCGCTTTCTCGAGTCAATCAGCTCAAGTGCCTGTTGCTGCTAGTTTTTGCGAAGCTAGCCCCTCATGATGCCGAAGAGAAAAGTTGATTCTGAAAACAGAGCCTTTCAAAATCGATGGGAGGCTGACAATATGTTTACTGACATTGTCGGTAAACCCGTTTGTCTCATTTGTGGCGCTAATGTGGCTGTACTTAAAGAGTTTAATCTAAGACGGCACTATGAGACAAAGTACGACACTGCAGGGCCCACAGAGTTTATTCACTCCATTCCCGCAGCAATGTCCCAGCTCCGTCTACATGCAGCTCGGACCTTGTGCATGTTTGGTAGCACATATCTGTGTGAGAAGCTGTTCTCAGCGATGAAGACAAACAAAACAGCACACAGGAGTCGTCTCACTGATGAGCACCTTAAGTCCATCCTGAGAATCTCCACAACACGGGACCTCACGCCAAACATAAACCAACTTGTTGCCAAAAAAAGATGCCAAGCGTCCAGCTCTGATAAAATGGCATAAGAGCAAAGAAAAATGTTTTGATTCGTTATTTGTTATTGCTGAAAAGCACAAATTTTATTTATATTTCCAGGTTTTGTTTTGTTTTGCAGCATGTTCAAATTTCTAACTTGTATAGTTTTGACAGGAAATATTTTTATGAAGAGTAAAATCATTTGGGATATTTAAAATTGAAGTTTTTCTATATAAAATGACATAAAAGCAAAGAAACTCAAATGTTTTGATTTGTTACTTTAATGTTTACTTAAAGCACAAGCACTGTAACAATTTTTCTTTTTTTTTTTCAGGTGTTTTTTTGCAGCATGTTCATATTTATTTTATATTTATATATATTTATATAACTTATATAATTTTGACTGGATATATTTTTATGGAGAGCAAGACATTTTAAGTTATTTTAAGTTTAAGTTTATTTATTCCAGAATAAAATTCCTGTCTGTTTGTATTCATATTTATGTTAAAAAAACATTTTGTTTTAGTGTGTTCAATAAATGTTTATTCTGTTCGGCCCGCGACCTGAAGTGTGTTTTGAATTCTGGCCCCCTGTGCAATTGAGTTTGACACCCCTGCCCCAGAGGAAGACTAGACTCTGTGTCACCTTTGCAGATCATCCACTCTCCATTCAAAGGATTCCTGCAGAGTCCGGTGGTTAAAACATGAACTTGGAAACAGCAGGGCCTGCAGAACTGAACCTCACTGACAAAACCAGATCTTACAAAGAGTCTGTATTCAGGAACACGAGTGACATGAGCAACATGAGACAGAGGGATAACAACTACCATCTGACAGGATGCCTCATAACTGAGAGCTGGTACCAACAATAAAAAAAATTCAGATATAAAGAAGAACTTCAGGAATTTGAAAACAAACACTTGAAAATAAAAGAGTTATCAGGATTGTGCTTTTTCAGCATTTATCTTGTTTATCTCTAAAACGTTTGTTAAAAACACAGACAGCTTCCTGACCCAGCTGCTGTCACATCTCTGCATCAGGGTCATCAGAGCTGCTGCTAACTTCAGGGTGAAGTTAGCTATCCAGCTAACTGTTTTTGTTAGCTAGCTGTCATCCTTGTGCAATAGCAGAATTGAGTGCAGTGTTAGATCATGCAGGACCCAAAAGTAAAGCTCCGCCTACATCAACTGATCCAAATGCCAGCCGTATTAGCTGGCAGCTCAGCTGATTGCCCTCCCCCCATCCTATTGAAAAACTGCTTTGCTGATGCTCTCCCCAACCCCACCAAATATTAATATTACCACTGTGTTCTGGCTTGGCACTGATTCTCTGGTCTGGGTTTTGCTGATACTCTCCCCACCTCAGACTTTGATATTTAAGCAGGGGTGGCAGTAGCTCAGGAGGAAGAGCGGTCGTTCAACAACTGCTAGGCTAGTGGTTCGGTACCCCCTGTCCCTGGTCTGTCTGTTGTGTCCTTTGTCAACACACTTGAACCACCTTGCTCTCAGTGGCCCTCATTTATCAAGCTTGCATATGGCAGAAAACTTGCATACACCTTGCGTACGAAAATTTTGACGTGAGGATCAGTATTTATCGATCTGCATGTGAGCGTACGCTACGACCAAATCTCACGACAGGTCTGACATCGTGTACGCAAGTTTGAGTCAGTGTGGATCTGCAGTTCAGCAAATGTCTGTCTCAAAATTATTGATATACAAACCTGAAACCAGTCATTAAGCACAATCAGACAGATTTCATTAAAGATTAAGACATACATAAAATCAAATAAATTTGTTGTGTCCTTAGTGAATAGGCCTATTTGATAACTCTGCCCAGAAACACTGCCACAGAGCAGAAGCGCCGTTATAACATTACGCACACAAGCACACGCGCCACTGTGGAGCGCTGCGTTTGACTCCTAAAAGGCAGGTAGCTCTGTCTTGGCCCAGCAGCGAGGACATTGTTTTACACTCCTGAAAGGGTGTGGGACATCATTTGGGCCAGTACAGTTTTGCACAATGTTGCACTGGCGAATGGAGTGCCGTTGGCTGTGCCGGTGCAACGTGAGGACCCGATGCCCGGAAACGATAACGAGGAGAGACTCCACAAAGGTGCTGTACAGAGGAGACAGGACCTTATCGATGGATTCTGACATGTAAAGTGTAAGTTTAGAAAGTGCTCTTGCTATTTATTTTGTGATAAAAATCCAATAGAAATCCATAAAGATGTGCTTCAGGGGCAGCAACACACCGTGTGGTGACGTTAATAATTATTTTTGTTCAGCCTCTGTCAGACTCTCCAGTCTGCTCTGCATTACAAAGATGCAACAAATTAAAACTAAATACTTTCAATAATAGGAGCAACGTACCCTATGTCATGGCAATAAAAAAATATGAGGCATGTATGAGATATTAATTTATCATCATGAGCAACTTATTGACGAATGATTTATTCAAACTTCAGCCACTGTCCACTATTCCGCGGCAGCGCTGTTCACCGCCACCATAATCCTGCTCCAGACAGGAGTTTTCTGGACTGCTTTATACCAGTTTCGATGCTTCCAAAGAGCAAATCCTTGTTAGTTTCCACCACAGATGTAAGGTTAATAGGGGAGCATATTTCTTATGACGAGATTATTGATGATTTTGCATCAAGGAGACAGGAAAGGTCAGGAGGGGGTCTCCTCGCCCAGGGAGTAATTTAGTCTAGAACTGCCACTGGTGACTACTATGGTAGTTTACCACCACCAGGGTGTGACTGTGTGAGTGAATGAATGTACATCATTCATTCAATCACACAGTAAGGCACAAAGTCACTGATAAATCACTATATAAAATCTGATGCATTATTATTGTTGTTGAGCAGGTGCAGCAGACAGAGCAGAGCAATACAACCAAATATTCTCCTGCATTAAAAACATTAATTTTCTTTAATGACAGCGGCCCAGACTTAAATTTTACTGTCTAAGATTTAGAGAACAGACAAATAACAGGAGCCTTCAGAAATAATGAGCCTGTGAAATATGTGTGGACTGAAACAGAGGGTCAAACAGCCAGCCAAAGCAAAGTCTCAGTCTCAGAGTCTTACTCCAAGAGTCACAGTGTCGGAGTCGTAGAGTCTCAGAGTCTCATAGTCTCAGTATCAGAGTCTCGTTGTCTCAGAGTCTCAGTTTTAGAATCTTAGAGTCTCAGAGTCTCGTGGTCTCAGTGTCAGAGTCTTAGAGTCTCATAGTCTCAGTCTCAGTGTCAGAATCTCATAGTCTCAGTGTCAGAGTCTCAGAGTCTCATAGTCTCAATGTCAAAGTCTCACAGTCTCAGTGTCATAGTCTTATAGCCTCAGAGTCTCAGTGTCAGAGTCTTATAGTCTCAGTGTCAGAGTCTCATAGTCTCAGTGTCAGAGTCTTAGTCTCAGAGTCTCAGAGGGATGTTTTAACATGTCCAAACAAGGTGATCCAAATTTCTCCATAGATTATCCTGTACATTGAGAATTGATCATCTAAATTCATAAATAAGCAGATGCCAAATATTTACTGAGGATGTTTTATTGATCTAAAAGGATTCAGTAATAATAATGATAATGGATCAGATTTTTTATAGCTCTTTATTAGTGACCTAAAGTGCTTAACATTAGATACATTATTCATTCACTCACACAGTCACACCCTGGTGGTGGTAAAGTACTTTGATAGTCACAGCTACCCTGGGGCAGATTGACGGACACATGGTTGCCAATCCACACCTACGGCCTCTCTGACCACCACCACCACCACACAATACTCACAATCATACACCAGTGGAGGACACACACTGGGAGCAAGGTGGGTCAGGTGTCTTGCCCAAGGACACACCGGACAGACTAGGGATAGTAGGGAATCAAACCGCCAATGTTCCAGTTGATGGACGACCGCTCTACCTCCTGAGCTACTGCCACCCTACAGTCATACAGCACTATAGTCCTCATAGTTTACAGTCAGTTTTGTTGTCACAACTCATCAGCCTCCTCCTGAAAATGAAGGTCCTGATTTAGGTTCACATTAAGACATGAGCCAACTAATTTATTCTGATTCTTACTTCAGTCAGTAACATTTTATTTGGTAAAAATTTGGTAGTGTGGCTCTGCTCTAAACTCCCTGCCCTGCTCATGTAGAATATACAGTAAATGTCTGAGGTGGGAAGAGCACACCCTCCCTCAAGTTCTTGTGCATTCATGAAAATCCAAGGCAGGGATACGGAAGCAAAGACCCCGGGGTTCAGCAGCCAGGACCTCAGGATACAGCAGCAAAGACCCCAGGGACCAGCTGCAAAGACCTCAGGGTTCAGCAGCAAAGACATCAGGGTACAACAGCAAAGATCTCAGGGTACAGCAGCAAAGATGTCAGGGTAAAGCAGCAAAGATGTCAGGATAAAGCAGCA